AGCGAAACAGAATACGGAATCTGTGAAAGAAGGTTCAAGCGATCGATTTGAAAAAAAGAATATTAGTAATGACAATGAAATAAATAAACAGAAAAAAAAGACACAAATGAATAAATTAGCTGAGTAGAGAGAGGAGACTGCTGTATCACTAGAGGAGTCGATTCGGTGAAAAAAGGCGCTTGATACCACTATCGGCAATGAAATAAATTTCTCATGGGACAGCAAAGCAAGGAGAAAAACGTTACTGACAAAAACTAGTGCCTTAAGAAAAAGGTAAGTTAGACAAACTTCGTTTGAATCGTCAGGCGTTGTTTACATACGGTAACTAAAAAGGCGTCGCCGTCAAGTTTTTCTCAGTGTCTTTTCTGGGTTGTCTTCAACAGTGTTCAGTTTTATTTATCAAGACAACTTACTCAAGAGAATCATGGCATTGTGGTCCAAAGAAGAGAATTGTGCATGCATTTGCTTGATTCAGCGCCATGTTTAATAAGCCTCTTCAACAAAAATACGGACGTCCACGTAAAACTCAATGACGGTACACCAGTATTCCATCAGTATTTAGCTTGGCGAAAAATTTGAACTTATTGCTAAAACACTGGAACTGTAGTCACGTCACACAATGGGTCACGTGTGGAGTATTCAGTTTGGGGACAATCACGTGGCGTGGTCTGAGGCTAACTATGACTATTCTTGACAATTAGCTACAAAAGTAATATTTAACTGTATTATTCAACCCAAGAACTCGTGAATAAAAATTACACGTAAAATTACTTTCATCGGCCTTGCAGTGCAGTAACCCACACTACGGCAAACCTTATCAAAACACAATAACAAGAATATATTTAAGGAAACTGCCAAGAAAACTAAGATAAATTCTCTTTGGATTGTACTAAATTCTGTAATGAAAAATTCTTTAATCTTCTATCATTGATATTTGATTCCGTATTCCATTTCCGTTTCCGTGATTCCATTTCCATTTCCGGATTCCGGATTCCGTGTTTTGGTGCTGCCCCTTCATAACTGCTCGTAATAACCTACTGTGGGATTAGTTTTAGATCAGCACTTCTAGAACATGGGGCTATAAAGAAGGAGTTAAACAGTTGTTATTGTTGCTCTATATTGTTCACCTCCACTTAGTGGAGGTGAACAACTGCCAGACTCTTAGGCTTTGGGCTTGAGACTGACGTGAGATCGTATAAAAGACAACAACAACTACATGCAGGCTGATCTATCATGGATTTTGCTACAAATACTAACCTGGGCTGCTTGTGGCACACATGCTTTGTAGGCCCTGTAACAACAGACCTTTGTCACGTGGCATCCATTTTGTCTCAGGAGATTTAAAAACTTTTGTATATAAATGCACGGCTGTACTCGTTTCTCTACAAGCCGTGCACCAGGCGTAGTTAATCGATAAAAAAATGAAGTCACAGAAAAAAATCTATCGATTGTTACTGATTAACAAAATCGATAACAATCGATAGGAATCGATAGTAATCGATGAAGAATCATTTATCGATTTCTATCGGAAAATCATCAATATTAATCGAAGTCACAACTTTTTTCTTTATCGATGTCTATCGATTGATATCAGAAATCGATATTTATCGATGATTGATACAGTATCGATTATCGGTTTATCGATTACCCTAAGTCTGGCGTGCATAAACAAAGCTTTTAATTAATATTCTGAGACAAAATGGCCGCCGCTTGACGAAGGTCTATTGCATCATTTTTGCTTTGTGCTTTGTACACTTGTAGATAGCGGTTAAGGACCTATTTAGGAACGTAAATAGCCTACAATCTCAGAAGATGGCCTGGGTATAAGACCATTCTCTGACAGTGTGGTTGGATGAAAAATGTGTGTGCTTAAATAGCCTGACTCCCAGCCCCGATCCGAGCATAATAAGCCTTGAAAAGCTCGTTCTGAATAAATTATACTCACGCGAGCAAGCTCTTGCTTTATTTCATAAGTGCGATCTTCGAGCCATCCTCGTATTCCATATTTGATTCTCTTGAAAGCTGGACTAATGTTTTCATCGGTAAGAACCTCCATTTCAAGCATATGATCTTTTGACGTGCCAGTGTGCATTTGAATGAGTCGCTAAGTGAGTATCTCTGGTCACTCTGTCACGCAATCAGGTCCTAGGGATCAGCTGACGATCGTGAAAATTTGAACTGGATCACTGAAGTCCTGGGAAGCTGGATGACGGATCATACTTTCAAATGATTCTTTTCCTACGTTTTCTTTGATTTTGGCACAAGTAGTGTACATGTATGGTCTAACTGTTACAAAGAAAAGAAAAAAAAAGAAAAAAATTTACTCAAGGACAGTTTAATTGAGCCATGAGTCTCGTGCGAATTCGGCGTCACACCCTCCACATTTTCGATCTGAACTCTTTTGCGAGTTGCGACATACGCGACGGAAGCCGATTATCCTGATTTCAAGGGCTGCTGCATGATAGCGAGCAGTTCTTCGTTTTTCATTTTTAGGTCGCAACCTTCCTACCCATGCCACCCAACTATCAATACCGCAATGCAAAATTCGTGAAGTGCATGAAAATTTATTGTGTCGCAGAGTCGAGGGATACAATCTACTCGGGGGATACTCCCTGTGATGGCCTATACAGGGAGACTCCGCCCGAAATGGGTATCTTTTTCAGGCTTCAGGTATATGAAGGGGTTGGGATTTCACTAAATGAAGTATATGAAAGGTTAGGGAACCTGTCATTTGGGTCTGTGAAAGGTCCCAAAAACAGATGAATTACATGTCGAGAAAACGTTCTATTTTTGTGATTGATTCCTATTTAAACGACAGCGCATTTAAAGCAATTAAAGGGGATGCAAAGTTCTAAACAAGGTATGTGAAAGGGGTTCCATTTGTCAATAGACGGTATACGAAAGGGGTATATAAAAGGGTGAGGGCTTGGACCTCGGGGCCTTTATACGAGCCTCCCCGTATAAACATTTGTTGAGTACCCCCCTTCCCTAGACAATCTAGGTCATCAACCTACTCCTGTAGCCAAACCTAGCTTAGTTCGGCCTGTCTTAGTTCGGCTCTGGAGAGCGGTTTACTCCAACTTTGGGAGGGCAGGAAGACAAAAAAGTGTCCCAACAATTTTGACTGAGGATGTAGCTATTTTGTAAGAATAGAGGGGCAAAGACACAAGAATGTATAACACAACAAATTTTATTCAAAACGGTTTCAATTCTCACAATTATAATACGCACAAAAATCGTGAATGCAGTGATATGTAAGAAAATTAAAATATATATGTTGCAGTCAATTTTTTATTTTACTTAATTTTTGTTTTTCCTTTGTTTCAAATTCATTAGCATACATTACCATCCCCCAAAACAATGGAAAAATAAAAATTAACTGAGATAGAAAAATTAGCTACAACATATAATTAAATGTACAAGTTTGGATAAATATGTTCTGCTTGTCGTCATCTGTATTTGTCCATGAATTCCTTGTGAAAGGTGCTTATCCTATTGAACATAGAAACTACTTTATCTTCAGAAGGTAGAATAGTAAATCTGTAGTAAACAAAACAAACGAGGATTATATTATTACTTTGATATGTCAATTAGCCCACGTTCGATAAATTAACATTCTAACACGACTCCGAGGCTTTAGGGTCAAAACTGCAAAGTTTTCACGACTCCATTGTCTCGCAATTCCCAAAAGAGACTTGAGCACCAAGAAAACCAAACCAAATATAGAAAAATGACCATAGAAAGCCTCGGAGTCACGCTAGAATTTTAATATATTGAACGTACCTGAGTTAAGAACCTCACTCATAGTTGGTGGGTTTCGATCCTTAGCATTTTTTATGGCATTATTCGTGTAAAAATCTGTTGCCTTCTGCCGTGGTACCAATCAGCTGCTGCAAGCATCCTCGTTTCTAACCATAGTTAGTAGAGGGGACCCCTCCACTAACTATGTTCTAACGAAATCTCAGTTCCACTGTGTCTATTGATGTTGTAAGGGTGAGGTCTAATGTGGACAGAGAGAGTACGGGCGATGGTTTCGTTCAATAAACTTTACCTCGACCCAAAGCAGATGGTACCCGGGCTAATTTGGTGAATGTTTTTTGAAAGCATTCACACGGGAAAACCACCAGATTAGCAAGCGCTCTCGTTATTCGAGACAAAATAACGCTCACGTTCGACTGTTTTGCATTTAAGGTACAAGGAGGCACTCGATTTTGAGTCTCTTAAGGAAAAATATGCTGAAGCTATTAAGTAATCTTTGACAGGTACTTAACCAGCGCAGTAAACTGTTCCCATTACTGAATGGGCGTTGTCAGTTGACTGGCCGTTGTTTTAAGCCGCGTCAGGCAAATTAGGACTGCCCTAACCTGACATGATATGTTCCCTCTTTTTGCCCAAAGTTGCTTCCGGGAATAGGGAGTAAACCAGTCGCTTCTAGCAATTGCCAGGTGTAGAACTCGTCTGGTGTACAATTTTTAAGCTGAGAAAAAACAACAAAACAACGAAAGAGATTAACTGTTAAGCTCGGTAAATAAATGAAAAAAGGTGTCACATTTCGTATTGTCACGAACGTTGGAAAAAAAAAACTCCGAGTGTCCGGCGCCTGCAGCAATATGAACCTCTAAAGCTGCGCGCAAAAGGACGCATGATTGTTGGATGTTACATGTTGCGACCGTTGGCACACCCTGTTGCATGTTGCGTGTTGTTGGGAGTTGTTGCTCAAAGTTTGAAACCTGCCCGTGCAAACGGACGCAACATTGTTAGCCAACAACTCCCAACCTTTTTAGGAGTTGTTGCATCCGTTTACCTAAGCTTAACCTTCCAAAAAGAGAATAGGAGAGCGGACCTCCGATTAACGGAGAAACTGTTATTGCCTGGGCCTTTATTAAATATCACAATTCCTTGGAAGCTCAGAGCTAATAGCGCACAGCCGGTATTTGGGGATGATAAGGTCGAATCCCTGCTGTCGGTGAATCAGATTTTCTCCTTTTGGTTAGTTACTATTACAGGTCATTAAAGGTACTCGCCTTAGCCTCTTCAATGGCTTTTTGTGGAAGCTCAATTTTTGCGAAGGCATACAACGCACCAGTTACGTCACTGCACGAGATTCCTTCAAGAGAATTCAACATTGATGTGGTAATTTTGGCTTTCCTTCTATAAGATTCTAAAATGGCTGTCTTCTCCTGCAGGAAATAAGGAAAGGATAAAAAATTCCGACGTCGCATCAACGTGTACAACTGTCACTGAGTAGAAAAAAGTTACATGAAGAGCTACTGTACAACAGCTCGAAGAAGGGTTATATTTTACCTTGATGAAAGTCTCGTAGGATTCGTCACCAGTCCTTGGCGGATTGCACATTGCACTCACAGCAGCCTCGTAAAAATGAAATAAATTATATAAGTAAATAAATAATTATATAATTATACAGGAATGTCCACGACTCAGAGATTTTTTTAGTGTTAAAGCAAAATAACTGTCAACGTAGTTGGAGTAACCAACAGGCTCCGGTGGTTTAAATGTTGGGATTGCACTCACCCCTGGATAAATCGCTCTTCAGCGGATAAGTATTGGGAAAACCAATTGCGTTATCGAGTGGAAAGAGATTTATCCGGTAGATAACGTTATCCACCTTTCGAAAAAATTATGGGCTCAGGCACGGGCACCTTGATGTCTTTGGAGTTAGAACCCTGTCGCAGGGCTCAAAATTACCATTGAAAGCGCAATCGTGCGCATGCGTCTAAACGTGGACTTAGCTGAATTAAAACGATCGTGCCATGCCTAGTCTCAAAGTCCCATTATTTCGCCGGCCGACGCATTTCGGGTCTCATGATGCGAGCGAGTTTGTGGGCTCTTTCCACCGATCGTCTTTGATACGCCACTGAAAAGCATTGACCGAGAAGGCTAGTAATACCTGTCCAATAGTCGTTGGAGAAACATTGGGAAAGAGTACGTCTCTAAACTGCATCTTGACTTCTTTGCTGAACCCTACTAATTCCATGTAAGCACCCCTCACACCACATCTAGTAAAGAGATTAAACTAAATACAGTCAAAACAATGCCTCTAAGCGACCATCCAAAATGCGAAGATTTGTCGGCCAACCTGGACTTACATAGTGACGAATCCCGACCCGCCCTAAATATATCCGTGAGACCAGATTATTTCTTAATAGTATTTTTACTGAGCTGCTTTGAAGATTCGCACACAACTTCCATTAAACTGGGTTTCTCATTGCATTACAATCATAGGCCTTTTCCAAATCGACTGAATCTGGACTGAATCAGGAGAAGAACTTTTTAAAGCTGGGTCCTTTATGAGAAGAATGTCACATATATGTACACGTGTAATGGCAGCAAGGATCTACGAAGTAGAACGATGATTGATGTGCACAAGTAGGGCATCCCTTAATCAGAAACGGCCTGGACCAGCCCTTACGACGAGTCAAAATGAAGGCTCTCTTTCTGTCGGGTTGTTGGGATAGCCCTTCAAAGCTATTTTTTTTTTACAGCACCGTTGTTTGGTTTGATACTGTTATCTCAAACATTATGTACATACTCGCCGTAAAATCCTTTGGAAACTGAATTTATCGACATCAGTTGGAACTTGTTGTATTCGGGACCCAGGTCCCTCAAGACCTTCCTGCACGAGTGGAACTGGACCTCGTCGGTAAACACGGTTTCTTGATACACTTCATCAGCAAATAATACAAGTTTTTCTCGAGCGCAAAACTTGATAACTTCTCTAATATTGTCGTAAGTCAAGACCTGGCCTGTGAAAACAGAACAAAAATATAATTTCCAATTCTGACTTAAAGATTTCTCACCTTTTTCAGCTAAAAGGTGTGAATTTCAAAATGTCTGACCTGAATGTGAAAAAAAGGGGACTACAACCTCGTTACCTCGACACTTTGAATGAAAAAGCATGTTAAATATCTCTCGGATTTGCCGCTAGTAACTGTTTTAAAACACATGCATACTGTATATATACTAGACATATAACTAAAGGCACTTTATTCACTTAAATGTCAATGTATTTAGCACGAAAGGGATAGTTAAGGACGCTATTTTATGTCTCTGACTGAAGACGGGACCGCCATTTTATCTGGTCATCCGAACCACGCGAAGGTCTAGCCGCGTGCAGGGCAAAAGCAGTACCTTCATTTCTCAGTTATTTTAAGTCCCTGAGTAGTGGTCCGGTCCCGGGAACAGAACCCTCTTGACCCTCGACCTTCTCACAGTTAAGCAGTCTACCGACGAAACTAGCCCTAGTCCGATTACAATTGTCAGAGCTAAACCCAGATATGACTTCTTCGCATAACTTGACTCTCAATGGCTCATTCTCTATTTTATCAGGTCTTACTTGTGGGATTTCCCGGATTAATCAGTACAAGAGCCCTCGGAGTGCAATATGGCCTGGCCTTGTCTAACGCCCTCTTCAGTTCTCCGATATCCAGACACCAGTCGTGATCTTCGTCCAAATAGTAAGGAATCTACACAAAAGAAAAGAAGCGTCGGTATCGATCAAAGTCCGATCGGGCGATTACGAAAAATATCCGAAGATTTAGGACTACTTGTACTCAATCTTACATACACCACGACAAAATGGCTATGCTATACTCTCAAGGAGTAGTAGCCATCACAAAAGAATATATAAAATTTCCAAAGCAATCCGTTAACAGTGTGCCAGTACACATATAGCCTCCCTCGCAGGCTTTCTTAGGGGATGAGGGAGGAAATACGAACACTCAGACTGTGCGTGGTAGGCTAGTACATTTATACACATGGGCTAACACCTTAATAGCGCGGAAAAAACCTGACAAAAAACCTGAAAATTGCTACAAAATTAAAATGTACAAGGTCTGTATTCAAGGCACTCAGTTTTATTTGTGCATTTATTAAATTACCTGGTGGAAGTTGTATTCCATGATTCTTGACAGGTACTGAGGAAACACGGGAATAGGAATCAGAATTCCTGTCCTTTTATTTCTACTGTCTGAACTGGCGTCTAGTGCCTGCATGCCAACCTGAAAAAGCGCATGAAAATGTCTATGTTATATTTACCATCCTGTATTCAATAAGCGATGTAGTCCGTGCATAGACTACTGATGTGAAGCGTTCTACCTGGGCGTACATTGTACATGTATTGTACATTTGGCTGAGGACAGAGTACTTATGACCCCCCCAGACCAAAAAAGCCCCATAAAAAAAAAAAAACGAGAGAAGGACAGGCTGACATAACAGATACCTGTTCTCTCCTGTCTGTAAAAAAGCTACGGGAAAGCTGATAAAGGATTGCGTTCTCCTTCGTCGAACACACTAGGGACTTTAAGATCCAACGACGCGGACGGCAACGAAAACGTCAAAAAAACAATAGGTTTTATTAGCAAAACAACAACTTTGCGCGTGCACCAAACTTTTTTGGTACATTTTTTTGCCCGTTTTTGCACGACTACGACGTGAACATGCCTACCTTCGCGTTTTATGGAGTACGTAAACAAGCAACGACGAAATTTTGTTTCTCTTTCTGCACTTGGATATGGTCCTTAGGAATTCAACTCCAGGAGGGCTTGCCTACATTTGACAAAGTAAGGGGGTAGGAATAATTTCGATAAAGACAGAAAGAACGCAAATTCACTTTTAAACCGACGTTCTCATTGCCGTCGCGTCCTTGGATCTTAAAGTCACTAAGGCCCGGTTCAGACGCCGTACTTTTCATGAGCTGAACCTAATACATTGAATTAAGTACACGAAAAGTTCGGCGTCTGAATCAGTTAGGAACGCCTGTTTCAATTTGGAACGGCTCACCCGTTCTTTTCGCCTAGACCGGCCGGGAATGTCGCCTTTAGATCGACTTTGGAACGCCTTTGATTCAGACGCCGTACTTTTCATGTACCGAACCTAATGCATAAATTCTTATAACGTATTTTGTAAGCAGTTTGACCAAAATGCGCATTTTCCGCCTTCTGAATTTAGTTCGGCTGGAATTAAGATCGGCGTCTGAATCAATTTAGCCGGTCTAAATAATTTGGGTCGGCCTTAATTCGAATTAGGTTCGGCTCATGAAAAGTTCGGCGTCTGAACCGGGCCTAAGGCTCACGAAACTAAGCACGTGATGAGTTTCCCCTTGTTTTATTTTCATGTTCGTGCTTTCTCAATTTCGTGGACCCCACTATCTCAGAGCCTGGAACAGGCTAAAATGGGAAGCGGTTTTAACCTAAAAACTGTTATAAGTGCTAATAGTAAATCCATAAAAGGAAGAAAATTAGTTATGTCTCCAAACTTCATTTTACCTTTATAAAAGTATTTCTAACCATGGATAACCCTAAAAAATATTAGAAAATACTCATGAACACCTGAATTCCATGTGCTCCTCCATTTGTTAGAATTATATCTTCTGGGTCGGCAGGATAACCATCTCTTTCAGAAATGAACTGGGCAACATCTTCACGGACAATTCTTAGTCCAAGAGGGTCTGTATATGAACCTAGAAATACCATACAGTAAGAATAATTTTTCTACAAGAGTAACTTGGCGAGAGTGTGGAAGATGGGTTTTTAAAAGGGGTGGAACAAGCAAGGGCTTTACAACTATGACTGTTCTAAGGGGTGGAGGGTGGATTGAAAGGGGTTTGTGGGGGGGATTTTAAGGGGGGATGGAATGTTGTACTGAGGGATATGAGGAAAATTTTGATCGAGGGGTGGTCAAAGTGGAGAATGAGTTAGGCAAAATTAGGAGAAGAGAAAGGGTTTGACTTAATAGGAAAAGAGTAACCCAGGACTGGATTTTGTAGGGGTCTCGAGTGGGGTTTACAAAAAACAGACTGTATGGGGGTAACACAATAACTGGTAAACTGGTAGTTTTTATTGTCACCCACAAGGATAAGATTCTGAATGGCCGGAGGCAAACCAGGTTACTAGCCGAGGAGTTGAACTCAAAATTACCAAGAACAAATCCAGCTAGGGGTTTAAAGGCAGGGCTTGAACTCGGGGAACCTTAAGATTACAATTCCAGCATTCTTCCAGTCAAACCTCTACTAACAGCCACCTCTAAACAACAACCACTTTTTTTGGCGGACAGTCTATACATTAGTCTGCTACACAGTCATGGAGCGTTGCGTGACAATACTAAAAATGGATGTATAGCAGACCATCTATACATTGACTCCTGTTTTATAAACCTCTCTACAACGGCCACTTTCTTCTGTCCCCAAGGTGGCTGTTTTGGAGAGGTTCAACTGTATACTGCTAGGCCACACTGTCTCCAAAAGCTTGGTAAGAAGTGGTGACAAGGAAAGGGCTTGACAGGAGGGTAGCTGTTGATAATTATTAATGATGATGATGATGATGGTGATGATGATGATGATGATGATGATGTTACTGATGCTTAACTGGTGGAGATTCATTCATGACAGTTTTCTTCAGTCCATTAGGGTAGCCTGAGAGAAGGTGTTCTAGCTTATGAGTTTGTGAATGAAATCCTCCAATATGACCATTCAAATGAAACCTCAACCTCGTTCCCAGGGTTCTCTCCTACCCAGAAGCTGGGAATGAGGTTGATGAAACCTCTTTCCATGGTGCTTAAACCTAAACTTGTCCAATTTTTTTCACTCCTACCCTATCACTTAAAATACTAAGCTATCTTCTTTTTAGTGACGTGAAAAACAATGATACTTACTTATAACATGGCCTGCTTTGGCATTGAGAATCCTGTTCACCTTTTCATGTATGTCCTTCGGGTAGTTCGAATCCTCAAGTAAAGTTGGACATATGAGACATGACAGAAACTGTCAAAAAAGGTGAAAAAAATTCCTTTAGACTTTCACATTCTCCACAAAATTTGCATAAGTTTGAGACATTGAAAACAATACTCGTGAAAAATGTTGTCAGAAAAAATTGAATTATCAAATGAGAAATATGAAAGTTACAGATACAGATTAATGTGGAGACAAAGTTGAAGCTGTAGTGAGAGTATAGTCAAATTCCACAAATGTTGTCGGGGTGCGAATTTAATGCTGGAGTTACAAGGTATTCATGAACAGTTAACCCTATGGTAACCTGATGGAAACCTCACAGAGACTTATAGAGATGGTAGCTTCCTTTGTTCTCGGGGTCACTATTGTTGGACTCTCTAAACAGGAAGTAAATAACAACAAACCCCACCCAAAGTTGTTTGAACTAATTAGGTTTTTTAATAATTATGGTGCTGATCGATTTGCTGAAATGAATTTAGTTGAAATTGTGTAATCTGAGTGGTAAGAATAACTATATGTATTAAGAAATATAGAACTTTATTCAAGTGTCAAAGATCAAGAATTTTTGAATAATGGAAATATTACAGTTTTCCAACACTAATTAATGATGTTAGGTTGTCAATCACTGCACCTGTCTCAATGATGTGATGGGTTTCTGTCCAAATGCATGAGGATCTCCAAAGTATCTTACAACTTCTTTGAAAGGTTTTTGTTCCCCCTTTAAAATAAAAGTACCACAGAGTTTATTATGTGAATTACCAAGCAGACTGACACAGCTGGTGGATTATTTTCCTGTGTGATCAGTTGACATCATAAAAATGGACCAACAGCAACCAGTAACAGTAACACAACCAATTAAGCTCTTGCAGGAATGTAATTGGCTGCAACAGTTGATTCCACAGGTTTTAGTAATTCTTGAACCCTTTCTCTTAATCACACATTAAACGATATTAATTTGATTAAGCCCATGAGAGCAAGCTCTCCGGGGCATTCTGGCAGTGAGGCGGAAAAAAGGAGAGCTTGCAACTAGTCTCTAGAATTTGAATATCTACATCAAAAAGGCGCGAAACGAAATACTCATTGGCAGAGGCGACAATAGTTATGATCATTACCCTCAGCACGTGTTTTTCCATTTTTTTTTCATTCGCACTTTCCGCTTTTGTGCTGATTGGTGGAAATCTGACAGCTCAGACAATGGAATTGGAGGAGAAATTGAAATTCCAGAGATGTAGTTGCCAGCTCTCCTTAACTTCCTTTTCCTCCCTGCTGCCAGAGCACCCTCAAGGAGAGCTTGCTTACAATGGCTATAATTAATTAGAAGAAAACTGATGTTTATATTCTTGGGATGAAAAAAAAAATGACATTAAAAGCATCGCTTGAAAGACCACATCGAACATGGTTTTCAAAGGCTTTTGATATCATATTATGTAGTGAGGTGGGCGTGGGGCAAGAAATTCTGACTCTTCTTCACGGGGGGGGGAGGGTCTTTGATCCATGTTCAAAAGTGAATCAGAGAAATAAAATAGGCACAAAGTCATTAATAATTAGAGTAGAAGCTCTATAAGCAGTTTAAGGTTCTTTGATATAATTTATATTTGGCTACTTTTAACACTGCTACGGCAAATCAAAAGGAATAAAAAGTTGCTTTGGAGGGGCGGGAGGGGAAATGAAAAGTCTCAACCTCCTAATATAACCTGCACATTAATATATGACATTTCAGACTACACACAGAACTGAATAAGGACATTAATATCGCTAGCCTGATCTCCATAAATTGTTTTGAGCGTTAATGCACTTCTGCAAGTTCGCAAGTTCCCGATTATTCGTAGATTTTGCAGACAGCTGGGAGCAAGAAAAAACCTAAAAGTTCAGCAGGCCTACCTGCCCTTGCTAATTCTTGTTTGATTTCATAGGCCCGAAAATCGACCCAACCTCCAGGGTTAATGCCTCCCTGGAAAACAGGGCTGATTGTTTTGTCCGTAATGATTTCTTCTGCCATCATTTCCGTCGTAGAACTGCGAAAAGTTATTGGTCAACACAGAGAACCCTGACAAGCGGCGACTCTTTGCGTGACTTTGGCTACCCTACTGGATGCGCGAGCCCGCAATCCTTCTCAACATCAGGATGATGACCTCTACAGACCTACAAGGGTAGCTCTACACTTAAAGTCAAACACCTGCAGAATACAAAAAATAAAACTTACGGACGGGACAGACAATATCGCTGGCAAAGCACAGGCAACTACGAAACGCTTTCGTTCACACGCAGGTGCAAATTTCTCAAAGGTCCCCTAGGTCAGTCGCACAATTCTTTCCTCTATCCTTCAGATCCTTGCTGCTCTTTACGTACCGAAATGGCAGCGGAGGAAATCATTACTGACAAAACCATCGGCCATGTGTACCAGAACTACGCCACTTCAAGACCGTGGACCGATTTACGGGCCCATGAGATTCGACGAGAGCTTAAACAGGTAAGTTGGGTGACATCTCAATCTTATTTTAGTCAGTTCTTCTATCCAACATGTTCAACATTGCGTGACCAAACCTTTACGTAATCTCTGCCATTTGAAGCCGGCTCATGATGAGACCGTAGTGTTCTTTTTTTTTCTTCTAGTTTTTACGGAATAAGGTAGATTGTAAGGCAATGAACTGATTTGCATTGCTGTTTACTGCTAGTTTGTTGCAGTTTAATACACACGCTAACAAACAGATCTTGTCACGGTTTTCGACGCCATCTTAACGAGTAGGCAAACGCGTGAGAAATTACAGTGTTTGTGATGTGATTATGTAATTTGAATATTTAATAGCTATAATGCGCTCACATTAAAAAGTAAGATGAATTACAATTTTGCCATACAAAATGAATGTCTAATTAGTTTAGTCTCCCTCGCAGCCGTTTTTTTGGATGTCACGCAGCTCTCCAAAAAAACGGCTGCGAGGGAGACTAGCCCAGACTTGGCCTTCTTTATTTGTGAGAATAAATTTCGGATATGGAGCAGAATTCAAGGAGAATAAGGGTGTCCGAGCAGTATTTTTAGCAGAATAACCAATTTTTACGAGCAAGCTGCCGTCAGGCAGAATAAGCCATTTTACAAGCAGAATTTATCGAAGCCTATCATAAATCGGTAGAATTATGGCTTAAAATTCTAACATAAATTTGAACACCTGTATGAATGGGAACAACTAACAACTGCTAAGCAATCAGTCCACTCATTTCTCCTTTTTACTGAAACCTTTCTATCTAAGGTCACAACTCCATGACGACAAACACCAGGCGCGGATCTAGGATAAATACTGACCGATTTCCTAAACGAAGGGCCGAGGGAGCAAGCTTCTAGGGGAGCCCGGGGGCATGCACCCCCGGTAATGTTTTGGGATTTTAAGTCCCTGAAGTTCCCTTTCCCGGGTTTCTGTTTAATGCCTGGAAATTGGAAAAAGAAAACATTTGTCCAGACCATCTTTGAAAGTTCTATTATAATTATTATTATTAAAAATATGTTTATTATGAAAAATCTGACCGATTTCCGTAAAATGGTGGAAACCGGTGTGGATCCGCCCCTGAACACTGGTCACTTAATTCTATACGGATAGCTTTTTGCGCCAGTGCGCCAAATCATAGGGTTTCAACCCATTCACACATTGGGACCAGGCGTACTCACTAGGGGCAAAAGGCAAACAACTAAAATCACCAAGCAAAGTGGGCCAAGGGGTAGACTGGGGCTCGGCTTGCTTCGGCTCACTGATTTTTTTTTTCCTTCTTTTCCTGCAATGTGGAGCCAGTGGTCCCAGGCAATTCACGCATGAGAACAGTAATTTCAGCTTGGTTTCTATATAATGAAGCGAAGCCAGTTGAGTCATGCCAATCTTGTAAGTGGACCATTCATAATTTATGGGTTTGTGAGGGGGGGCTAATTGGGGATTTTAATTTTTTTCCTTAAATATTTTTTCAAGCTCCCCCTGATGATGTTAGATATTTTTCTGCCACCCCCGCCCCCTCATGAGGGCTTGCGGACAAAGGTTAAATACCATGGCCCTCCCCTCCTCCTTCCTCTCTACCACCACTACCATCACCAACAATCTACCATGTTTGAAATGCTGATGCAAACAACATTTAGGCCTCAGCAGTGAAGTCTTTTTTTGAAACTTTAACTGAATAAAACAAGACATATCATGGCTACTTTTAAGGTAATAAAATAGTAACTAAAGAAAAACATTAGGATACCTCTACTTCATAGGTCAGTTACATGCAGTTAAATCATGAAATGGAATTAAGTAAATGGAGCATTTACTTAATTTCAGTTCATGATTTAACTGCATGTAATTGACCAAAGTAAATGGAGCATTTACTTAATTTCAGTTCATGATTTAACTGCATGTAATTGACCTTTGAAGTAAAAGTATCCTATTGTTTTACTGTTTTAGTATTAAAATACTATCGATATCTTCTTTAAGTGGACCTAAAGTTTATTCGTTAAAATATTTCTCTGAACCGGACCGATTATTAAAGTAAGTTGTAGGTGCCTCCCCCCACCCCTATACAGAGTACCAATTGAATTTTGATGGTACCTTTAATGTTTTGGATGAGAATTAATGGTCCCCCTCCAAATCCCCATAGCCCCCCCCCCCCCCCAGCCCATACATTATGAACGGTCGGTTTCGATGAAGAATGCAGCTGCCAAACGCTCCCAGGGTTCCCTCCTACCTATCGCTCTTGCTCCATAGGGATGGGTACGGGAGAATTAACCCAGGGAACGTACGAAGTTGCCAAACAGCCCCCAAAAATTGGTGACAAATTACACCCCTCCCTTCCCATAAGGCCTCTTACTCCCGAGGATGTATTATTTTAGGGCAAAGTTATTAGAGGCCACTTACAGATGATGGACAATGATCGGCGAATCCTAACAATCGAGCTTTATAATCAGTCTTATTTTTTTAACCACTTTTTACAGGGTGTAAGTAAACCTTTTAATGAAGTGATAAGACATTTTGGAGATCCACATGCTTTTGGACAGTCCCCAGTTTCCTTTATGAGGCAGGTAAGATCATTTTTCTGTCTGGTCTTTTTTTGTGACTGTGGATACATTTGTTTGTTTGTTTGCTCACTAACATTTTAAGTTCCTCATTCTTTTATGGTGGTTAACGTTAAATTCGTTTTATAAAACCGAGTCAGTTGATAAAACCAAATGTTTTTTTTTTTTTTCGCCCCGGTTTTGCAGTAGAGTTTCAAAATATAACTGACCATGAGATTTTGTGTAAGTCATACTGCATATCCCTTAACAAAATTTCTACCCTGTAACAGCTCTGTAGCATCACTGGAACAGGGTTGAAAAACTAACCTGTAACAACCCTGTTACAGCTCGTTATTTGGCACAGTTAGCAAGGCTGTTTCTACACTGTAGCAGCCTTGGAACAGCCCTGTCACGTTTAACTCAAAATTTCTTGGTAGACACCCTGTAACAGCCATGTTAGGACCCTGTTTCCACCCTGTGATGGACATCCCTGTCACAGCTCGTGAATTGGCACAGTTAGCAAGGCTGTTTTTACACTGTGGCATTCCTTTAACAGCCTTGGTACAGGTTTCATGCATCACAACCCTGTCACAACTTGTTAATTGGCAGTTAACAAGGCTGTTTTTTTTTACCAGGTGCCAATGTTGTGATACTCCCTCTCACACAATATACACTTTAGACAGCAACCGTTTAACTTCTATACATTAGAATTAGAGTACTATCAGAACATAATTTTTTATAACTTCACATCTATTAAAGATGAAACTTAATCTTTTTTAGGCATATTTGAACTCATGAAAATTCCTGAAGCAAAGGAACGATTTGCGCCACAAAAAGCTTCAACGTTGAACCACCAACGGCTGGTTTAGTCCGTTTAGTCACTTAAGTAACAAAAGCAATGCATTTCAACAAACATACATTGAAAGGACACTTTCGATAAAGGAAAACAGTAAATACAGTCAATTAAGAACTTAACGTTACTTTATTTTTCACGTGCCGACGTTACAGTGTGTAAAAATATAGACAGAACAAAATTTAAACTGCATGCAACAGTCTGACCTGGCTTGTAAACACTTGCTTGCTTTGCTCGATTTAATGTACAACTAGCACGTCAAAATGCCGACTTTACAATAACTGTCCCAAAAAACTAAAAAAGGACGATTTTTGTCCGCAATTATAAGAGATGAAACACGGAATTGTTCCATTGTAACAACGGTTCCGAGGTTGAGTACAGTTTATAGTTGTTTTGTTCGTTGTAACAAGCTTAATTTGAAATCGCTCACCTCGATCGTCTTTCCTTCATGATCCACAATGTGTTACATTTCCTCATGAAAAGAGCCTATCCATTTGGTGAATTGTGTTTCAGTTGTTGCTGAATTGTTTAATGGTGTACGAATTACTAGGCAGGGCAAACAATACTTGCATCTTGCAAGTGCCGCGGAATGTTTTCTGTCCACCAGATCGATCTGTTTCCCATTCGTTGAGAGCTGGTCAAAGCACAGTTATTTTTTTGCTAATACTTTTTCACTCTCTGCTTCAAAAGCAGAAAAAAACGCTCTACAGCCTTTCTAAATCTAAACTGGATGGAGAAAGCGTTTGAATATTTTCGCCTTTCATTCAAATGATCGTGAGTCGTTTCAGGAATGGAGATGTGTAATGCGATCTTCCGGTAAAAGTGCTGACCAATAAGATTAAAGTCTTGGATTTCTCCAGGGAATTACCAATGGCGTGTCTGTCACGGAATGAAAATATTGAAGTCCCGTCGATCTCTAAGGAAAGAATTTAATTCCATGCTTGCAGAGGTCTCTCACGCAAGAAAACAAATTGAAGTGATCTGAAAGTCTTCCATTTTTAGTACATTACTGTAAAAAATTAATTAAGTTACAGCGGTTTTTTTTTTTTCATTTAAAAGAACAGGAAGAACAGAAGCTGATGAAATAGGTCTTCGTTTTTAACATGAGATAAAAGTCTTATAAAGAAACCAACCTAAAAATACAAAGGTAGCCACAAAATCGGTAATTAATTAAAGTAAGTGTCAATGAAAAAAAAAAAGAAAAAATGAAGCAAATCCAAACAAAATCAAAAACAGCATATTAAAAGGCGTACAATAATCGTGTTTGATGATTTAGCGATACCATTTTCACCAAGTTCTTTTTCGTTTTATTTGTTATTAATGATCTAGCTGACTCTCGCTCCTTTTAACACTTTAGACTTTGAAAAATATTGCCATCTTTCATGATTTATGGAGTTTACCATACTTGGCTACATTGTTACTGCCCTTTGATTATTATCCATTGTGTGAACAGAAATAGACATCTCACAGTTCTGCAGGAACCCGATTACTGTCAAATGTACCTAACACAGCCATTCTGCATCCCTGTCCTAGTCCTTCTGCATTACTAGGTAGCCCTGTCTTAACCCTGTTACGGTAACTGGATATTTTCCCAGCCATGTAACAGGCTTGTTTCACTTAACTATGTACACTTTTACAGCCCTGTCACAGCTCCACTTGTTTTAACTCAAGTAAGTTGCAGCTGTGTCACAGCCCTGTTACAGCCAGTTTACAGCCCTGAAATAACGCAAACAGGGCTGGAAACAGGATTTTACAGGGCTCTCACAGGGTTTTTGCAGGGTAGAATTTTTTCTAAGGGTGAGCATGTACTGCTTGTGTGCTGCAAGCTTTTCATAAAGGACAAACAGGTAACGTATCTGTCAAACCGAAGCTTCAGTGTCCTCCTGGGCAACCCGGCCTAGGGTAATTGAATTATCCCCTGGGGAAATTTTAAAGAAAGGAATTTTTTTTTAAACGATTACTAATGTGGCTTTAAAATAACGTTCTTGAAGCTAAGTCTAACGACAGTGCAAATTAGCCTGTGTAATCCTTTTGCTTTTTAGCCGACCCGCCGTCAAGCTGCAATCTTTCTCTACAAAATCATCCAAAATCGCCCATGTCAGCCATCCGCTATTATTTATCTTTCCTCTTGCAAGCATTGGAGCCCGGAGGATTTGGGGGAATCGCAATCTGGCCGGGGATTTTAGGTTCGAGTACCAGTCTGCTGGCCAGTAGCTAGAATCGCTGGATTTGTTCTTGGTCATCCTGAGTTCAAATCCTCGCAGACCACGCGGTAAATAGCCAACTGGTTGCCAGTTGGGTGTTTAATTCTGTTATGTTCTGTTCGGATCATATACTTCTGATTTTTAATTTGAGTGGACTGCCTGTAAAATAGCTGGATAAGCTGAGTGCACTTTCCACCATAAACAAACCTTTTAATTAAACCGATACAAAAACATCGCAAGAAATCGAGACAAGGGTTCAAAATTTCTCAATTCTTACACACTGTATACATAGGAATCAAATTCCTACCACCCAAAGTCTATGATTATGCAAATGCTTTCCTGCGCTCGAAAGGTGAAGAAGTCATATGCATGGGATATGATCCAGGGATGTTACTGGTTAAACTTCAATTTGACCGATACATGGCGTGCAGCTGTTTAAAGGATTTTAGTTTTAATTTTGTAAGTCACTTCTTTTGTGACTGATGGACGTTTCTCCTTTTTTGTCAAGTTTCTTGCATGTCTCTTTGTCCAAGTCTCCTTGAAGAACCAAGCTACCCACAGGATATAAAGGAAAAAGCTCGAAGGATTCTCGAGGCAACTGAACAGTTTTCAATAGGTGCCATATGTACATTTTTTCAGACTCATAAGATTGCTGCCTTATTTTCAGTATTTTCTCTATTAAACGCTGTCTAACGAAGACACACCGATCGGGAGTTCAGCTAGCCGGCGAAAATAGCCGTTTCTCCTTGCTCTTCGCCGCAGGGGACGTTTCGCGCGGAGGAACATCTGCGACTGAGGGACAGAAATTCCATACTGATCACGTAAATCAATGTTTACACAATATACCCGGTAGTCATGGGTTCCACATCCAAATTTGTTCAGTTTTACTTTTCTCCTGGTCGATTTTACTAAAGTGTTGTGTTCATCTGCGAACGAGCTCCAGCAAAACTCAAATGCTTCTTCTAGGGAAGAATATATTCCACCAATTTTGACAGTTTTGTTAGAGATTCATCCTGTTTACACTTGATTTTCGTGGCCTTTTGTCGTTTGTCTGTCATTCGTAAACAGTAGCTAAAACAATAAAACCACCCGTCGACCAATCAGCGTTTCTGATGACGCTTCTGACCGAATTCCGGACAGATTTTACGTCATCAGTATGGAATTTTTCAACGCTTAGTCGCAGATGTTATTCCTCGCGAAACGTCCTCAGCGGCGAAGAGCGAGGAGAAACGGCTGTTTTCGCAGACTAGAGTTCAGCAGACCCAATTTTTGAAATCTTAAGCCACGTTAGTAGGCCTTGTTTTGGTTTGTCACGCAATCCTCCCCAACGAAAGACGTTTCTTGAAGGGAAACGCAGGACGAAGCCCCAAGGATGTTTTGATGAGAGGCTACCAAGCCGGGGGCGTTCAACCGAGAAAAAATAAGGTGGCGGTATACATCAGTATACATCATGCTAATTTAGTTTTTCTTGTCTGTGACCGTCCAGGCTAGCTACTATAAAATTCCGAAAATAAGCCCCGGGTTTGTGCGGCTTATTTTTGAGGGGCTTATATTCGGAGGGGCTTATCTACAGATGGAAATTTGCGTCTCAAAAATCGATTGGGCTAACCTTATAGCTGGACGTAAATTTACCGTTTTTGCGTTGTTTTACCTTGTATTTGAGGGCAATTTTCCATTTTCAAGCCCCCAGGGGGCTTATATTTGGAGGGGCGATTTAACGGAGGGTTTTTTTACGTTACCGGTTTGGGGGGCTTGTGTTTGGAGGGGCTTACACATGGAGGGGCTTATTTTCGGAATTTTACGGTATTGCACAATCGATGACACTCGTAATATGAGTCATATGTTTTGAAGAAACAATTACCGTAAATTTATTTCTGCATTTTTTTTTAAATGTAGGTTCGTATACAGACACAAGTGGATTAAGAATTGTTCGTGAACACGTCGCCCGGTTTATTACCAAAAGAGATGGCTACACCGCTGATCCAGATAGTATCATATTGACAAGTGGAGGAGCAAGCGGAATAAAGGTCCGTAATGCAGTATGTAACCCTTTAGTCATTATTCATTGCTCGTGATTGCTTATATAAGAAGTATCCGCAAGTACCGTATCATCGAGAAGTGTCAGGGATAGCACAAATTACAACGTTATTTTTACCAGGTGAACCTGTGCCGGTATGCAAACTATATGCGAATCCTTGTTTACATTTTTTGCCTCATTATCATAGGTCTATCATTATCTGATGAAGCCAATAAAATGAAATTTTTGAATATTGAAAGAGCATAACAATTTCTAGACCGCAAAGCGGTCGTTTTTCTTCTCAAAATCAGTAAAGAAATCGGTAAAGCGTGGCGTAAGAGTCTTACTTGCGCGAAGCCCGCGAGGTGTTTTTAACGTCTCTCGCCAGTCTCGCTCTCTGTTTTCAGCCTCGTTTCAGACCTTTTGTTTGACTGCTGGCGCGTACTTAAATACGCAAAAATACGAACTGTTTTGCAGTCTAAACAATTTCAGTCATCTCTGAAAATTTAGGCCCGATATACCAAATAGTTTCGGAAACATTCTCTTTGAAAAACCCCAAAATTTCAAAGAATGTATGAGCTCATTAGCGTTTTGCCATCCAGTTAGTTTGCAGTTTTTACTTACTACTATTTTCCCTGTTGCTAAGACCCTGTTTACATGGAGTGGGAGACCCCGGTCTAGTGGGGTAAGTTTCTTTTGTTTTGTGTCCCCCAGAGCGTGAAAACAAAAGAAACTTACCCCACTAGACCGGGGTCCCCCACTCCATGTAAACAGGCCCTAATTGCAAAGAGCTGACAATAGCACAAACTGCACAAATTAACCAATGCTTTGGGCATTGGGAATTGCGCATTTTGACGCTATTGTTTGGTGGTCACTAAAGTAAATCATTGTATTGTTCCATATGCCCAATTGTCCGATGCCCAATTACCAATGACCAATTACCAAGCAACCTTTTTTTATTTAGCTATATGCGGCTACATCTTCTATCGGTTAACTCGTATGCTAATGAGCAAAAATGTAAAAAATGACATCACAATGAATCCGCCTATAGCGGTCCTTTGTGGTTATAGTCATGCTGCCAAGTATTGACCACAGGTGCCCCAAGCTCACGAGCGAGAATCGTTGCGTAACAGGAATATTATAGGGGTTTGTATGGGGATTTAAGTGATCGTTATTTAGGGGTCAAACAATAGCAGAACTAAAACTCGCTGGAATCGCCCTGAAACGGCCAAAAATGCTAAGAAACACCATAAATTTAGACAAGGACACAAGGTAAGAAGTTTAGATGTATCTTTATTACTATTTTTGACCCCTAAATAAAACGACCGCTTAAATCTCCATACAAACCTTTATAATATTTCCGTTACATAACAACGATTCTCACTTGTGAGCTTGGGGTACATGTGGTATTGACCCGGGTGGAATCAATTCGAAAGTGTTTTTCTGATAGTCTACTGTCCACCCGACTACCGAGTTGACTCGGGTGCGTATCAGTAATCCTCATATGATAGGATACGCTTTAACACTTCATACTTTCAAAAGGGAGACAATTAAGAGTAAGGGCCTTTTGACACATATGGAGGCGGGTGACCCCAATATCCACATGCAAATTTTCTAAACAGAACTCCATACATTTCCTTAAAAAATAAGTTGAGAGCATTTGATAAACTGAGATCAAAGTATCAGATATTGCCTTAGGTGATCATATTATTGTTTCTCATAACCTGTTCTGTCGATGATGGATGGATGTTGTTTAGAGAAAATTCATGTTGGTCACTCTTCGGACTCAACAGGTTAACTTGCAGTAGTGGCATTCTCGCTTCGAAGACATTCATTAGAGAAATCAACTACAAAAATGACGAACCTAGAGTAAACTCGGGGGGAGGGTGTTCAAGGAGGGAAGAGAGGGGACCTCTCCCCAGTTCACTTTCGGTTCGTTTGCGCTCTCCAGTCCCGCTGAGCCTTGACTTGCTCGAGAAACTACTGTAAAAAAGGGACTGCCACACTTTTTGATCGACTAAGATGTCTACTACCACCGCTATTTCAAACAATTTCAAGTAGCGTAAAAACTGAGTGGTTGCTTTTTAAATCTCCTCGGCGATGTTTTCGCAGTTTGAACCGTTGGCTTCAGGCTAAGGGCGTCTGATTGGTTTATTTTGTTAGCATCTGTGGTTGGCGAAGGAAATTTCTTAATCACTTTTGGTTGCTTAATGACATTTACCAGAAATCCGCTCTTATAAAGAAGGTCATGATTAAGTCATGTAATTTCTTGCCCTTTCATCTAGATTGCCTTGGACGCGTTATCAACTGGCTATTTTTGCAGCGACGAGGACAGGGCAGGACTTATGACTCCAATCCCCTGTTTCTTTCACTATCCTACATGGATCAAACGCCTCAACCTGTACCAGATTCCTTACTATTTGGACGAAGATAACGACTGGGCTTTAGATATCCGCGAACTGGAAAGAGCGTTAAATGAGTCGAGACCGCACTGTAGACCGAGAGGCCTGGTACTTATTAACCCGGGAAATCCCACAGGTATTAAGAAGCTATTTTAAAAATTAAGTGCACCACTAAATCAGTAATCGGCTTGGACACATAAGCCTCCTTACAGAAGTCTCCTTTTCCTTGTGATCGAAGATGCTTGCTTTTTAAACAGCACTGCAAGCGATCAAACATATCTGGTTCAATTAAGTACCCTTTCATACACCTGAAGCCTCAAAAAGGTACCCCTTTCTGGCGGAGCCTCCCTGTTGAAGCCATTATATAGAGTACCTCCGGGATTAAAAGTAATTGTCGTACTGCTGTATATGCATCCTTTCTTTATAGGTCAGGTCTTAAGCTACGACAATATCAAGGAAGTGATCAAGTTTTGCGCTCGGGAAAAACTGGTTTTATTTGCTGATGAGGTGTACCAAGAAACAGTGTTTACTAATGAGGTCCAGTTTCACTCGTGCAAGAAGGTTCTGAGAGACCTGGGTCCCGAATACAACAAGTTCCAATTGATGTCGATAAATTCTGCCTCGAAAGGGTTTTATGGCGAGTAAGTCTTGATCTGACAAATAATTGCTTTTATATGATATAACGATCAACAGAGGGAAAGCATAAGTCACAAAAACAACAACAAGTCTGTATTCATGAAGTGGCGGAGATTTTATCAGTACACAAAAAGGTTTTATCATTTCTAAAACCCATGGCCAGTAGCGCCCGCGAAATAACGTGCAATGTATTAAAATGAGACATTAAAATTTTATGGCAAGAAGTATATTTATAATTGGTTTTGTCTTAATTTTCTGAAATGCAGGATCAGTGAAAGAATATGCTATGTGGCCTGGTTTAAACAAAAAAAACAAACAAACAAAAACGAAAAACATTCAAAACAAATACAAAGTATACTCTAACCAAATTAAACAATGACAATGGAGTTTGATGATCGGATCCATTAAACCCTGCTAATAGAAGGGCATGGCTGACCGAAGCCTGGGTAAGAATCTTTTGTTGTAATTATTATTTGTTTTTAATTTAGATGCTGGTCTTTTTTAGGTGTGGTTTGAGGGGTGCTTACATAGAGCTTGTAGGATTTAGCAAAGAGGTTTTATTCCAAGTTAAGAGGTATTGTTCCCCGCCATGCACTGTGCCGTCATCTATTGCGCAGGTATGTTAACAATTAAAGTCATTAAAACATGATTTATAAAACGGTATTGATTGCTTTGAGGAGCTAGGACACTTTGATTGGACTCTTTCGAAACACCAGTCCTGCGGGATTTGCACCTTTTTTATGTAAAGATTTTTTTATTATAAAGGAAATGAAGGGAGATGTAATGAATCAACCATAAGAGGACACAGAAAAAATCTGAGCCCCAGATGGGATTCGAATCCACGACCCTCCGTGTTCTACATCGGATGCTCTAACCTCTGAGATACTGAGGACTCGTTGGCGAGCAAGGGTCATTTTTGTGGGTTGGACTTGCGAACTGCATCTCGCAGTCATACACTTCATCACAAGCAACACATTGCTCGCCAACGAGTCCTCAGTAGCTCAGAGGTTAGAGCATCCGATCTAGAACACGGAGGGTCGTGGGTTCGAATCCCATCTGGGGCTCAGATTTTTTTCTGTGTCTTCTTATGGTTGATTCTTTACATCTCCCTTTATTTCCTTTATAATATTAATATCAGTGGCAAAGTTTTTTTTGTTCCAATAAATTTACCCGCAATCAGGGACAAATTATTAATAAGTAGTTGACACACTTGTCTAAAACGGGCGCTTTTATCAAAAAAATTTTTCATTTTTCCTACAACTCTGTTTAAAGGTGGTAAATCCTTCCACCCCTGAATCAATGAGGTTTTATAGTTGAAGAAAGATTTGTGTGTGCATGTTTAAAACACAACAATAGGGAACTTAAGGAAAGACGTTTTTGAGCGACGTACGTCAACCGGAAGTCAGGCCTTTTCCTATTTAACATTCCTTAACGCTATTAAAATTGTACTGCTAAGTGTCCGTTCTCTTGTAGAGAAGATTTGCCGAAAAGTTGGGTAAAGCTACTGCCCAAGGCTACTGCCTAAGGATGCAAAAAGCTCAGTTCCGGTTAATTTGTGAATCACAAAATTACAGCCTCATGTCATACAAAACATGGCTCAAAATCATTATATTTAAAATTAGAAACGAAAAAAGGAACTCTGAAAAACTGTTAGGCTAACAAGTTCTCAAAGACCTCAAATACAGTACAACGTACCACATTTATTGGTTTCAGTCTTCCTTAAGTTTGTCCATCCGTGGCTCCTTTGGTGTTTACTGTCAGTGTTACTCATACTTTCTTTTCATGTTTTGGGCAGTTATTTTTATGTTTTACTCAGTTTGGTAGCAGTACCCGCTGTTTGAATTTTGTTAGATTTCATGACACAGCTCCTTTAAGTTCCCTAATGACTTTTGAGGAGGGGTTGTACAAAGAGGGAGGGGATAGAGATTTACGGAAGTGTCACAATCGGCTTTTGTTCCCGGCCTCATTGTAGTTGCTGGCCACGTGAGTGATAACGGTTTGGATTGTCTTAAAATTATAAATGTGGTTTTCCAGCCGACCGTTTTTATTATCTTTAGGCTGCTGTTAGTGCAATTTGTAATCCCCCTCAGCCTGGTGACGAGTCGTACGAGACATTTATAAAGGTAAGTACAGTCAAACCTCTCTTTACAGACACCCGCTATATACGGACACCTCATTATTACGGAAGCCCTTGCATTTTCTCTAAATTCAACCCGCTTAATACCGACACCTCATTATTACGGACAGTTTGCTGTGTCCCTGGGGAAAGAAAGCTCTTACATTTTCTCTAAATTCAACCCGCTTAATACGGACACCTCATTATTACGGACAGTTTGCTTTGTCCCTGGGGAAAGAAAGCCCTTACATTTTCTCTAAATTCAACCCGCTTAATACGGACACCTCATTATTACGGACAGTTTGCTTTGTCCCTGGGGAAAGAAAGCCCTTACATTTTCTCTAAAGTCAACCCCCTTAATACGGACACCTCATTATTACGGACAGTTTGCTGTGTCCCTGGGGAAAGAAAGCCCTTACATTTTCTCTAAATTCAACTCGCTTAATACGGACACCTCATTATTACGGACAGTTTGCTTTGTCCCTGGGGAAAGAAAGCCCTTACATTTTCTCTAAATTCAACCCGCTTAATACGGACACCTCATTATTACGGACAGTTTGCTTTGTCCCTGGGGAAAGAAAGCCCTTACATTTTCTCTAAATTCAACCCGCTTAATACGGACACCTCATTATTACGGACAGTTTACTGTGTCCCTGGGGAAAGAAAGCCCTTACATTTTCTCTAAATTCAACCCGCTTTATACGGGCACCTCATTATTACGGACAGTTTGCTTTGTCCCTGGGGAAAGAAAGCCTTTAATTTTCTCTCAGTTCAACCTGCTTAATACGGACACCCAATTAATACGGACACTCTCTATGGCCACCTCAGTGGCCGTATTAACGGGGGTTTCACTGTATAATGTCGTGCGTGTCTAATCTACAGGGACTGGACCTAGATCCGGGACAGAGGAGTATTACCCCGTGGAGGGTTCTTCCTAGTAATAGAAATGTGCCGCTGGATTGACTATAATGGGGTACATTTTTAAATGAGGTACTAGACTCGGGTCGCACATTTTCAGGATTTGGGGGTTAAGAAAATTTTTCGTATCTAGGAATTTAAAAAAAAAATGTGTGAATTCATTTTAGAATTACTGACCTACTCGTAGTTAAAAGGTTTTATAAGTTAAAGAGAAAGTGGCTATGAAATACATTTGCCCAAACGCCAGGGGCTTAACAGAGACTTAGAGTCTTTTTACATGGAGGTGAGGGATCCCAGGTTGGTGAGGTAACCGGCTTAGGTGTAGTAATTCGCCTTTCCATATAATCTCTCATATGGTCATCTCTGCCACCTATCATGTAAACGTGATCAAATTAAAATGAGTCAGATTATATGGACAGGCGGGTAACCTCACCTACCTGGGTTCTCCCACTTCCATGTAAACAGTCCCCAAAATGGGGTCAATATTTGACCACCAAAAAGACTAACATGGGGTAAGGCCTCGGACGTGACCAAATTGGTTTCTTGAATGTTGCTCTTGATGTGCGGTCTGGGTGGTGAGTAGGGTAAACGAATCTGCGGAGATCGGGATCGACGGCTTGAATCAAGTTTAATTAAAGGGCAGTGTGTGTAAAAACCGTTCACGGGCCATCGAGGTTAACAGACTGGATAATAATTTTATGAAAGAAGATCATCGCAATTATAGACGCAACTTTTTGGTCACCGGGTGGTATCGCAGAGCTCAAGGTTTTGAATTCTGTACAAGCCTGAATTTTTTTCAGGCTTTCTTTTCGCAACTGCAAAAATTGCGTCTATAACTGGGATGATCTTCTTTCATATAATTCTTCACCCCGCAGTTCTCATAAATGATTTTGATGCATTCATAACTCCATCATCATCCTTTCACGGGTTTATAACGAACCAATTCAACGACCTGCTCCCGGTTGGTTTGTTAGCTCATTTGGTAGAGCGCTGCACCGGTATCGCAGAGATCAAGGGTTCGAATCCCGTACAAGCCTGAATTTTTTCAGGGTTTCTGTTCGCAACTGCAAAAAGTTGCGTCTATAACTGCGATGATCTTCCTTCATATAATTCTTCACCCCGCAGTTCTCATATATGATTTTCATATATTAATATAACTTCATCAGACTGAATAGGTTTGAAAAACGTCAGCACATGCCCGCTAAGTGGCAGCTTTAGACTCAGTTTTTAAGATTTGAGTTATTTCTTAAACGTCTGTCTTAGAAGGAAAATGTTGATTTTTCCGCAGGAGAAAATGGCCATATTGGATTCTTATCAGAGAAAAGCCAAGATAACAACAAAGATGTTGAATTCTCTTAAAGACGTCTCGTGTAATCCTGTAACTGGTTCATTGTATGCATTTCCCAAAGTTATTCTTCCACAAAAAGCCGTCGAAGAGGCCAAGGTGAGGCGTAGTTCCTCGAAACCGATAGACCTTTTACGATACGGCGACCATATTGAATTTATTAGATTTAAGGCGTTTAATGGGATGCCCAGGGAGCACTCGCCCAGTATTTATTCGCGCTTTTCGGGCAAAAAGAGAACTTCACTGTATATTTCTCGGGAAAAAGGCGATCATTATTACATCCAAACACGGCACAACGATCTTTTTTTTTTTCCCATTACAATCTTTTTCTAGGAAACCTTAAAGAAAAACATGTTGGCCAGAAAAGCGCGCGTAAATACTGAGTGAGTATATCTGATCGTGCTCATGTCCCCTGGGCATCCTATAATACTCCTTAAATCATTTAATTCAATATGGCCGCCGTATCGGTAAAAAGGTTTATAGAGAGCTTAGGCAGTGTTCACGCCATACTGGATAGCGTTTCATCTCGACGCGAAAAGTTATTAGATATAGGTATAGCAAAAACAGCAACTGCCCTGGGCCTGAACAAGTAGCTCACATTCATCGGACATCGTACCTGAGCGGTTGGCCGACAGCCAGCTTGGTGAACTAAGTCCCAAATCTCACTCCTAAATATTTATTTCGTCTCAGTGGGTTCCAGTCCTAGCCACTACGTATCCACTTCCTCGACTGTCCGAAAAAGTGTAAGGGCCAGAACCTATTCGACATATGACCCTCCAAAGTGTTCGAGATTGGCGCGGCGTAGCTTCGCCCCGTCACAAGAATTGCGCCGAAATCGTCAATCTTGTGTATGAACAGAAGCACTGTCCGGTACGGTTTTCGCGCCTGCGCAAAAGCTATCTGGTATAATGTGAACAAAGCCTTAAGCAACGACCACGCGACGGCATCGACAACGGCAAAAAATAACTCTGCACTAGATAAACAACTTTGCACGTGCATCACGTTTTTTTGTACATTTCTTTGCCGTCATTACTACTACGACGTGAAAGTACCTAATTTCACGTTTTGTGGAGGACGTGCACACAAGACAGTGACTTTCTTTTTCTTTTCCTGAACTTTGATGCAGTCTTTTAGAATTCAACTCCAGAAAAATTAGCCGATGTTTGACGAAATGAACAAGATGAAATAACGCGATAAAGTTTGAAACGGCGCGAATTCTCTTTTTCAGTGACGAAGCCGTCGCCGTCGTTGAAGCTTAAGCTCCCTCCCCATAAATATAGATTCCCTTGGGCTTTATTCAAAAGCCCACAATGGAAATGTGCAACCTCATTCCCAGGGTCCTCTCCAAACCGCAGGGACGGGTAGGAGAGGACCCTAGGAACGAGGTTAGGAAATGAGTTCATCTTTTGCAGCTTAAGAATTGTGCACCTGACGAATTCTACTGCTGGCAGATGTTAGAAGCGACTGGTATAAGCCCTGTACCGGGAAATTCGTTCGGACAAAAAGACGGAACATATCATTTTAGGTCAGAACTAACTTGTTATTCGCCTGTCTTTTTTAATTGTTTTATATGCTTATTTCTGTTGTTGGGTTATGGGGGAAGTCGCGGCGCTGATGTGGGACGGAGTAATTGGCCTCTGAAGTTGAACAAGAGACTGACTTACAAGGAGGAGACTGTTTTGGGAGACACCTTTTTGGCACCTATGCCGGGTTGTTCAAACCTGGGTGAAGAAAACCCAAGGCTATTGCGAAATTTGAATTCAAACATGAAAGCGTAAAAAGCCAATTCAGATAAATTCTGATAAGATACTTTCAAAAGGATAGGGAAAACTATTCAAGAAAACGCTTTTGAACAAAAGAAAAAAAGACGGATTAGAATTATACCCACTGTTAGAGCTAATCGGCCTTCTATCAATAGACCTTTTTAGCTGTAGGTTTTGTTTTCTCATTGCAGACCACGTGATTTTACCCTAGAGAACTGTTTCTTTCAAATGACGTCGTATGAACGTGCATATGCGTGCATAACTAATGAACAGACAAAAGGCAAGTTCCCCTGAGAACATCACGATGTCTGAATTGGATAAAAAACTTCCAAGCTAAAAAGGTCTATTGGGCCCTGTCCTGGGGTAAATTTAATAAAACTTTTACACTTGTAATTTATAAGTGTAGCCATTGTTTAAGAGTCTGAAAACAATAGCTACACTTGTAAATTACACTTGTAAAAGTTTTATAAAATAGACCATTTTACAGTTGTGCACTTAGTACCCTAGCCTTCTAATGAATGTGAGGCTGACGGTGACCTTGTTTTGATATAAACCTCCTTTGCTTTGTTATGTAAATTGCCCTTGAAAAATACTAGTTAGCATAAGAATATCTTGATTTACATAATAAAGCAGGAAGGTTTGTATCAAAACAAGGTCACCGTCAGCCTCGCTTCCATCCATAACTGTGAATTGGCCTATTGGACCCTGCGCAACTTCAAAATAGCCAATAACCGAAGCGATCGAATGTCCTCAAATAGTCCCATATTGCTATTCGGCACAACTTCCTACCCAGCCTCGCTCATAACCTCCAAAAGTTAATTCTTAAGGTGACTCGACCCAGTATTTTTTTAGGTACACCTTCCATCTTTGGTCTTGTTGACTTAAACAAATTTATCTTTATTGCAAATCATTATAACTCATGTATTACACATGTTGAAAACTTTTAAAGTTGTTTTCAATAGCTCCTGTATCTTTTATTTAAAAAGTGAAATAAACTTGACTTTAATTACTTTTTGGAAAAGCAAAATTATTATAAATCAGGATATATAATGTTTATAAGTCTATTTTTTTGCCGCAGGTTAACGATCTTGCCATCTGAGGAAAAGGTAGTTTCCATGTTCGACAGAATGAGCAAGTTTCATGAAGAATTCATGCAAAAATACAGAAATGACAAGGATAATCAACACTAATTTAGCAAATATAATTCCGCTTGTTAATTACTGGGCTCCATGCAACCGTTGCAGCCGGCATACCTTCACTCATAGTTAAGAAAGTGGAATGGTTTTGCAACCGTGCACAGCGTTCAATAGCATTCCTATCATTTTGAACTTACTAAGCAATAGAAACTTTTACATCGCATTGATTTATTCAGTCACTATTTGTGAGCCAAAAGCAAAGGATTGTGCAAGTTGGGGAGCTTCCAACATAAACTGCAGCACCGTTTTTTTCATCTTTGATATTTACCGCCTTTCATAACCAGTCTCCTCTACTTAATATACTTAAAGGGATATTTTTATTTATATTTTTATAATTCCAGTTTTTAGCTATTAATAGTAATTTAATTGGCTATTGTTCGTGACGAGAAATTGCACTTTGGGTGAGGTTAATCTTTGGTCAAACAGGCAAATCAATGTAGTGAGTTTCCCAAGGCCCAATTGCCATAGGACCAATCGCCAAAGTATTAACTTCCATTGAATAAGACTTATTTATATCATTCTTGTTTTTAGTCATTTGCGGGGAAATTCTCGGGTTGGGTTATTACAGTACAGGACGACGAACTGTCCTATTGAATTTTCACCAGCCTTTAGGCAGAGTTTCTAATAAAAAATATATATATCAATACAGCTTCAGTTATAATGTAGTTCCAATTTAATCAAACGTTTTAGATATAGGCCATACTAGCAAACTTTATGACTTTTTTGCGGCGTCACACGTAATATTTTCTCTATCTTATAACCTTGTGACTTGTATTTATTTCTTACTTTATATCGGGGCTCAACTAAATGTAACATGTAACAGCTCCTGTACTTACCAATAAACTTCATTGTAACGGAAACTGATAAAATAAATAAATAATACGTGTCTGTTCACTGGATAGAGCAGCTAGCCAGTTAACTTTCAGGAAAAGTTTTACGAGAATTAGTATCGATGATCGATTTTTTTTTACTTTAGAAGACCTTTTAAGCTCTGTTTGCAAACTTTTTACCTGGTCCCTGAGTATGTGATAATACAGGATTGGTATAAAAATGATTCGAAATTTGTCACATCGACAAGAATAATGTAAAAAGTAAAGAAATCGCATGCACTGGCCGGGAATCGAACCCGGGCCTCCCGCGTGGCAGGCGAGAATTCTACCACTGAACCACCAGTGCTTCGTATACAAATCGCATTATTTTTTAAGATTTCTTTTTCGGGTTGTTCAAAGTAGGGTTTAGATAAAGATAACCCAGGGTTAGTGCGAAATTTGAATTCAGATATGAAAGCTTAAAAAGAAAATTCTTTTTCTCAACAAGTTGATGACTGGATGCTCTTAAAAATAACAGAGAAAATTATCCGAGAAAATGCTTTGAACAAAAAAAAAAGAAACCTGATTTAACCTGGGTTAAGCGCTTACCGGCCTTTGAACAACCAGGAATCAGCTGAGGAATGGATTACTAAACGAGGAGGACAGAAAAATGCTAAAAATACTTCGCCATAGCCATACGCACCAACCAAGGACCTGAAAAGCGCTGTGGTACGTATAAGACTGGAACGATAGTGCGACTCTTCTAAATCAATTTACAATCGAATGTTCAGCTATATTATTACATGTCGCTGTAGAGATTTGACGCACGCTGGTCGCGCGCGCAGTATGTCACAATGGCTATCCGACGTATACCAGTTAATAAAATTCTAGTTTGAGAATATTGCAAAAGTTGTTTTCCATTGTTATATCAATTTACTCAGCGCTCTGCGAGAATGGGTTTCTTGCGGTTTTTCAAGCATTTAAATTGTTTTGGTTGCAGTCAGAGAAAAGAGAAATCGACGTAAGTAACTAAAAGACAATGCAAACTGTTGAGCTTTTTCTTGATCTTTTTCCTTCTGTGGTTTTTGCTCTTCTCATGTTGGTATACTTTATACTTAACCTCAGACGAGAAATGAAAAAAGAAATGGATGCTTTGAGAAAAAAAATTCAAGACCTTCAAGAGGATGTTTTTTCCAAAAGGTACTGACTGATCAATCATTGGTTGTTTCTATTTTTCTCGACTGTTCACAGTCCCCTATTTTTCCGCAAGATATATATCGCCAATTGCAAGATCCAGCGCTTTGCGTTTCGTGCTGCCATTGGTGACACTCGGTACACATGAAACCAAGTTGGCTGCACGTACAGGTAACTCTCGGTCCTGACGGTCTTACACGAAAAAGCAGGGGACTGTGAACAGTCCGAATCTACAGTACTAGATTCCAGCCATGTTCGAACCAGTTGCAAATAAGTGGGAAGTTACTTCCTTGGGCATCAATATAGAAACTATATCTTAAAATCAGATATTAACATTACAACGCGGGTTGCTGGTAAAGGGAATAACGTTGCTGTCAACATTGGTATAATAATGATGATGATAACCAACAATCAACAATTACTTTACTGACAGGATGATGGTTGAGGAACTCACCCGACAAAAGGACGAGGCTGAAGAAAGACGCGTTCTGCTTAAAAACGTACGAATGGAACTGATGACCAAAGTGGAACAGATTGAGCTAAAGTTACAGAGAAAACTACAACACCGTCAAATGGTGTTGACTGAGTTAATGTGAGTATCTTAAAGAATCCCGTTAAGTACAGTACATGAAGTTCATTGTCTCACTCATGGCGTTACGCGATTTCCTGACTCTTGAAAGTTTCTTTACACTGTTTCATGAGATTTGTTAAACTGAGTCAAGTCTTTAATTAGACGACCTACAGTGTTCTATCAAGAACCAGGGGCACCCAACGAGAATATAGTTCAAACCCACTTAAACATAGCATTGTTAAACGTATTTTAGTATTTTAACGGTAGATTTAGGCATATTTTTATCCCCTAAAAATTTTTCATCTGTTCGGATTTCCTAGCTGAAAGTCTCGAGATCCGAAAATCATAGGGATCAAAACTTACCTTTTCGAAACTTTCAGCCAGAAAAAAGGCTCCCGAAAATTCTAGGTGAGCTTTTTAGGGTAAAAATCTGTTAAAAATGGGCAATTACACCAATTTTTAGATGTTCGAAAACCCTAGGAGAGGTAGGCAAGCAAGAAATTTTATCGTCTTCCGAACAGATATTTTCCGAAAATTGACGTTGGGTGCCCCTGAAGAACTAGGAATAAACACGACGCACAGCCAAGCGTTTTGATCAGGACTTGATAAAACCGTATTGATAGCTAGCTAGATAACTGCAAGTTTTAATTGTCCGGCTTCAGAACTTTCCTTGATCGTAGATCTGTTCACGAGTCTTTGATTATTTTGGGGAGAACACAGGAGCGAAAAGCAAGGTCCTTAAGTAAAAAAAGAAACACCAACACGCTATTAGTTTTCTCTTCTTTTGTTAGTTCTTTAACGCGAGTAAAGGTATAAACGGATATTTATGGTAAACCAAAAATACTGTCCTTTCTTTATTGTTTTTTTTTCACAGCAAACTCAGCCTTGGAAGATTGGTGCAACAAAAGAAACTAGAAGCAGTACAAAGAAAAGCGACATCCTTCATGGAGGAACTGTCAAGAAATGAAAAAAGAGCAAGAGCATGGAGGGAAAATCTGCGCCGTGTCGGTTCAGAGAGCAACATACACACTGTCGTATTACAGCCGCGACTGGTGTCTTATGCTGTCTGAACAGTCATAAATTAAACCTAGTTGATTTATTTATTTAGGGCATTCGAAAGCATGCATATGGACCCAGTTCTAACATATTCTGACTAGAGTGGATTTAGTTGCCTGGTGAATTCTGCAGAATCCTCGCAAGAAGGCGTTAAAAATTAACAAAAGCACTACTAGTGAAAGTCATGCAGGCTGTACTTTTCAGCCCCTCCCTCATGCACTCCTGACACCGCCGATGTTGCTGAGCATGGACCCAGTTCTAACATATTCTGACTAGAGTGGATTTAGTTCCCGGTGATTTCTGCAGAATCCTCGCAAGTAGACGTTACTGAAAAATTAACAAAAGCACTAGTGAAAGTCAGGCTGTACCCTTCAGCCCCTCCCTCACTCTTGACACCACCAATGTTGCTGTCGGTGCGTCTCCATCGCCCTAAGGGTGGACGGAAAACAATTAATGCATCGCGTGAGACAAGGCGCATACATACCTCATACATCGGTCAACGGATAAGACACATGCTGGTGACATAATAAAAACTATTAAAATAATTCGACTCTTTGAGCGTCACGGCGTGTACTGTTCTCATGTCGGTAACTTGAGCTGCCTTGGATGAGGCAGGAAAAAGTACGTCTTCCCTGGGTGTTTCGTCATGTCATGCCCAGCCCTTTCACACGCGTTGGGAAAATGTTAATGCTGTCAGTGTCTTCATGCTCCTTGAGAATAAAGATCATCATAACATACTGTGCATTACGTTGTCTCTGTGATGTTGGTATACCCCAAAAGGGCCACTTTTTGTTCCTTACACTTGGAGAGTCATTTTCGTCGGTCTAATTTCAGTTAAACTTCTGAATGTGATCGTATGTTTAAATAAGTATCAGGTACAATCAAACCGCCATTAACGACCACCTCTCCACAACGGCCACCTCTCAGTAGCAACAGACAATTTTTTTTGGCGGACAGTCCATGAGGGCTCGAACAATGACATCCAAAAGCTTTTCAGAGGCTGATCTATGACTCACTGTAGTCGCAAGTTTTCGAAAAATAACCTGCTGTATGTGGATTGCAATCTGGTTTTCGAATAATAAGCATTCAATCGATACTGCGCAGGTTTGATTAGTATACCGTCCAGTTACTTTTAATTTTGATATATTGACATCATAATGTGGCAGGTCTTATTTGCGTCGCGTTCAGTAAAAACGGACCTTTACCCGGGACTTTTAAGTCCATTATGAAAATAATGGACTCCTACTTGTTAACTGAAGGCGTATAGATTATGATGATATCGATCATTGTAGCTCATAAATTGTGTAGAAGCTATCTTGCTAGTCGAAAGCAGTATGTCAGCGTAAACGGCCGCGAGCAGTTCGACCTTTGTTTGGTGTTACACAAGGAGTATAAACAGAATAATAAAAACGCATTAACAGTATTATATACATGAGTTGTAAACATTCGATGGAGCAAAAACATCAGCTGTAGTAAATGAATTGAAGCTGTTTTGAATTCTTTGGAGCCTTCTTTGGCCTGCCTTGAGTTCAAAAACATCAACTTTAGGACTTTGTCGAAGTTTGAAAGATCTTTCTCAGAAACAAATGGAAAAACACCGAGCTCACACATTATCCACTCACTAGAAGGTGAACGATGTTGAATAGTCCGAGATAGCGAGCCAATCAGATCGCTTAAAACACCAACATCACTAAGTGTGTACATACTAACACCATTTATTCTAATTTCGCAAATCTAAAGTGTAATAATACTTGAGTGCAGTTAAAGATAATCGAAGATCGCGGATCACTATGTTGTCTTGCCGGAAATCTCAGTCAGTTTTCGTCCTTTTTCTCCATGAACACGCAGGAAACTAAATATCAAGATATAACAGCTGAGTTACAATCCGACTCTAGGTCCAAATGATTCAGCTTAGTCAGTGTTGTTAAGGCTAGGGCGTGTGTAACTTTGCAAAAGTTTTCTCTGTGCATCCAGTGCATCTTTTTGAAGTTTAATCCTATCAACCGATGTAAGGCCACCGGTCACGGTTTTGCCGATAACAACCCTTGGCGATCTGCGCATAGTCTCGTTCACTGGAATCCCGTAAGCTTCTGGTGTCGTTTTTTGAGGAATTTTTGCTTCCACAATCTTTATCTTCTCTGTTATGACTTGATTGAATTTCTTTTGCCCAACATTCTCTTTCACCAGCTTATTTACCGCAGCTGACAATTCTCGAAGCTCGCTGCGGCATTCAGCAACGGACTCCTTCATCTCTTGATTTACTTCTTGAACTTCGTAGAATTTATCTTTCATGGTACTGATCTCTTTTTTTGCCAAAATGAGTGAATTCCATGCCATTTCTAAATGACCATCCACGCTTACCTCCAAGTGGTCCTTGAGGTAAGCTCTTTTATCCTAACAAATAATAAAATGTGAGTATTTTCAATAACGTATCATTTGACTTAAAGTGCTAATATAAATACCAGCATCATATTTTTCTCCAACCTCGTTCCCACTGTCCTTTCCTACTCGTCCTAAGAGAGGACCCTGGAAACAAGGTTATACAATTCTCCTAGTAATGTATTAGTGACCAAGGCCTGTCACCATAAATTATATAAATGTTCCCAAGAGCTACGTATGTGAGGTTTTTCAAAGTACCTCCGTTATGTCTAACAAAGACCAAAATATGCACTGAAGCACACACTACCAGCTCCACGGTATGGCCAGTGCCTTACACATGCACACAGCCATATCACCCTGGTAATGGCAGCCATGGAAAGCTGTTTAGTCCTTCTTACGACCCATCAACATGGCCAGGACGAAACCGCTGTCCATGGCTGCCACTGCCGGGGTGATATAGCTGTGCGCTTGCGTAAGGTATTGGCTATATCGCGGAGGTTGGTAGTGTGTGCTGCATTCCATATTTTATCATCGTTAGGTTTAACCATACTGGAATGACAGACCAGGCAAAAGACAGCCTCGTCTGTTTCAACCTGTTCGTAAAAACAGTCGTTGCCCTGGGTGCCGGAGTTTTCCGGTGTCTGGTTTGTGTTTATAGTGACCGGTGAGCCTGCATGGTATGCAGAGGTTTGAGTCTCCTGCAGTTAGAAGATTGCCACAGGTTCATTTCATTACCTCAAATGGACAACCAGCTTCAGAGTATGGACACAGAACAACTGTCATCAGACATTTCTCAGAGACATGGCTTGCCATCTGAAAATATTAGTAATAACAATAATAATTGGAATGATAGTGATGATGATGAGGATAATGCTAATGATTATGATAATGATAACAATAATAATAAATAATAATAATAATAACGATAATAACAACAATAATGAACTTCAGGAAATGGACATGCAGAAAGACACGGAAGAGCTCCTGATAATATATCGATCCTTTCACTTCCAGGCAGATGTCAGAATAGGCTTTACATGATTAAAAACGAGGGTGAAAGCCTCAGCAGCCAAGAAAGAATGGGATGGACAACGCACCAGAAGAGAAGGTGCTGAAGAGAAGTGAGGACTTAAAAGTATTAAGGTTACAAGTGAAATCCCCTGTATAGTCAATTTTTAAGGGCCACAGTGGATGCTGAAGAGCATGGAGATGAGCTAGTAAGGGTCAGGTAAAGAAAGAGACAGAAGGATTCATTACTGCTGCTCAGAACTAAGCCTTAAGAAAGAACAGTAAAAAATCATTTATCGACAAGCAGGACATCCCGCCAAAATTCAGGTTATGTGGGAGAGAGGGGACTGTAAATATAGATTTAAAAATTCATTAAAAAAATTCGTTTCAATCAAAAAAAGTTATTCCAATTAAAAAGAAAATTATTTTAGTTAAAAAAAAAAAAAAACAATAAATTCGATTTTTTTAAAAATATATATTTTCTAAAGTAAACGTAATCTAACTAAAATATCGTTCTCAATTGTCTTATCGAATGTTTCGCGGGTCCTTTTTCAATATCTAAATCTATGTCCGACATTTCTAAATAGACTCAGTTCTAGACCCTCGCGATCCGTGCGATCCTCCAAAGCAAAGCTGATCTTAGCAGGGCAAATGATACTAACAATAGTTATAAATGATAATAATTATTAAGCTTGTTTGTTGCGCACAGCTAGGTCAAATTATTTGATGAGGTTTTGGTTAGTCGAACAATAGTGCCGGTTTTCAGTAACTAGAAGGCCAAATTTAATACCGAGAATAACTGACTGAGACCATTAAAGCTTAATGACCGACCTGCACTCGATCAAGTAGATGAAATGTGAACAAAAATAAGCAAGCAAAGTTAAATAAACATACCTCTTCTCTGGGTATTTCGTCATGTCCACAATTGTTTTCACAGACCAGAGGGAAACGCTTGCAGTAAATGTCTTCATGTGGCTAGAACATAATCAGCGGAAAGATCATTTATTAGCAGCACCGAGTTAACCACTATAGTCACTATCTAAATCGCTTTACTAGCGAACTTGCTAGGCTTTAGTAAGTGATGTTAGTAACATGTAAAGCATGTATACTGTATATTGTACACGACATTTTGATCTCGTGATCAGCCGGCAAAATTAATGCTGCTGATGTGGATGCAATTACACAAGTAAGCTTATTTAACAATGCGACACCACAAGTCTGATCATCTTTTATCGGCAAAGTGCCTATATTCCCTGCCTTACGTGCATAGAAGGCCAGTGAGAATCTGAACCCTTGGGGGTTCTCCCCTATTAAAGCAACGGGGGTGCTCGTCGTACCTTTTAGGGGTTTAAATTTGTGGATTGGTACCGCTTACGGTGCTAAAACCTAAAATGACTGCTGCCAGATAAAGATTAATGACAATACACCTCAAAAAGCCCTTGAAGCTGTTCGAAAGTTATTTATTACTATTAGAATTTGCAGTGCCAGCTGTAATATGATTTACTGTTGTTGAATTGGTACCTCTTAGGGGTGGAAATGAATTTGGTACACGCCCATAAAACAAGATTCTGGTACCTTTTAAGGGTGTTCTCGAAACATTCCGACTAACACCCCGTCACTTTTATCGTGGAGAACTCCCCCCCCCCCCGGGGAATCTGAACTGTGGTTCATGTAAAATCTTAATCCCAGTACAAGGTCCCATGAAAAATATTCACGACTATCTTCACTAAAGAGACTACCTGACGCTATGCTATAGCAACGCCAGGCAGTATAAAACTCATGAACAAACACGCGATACATGAATTACAGGATGGCTACATGACAAAAATTGTAAGGCCAAAACCCATATCAAAAGCCGGTCTATCATGTTTACTGACATTTTGCTGGACCCGTTTATCGATAATAAAGGGGCGCGGAAAGCTGTTGTCGTTAATCCCCAATGAGGTTTTAGTAGGTTTGCAGTTAATATGTCAAAACTATAATAATAAATAAAGATTAATAATAAATAATTATAAAGAATATTGATTGTCTTTTTAGCTAGAAACCGCGTTTATATTCTTGTTAAACTGTTTTGATTTGAATATTCGATTGTGGACCCGTAAACACCGGACTTTGGAGAAATGGGCACCTTTTGCTAGACCGGCATGAAAGTATTTCCTTTTTTGTATAAAATTTTTATTCAATAACAGTTAGGTAATACAGACCTGTTTTTCGATAAAAAAGAACTCATCCTCGCAGTACACACATTCAACAATTCTCTTAGGACATTCATCCTTAAGATGAGTCCCTAGCAGCCGTCTTTGTATGCTGCCTTGGCAAGCAGAACATGGGACATGTTCATATGGGCATTCTTCTTGGTGTTCCTAAAGAAATACACCATGAGAAATTCACTTAGCTTCAATTTAGCTTTAATAGAGAATTCTGAGCCTGCCAACACAGACCTTTGATTTGCGTCCGGTTTCATGCTCCATAGCCATTATTTCTCGTCGTTCAAGTTTGTTAGCTTATTTTCCTGGAGTTTATCCAAGTTCGGAAAAAGAAAAAGAAAATTATTTGCGTTTACACCACCAAATTGACCAGAGCAATCGGAGCGCTTAAGCGTGTGAGACAATTTGTTCCTCCGTCGACCCTCCTAACAATGTACAACTCTTTTAACCAACCCTACTTTGACTGTTGCAGCGTTGTTTGGGAGGATCTGGGGTTTGAACTAGCTCTGAATTCGAAGCTTCAAAAACTACAAAACCGCGCAGCTGGCATCATAGGATTTGCGTGAACGCAAATCAATGACCGTTTTTAAATGTAAAATGTACCTATCCCTTCCCAGCATCTTTGATTCCTTAATATAATCCAAGCTTAAAATTATTTTATCAAATGTCAGTACCTAGTTCTATAAATATATATATATATATATATTTTTCAAACTTATTAATATCAACTCGGAACTGCTGATAGATATATACATTTCTTTTAACACGGCTTTTGTGTAAACTATAATCCTGGACAAAACTTCTTGAGAATGTTTTTCCCATAATGTACACTATCCTACGAAACAAAACTATTTCCAAACCGGCGGCTTTGTGAAAAGAAATCACTTTCCCCAGTTCGATGTTGCTTCCTACAAACGTTGAGGGAGCAGGCACACAACATCATTGCTTCCAGGGGGAGGGGGGAGGGAAAATCGGTACTGAACAGCTACGATGTTTAGAAAAATGCTCCTCAAGTATGCCATTTTCTCAGTTTTGTCTAAGATTGTAGCTTTTGCTGATAAAACTACCGTGTCTAAATAGAATCTCTCTTTCTAAAATCTCTCTCTCTCTCTCATCGATAAAACGTGAAATTAGGACGTTTAAAGTTGTTGTCGTAAGGGGGTAGTGACGGTAAAGAAATGTGCGGTAGCCCGATAGGTTCCTTGATATACCAAAAAGTGTGCTGCACGTGAAGTTGTTGTTTTGCTAATATAATGCTATGAAGAATTTTCACTCAAGTGGCCAGCATCTGTCCAATGTATTGGACAAAAGAACGTTTTACATAAGAAAAGACTTCAACTGCCAGTAGCAATGTACCATGGTCATGAGCTGACGACACACCATGGTCGCATACAACGGTCACACCATCTACGAACATGTTCAAACATGATCGGCAATGAAAAACCCTGGTACCATAGTCAACCACTTTCCGGGGACAGGATGGTCATAGGTTTAGAACACTAATATGGTCGCTGTTCCATTTTTTTGGGACAACAACTAATGGCCGCCGTGATGGCATGTAAAAAAACGCTCTATTGCTTTTCTGACGTTCTCGTTGCCGTCCGGTGTCGTGACATCTTACCAATTACTCCAGTTCCTAAGGTATAGTAAGCGTGGGTGTCTCTGTATAGTCCTGAATAAACAGACTATCGGTTACTAACAGTGACTGAAGATTCTATGCCCTATGCGTACGTTATTTATAATAAGGCTGAAAGTAGATACCTCTGCATATCGCAGTTGACCAATCCATTCACATCCTCTGGAATTCTGCTGGCATTTGATTCGGAGGGACAATATATCCCTGGCCCAGGCTTTGTCTGCATAGAACTATAACGTATATAAAACAGATTGAATAATAAATATATAGATTTCATATAGTAGAACAATGGGATGAAGAATTTAACGTAAGGAAGATCATCGCAGTAGACGCACTTTTTGCAGTTGCGCAAGGCGACGTTCACGCATCGGATGAATTTTTGATCAGCTACGGAAGAATTTGTCAATGACCGGACACTTCCTTCACACGAAAGCAGTTAAAACATTTGCGCTTTGTTCACAGGGAACTGACGAACCAGGCTGAATTTCAACTTTATGCCAACAAATCCAATGTGGCTGAAAAGGTGTCCCCCAGCTAGATACGCAGCAAATGCAATCACGCTGTTGTGGTAAAAAATTTAATTGAGTTCACACCACGTCGATCAAAATATTCCAACCGTACCGGCTACATTATTTTTCTTCGATTTTGGAGTTCAAATTTTTGAACGGTTGGCGTTTAAATTATCGCACGCGGGATAGGTATGGTTCCTTGCCTACGGAACACCGTGTGAAAGTAGCCTCAGGCTTCACGCGGGGATTCAAACCCTTGACTGGCCTCTGCGATACATATCGGGAGCGATCTATTGAACTAACAAATCAACTGGAGGCTAATCGTCAAAAATATTTTTATCATGTCAAAGTGACTGATTGATTTGATTTTCTCCGGGTACTACAAACTTATAGCTTGTGAAATATTTGGCCACATTTTGGAATCCTGCACCGCTACCAAGATCGCCGCACCGCTCTCACGTCAAATCGTAAAATGATGTCAAACATCTTCCAAATATGGTCAGCGCCTTTTAGTTATTAAGAACAGGCTGTAGCATTAATGGCAATCCGACAGAGAAAAATTTATTATTTCGAAAGAGTAATAATATTAACTGTGCTGCGCATCATTTCATATAACAAAATGTTTCTAAGGTCAAGTACTTACACCGCCTTCCTCTTCAATTTCCTGACGATCATTTGGACAAACTGGATGACTACTCCTGTCGGGAAAACAATTGCTTATCATAAAAATCCGTTTTAAAACTAGACGCTCAAATGCGTTCCTGGCCATAAAAGGGTGTCCGTAAAACAGGGTTCATAGCGAAGCGAATTGTATTCACTCGAATATAAGCACCGTGGCGCTTATTTATTTTTTTACGCTGCAGTGCTGCGCTTATTTGAGGGCGACGTTCATTTGAAAGTTGGACGACAAAAAGAATCGTATTAACTAAGGTATTATTAATTTCCTTTTTAACCTGACACAATTAACGTCTTTTTATTTTATTATTTTAGGGTCCCGGCGCTTATAAACTTTTTTCTTCAAAAAATGTGCGCGAAATGTGGGTTCGTAATAAAGCATTTAACCGTTATCTTGTCTTCGATGCACTGTTTTACGAAGTCTTCTCAAGGGCGACAGCGAGGCCACAATAACAACTGACATTCATCGTAGAAATACCTTCATACCTTAAAGAACACGTTTGACGAATGAAGCTCCAAATAATATACTTCATTCAGCTCCAGAAAACAGGCTGCAAATGCTGGTAGTAAACGTATAATATTTTGTTAAAACTGTTCGCAGAAAATGTTTCTCTAGCACTTCTTCAGACCATATTGACGCATGCGCATACAAATTGCCCTTTTGTTGGTTTGGCATTCGCCCGTTCGGGGAACCAGCCATGATATTTCACTGTTACCATCAGCTATAAAAAAAATGTGCCGCATTGCCAAAACAAAATGCGCGAAAACTAAGCGAATGGAACCCATGCATGGACCCACCTGATGTAACATTTTTGTCCAAGAGCGAATTTGAAACGAAGGATGTTCAGGATTAGTAAACAGATCCATCCTGTCTTCCTGAGGAACGGGAATTGTCAAGTAAAAATGGCCAATTTTCGACTTTTCTAATACTTTCTGGTTGGAACTAACTGATGTAGTCAGTTTATTATACAATATGAACGCTTCAGAAGCGTGAACGGTCAGCACTGAGCATGCATATTATGTACGTAATTGACCAACCAACATCCTATGTCTTCACTAATATGACCGCCTTCTAACTATTACAAAATAAACTGAGAACGACGTGAATCCAGGGAGGTCTTAACACTACTTTGCCACGAAGATAGAGTACCGGTCACTACAAATATAAAGCGCGGAAAATATAATTATGCTAGCAATCAAGATTGTCCCTCAACATCACTGGGATCAGCTGCTAATTACATGGTCTGCAGGGGGGGCCTTACAGAAATTTTGATCTTTTCAACATATTTTTCCCTCCCCGGCCATCTACATAAATAATGACCGGTTCCTTAAGCGAATTTTCTTTTCAAACCAAATCAATAATGATTAGTAAAAAGAATAGTGTTCTTATTTCTGAACCAAAAAGTTAGTTTAATAATACATAAACAGACTAGAATCTTACTTTTCCATTTAAAAAACATGAAATATTCGGCGGCGTTGCCGATGTTTCTCATATGGCGTCTGCATGTGGCGCGAAAGCTACTTTCATTTGACAAGATGCGGATTTTTTTTTTTTTTTTCGCACGCTCGAGGCTAAAGAATGTAAGTTTTCATGAAAAAAATATTCACAAAATTCTGGTTGACTTGATTAGAAAATAATTTGTTAATTTTTAATAACTAACTTAAACCCTGTAAATGTATGTAAGCATAAATTTACATGCACTAAGGTGACTGGATAGAGATTTCTCGGGTGGATAGTGCTACCTCATGCGCTTAGTTGCGCATGAGTGATTACAATTTACGCATAATGAATATCTAATTACCGTGCAGAATTCGAGCAGAATAAGGGAGTCAGAACAGAATTTTGGATTGATAACAAGCGATTTTTTAAGCACTGCTGGCAGGCAGAACAAAGCCATTCTACGAGCAGAATTTATCCAAGCCTAGATTCCATTCCCGTGACGAGCCATTCACTCATGATTCACTGGCGATTTATATATCCCATGATGCATCGCTTCATACTATATTATCAAGCTTCCGAACGCACGTGATGCTATCAATTCAACAAGGACGTGACAGTTGAACAGCAGTGGAAAGCGACTTTTGCCGATAAAACTTTCTGTACCTTTGCTGTGTCGATCTATTTACATGTAAGATTTTCGTTTTACTATTCCAAATATATCTCTTGTTAAGTCAAAGAGAGTGTTTTGGCCGCCGATTATGAGTTAACTAGCCTTACGATAGCAACGTAGTCCACACAAATCAGCCTGACAAATGTTCTGATAGAAGCTAGCGAGGAAGGTCTTTGTTTCAGTACGTCCTGTTTTAACGTTTGTTGATAAAGCTCTCTCTATGGATTAACAAGCGATTTCCACGTACCTGTCTTGAAATAAATACATATTCTAGGTGTGAGATTTTTCTTCGTTGCTTGTTGGTGATCGCGGTGTTTATATTGTCAGTTCAATAATTCATCGATGCTGTACATCAACCGTACGGTGACCGCACATGCTTTTATACTTCAACAAGCTTGGCTTATGTAGTCGAAAATACCGAGACCGTTAAAGTGCAAAGTGGCGTCTATCGGAGATAAAATTCAAAGGAGGGGAATAGCTCTAACAAACAATAAAAATAACAAAGACATCTCTATATTTTTCGTAACACAACACCAGCTAAGCACCATTGTCAATAAACATAAACAGAAAAAAGCTTTATTAAGAAATGGCAAAATAAAAATACAGAAACACCCACTTCTTCACTACAATGGATCCTAAAAGAATTATGAAAATGTCTTAAAAGGCTTTACACGTCGGTTAAGGTCCTACGGCGTGCTATTCCATGACATTTACTGGCTTGTATATTCAGCTGTATATTTCAAGTTCAGCACGCGCGGTTGCGACCGGAAGCCACCATGAGTAACCAATTTTACCTAAAATAATGAGACAAAAAGCTTTAATAACCGTAAACCATTGAAATTAAACATTTATCATACCCTCAAGAGATAATATTTGTGTTTTGACCAGCGAAAAAAGAGCAAATTCAAGAAAAAATGTCCCATCTTCGCAGGACTTAGCATAAAGAAATTGAAACCTTCGTCTTTCATCTTGGCGGAGAAAGGGCAGAAAATGCGATATTTCAAAACGATCAAACCCATAAAAATCGCGGGGTCGAAAGAGGTCGGAGCGTGGAATTAGTATCAAGCACCCCTTTTCCGCCGATTTAAATAATTTATTCAGGGCAAAACCTCGCAGGAATAAAGACAGTTTTCGATAATTAAAAGGCATCTAAATAAATATTCACTTGCGAGTGAAAACAGCATGGCTTAACAGGGTCGTAAACGAGAGCAATAATACGTGAAATGACCATGGAAACATTTTACATTATTAATCAGATACCAAAGATTACATGTAACAGGGCTCATTCAAACTTACCTTGGATGAGCTGCATCTTGAAATTGAGGTCGTTGAAAATCTCCCTCGAAACCCTCGAACGCTCTTTCCACCGCGGAGAGAAGACAAAGATTTGCCGCGAAGCATCATGGTATATATGAAATTCCCCCCTTTGGCGAAATCTAAGTACAGCAGTTCACAGACTACTACGACACTCTTTCGTTCTTACAGTTACCTGTCCAGTTGCAAAGTCGGCCCTCTCTCTCGGTTGTTGTTCCGTTTGACGTAACGAAATGGCAGCAGAGGAAATCATTACGGACAAAACCATCGGCCCTGCGCTCCAGAACTACGCCAATTCGCGAGGGTGGATTGATGCACGAGCCAATGAGATTCGACGGGAACTTAAACAGGTAAGAAAGGATATATTCAACACATACCGAGAACAAGAATCGCCGAAAGGCGATTTTTAACTGGGCTGCCATAGGGCTATTTTTTCTGAGGGGAGGGGGCCGCTATACGCATTCAGGCTACCATAAAAACTTGTCGCCGACCGTTGCGTAAGACAGAATGTCATGTGAGACTGAAACATAAACTCATGCAGAACACTGTACCCTTTTGAAAGACTTTCGTAACAAAAAAACGAGTACCATTTTTAAGAGGGGACTGTATAATAACTTTTAAATTCCACCATTATGAATAAAAATAAACAAGTTAGCCATTAATTCTAAGAAGGAAACGATTCGCATTATTTTCACGCACCCCTCCCCCAATCACTCTACTTCTCCCAAAATATAGCGTGACAGCGTAACGTGACTAATTTGATGTCACCGGAAGTTCCAAAAACTATTGTTGTTCTACGAGTAGGGGTATGAGTAGTTGTAGGGTCAGCTACTCGCCACTGAGCTGATTTACACTAGACAGAAATATTGTATTGTATGAAACCCAGAAGTTTACCAAAACAGACACCCAACTGTCCATTGATCCCGATCCAGGGGCCTCACTGACTGCACTGAGACTTTACTATAGACGATCCTAATTTGCGGTCTACAGTCTACATGAAAACGCACTATTTTTTCCACAAGATAAAGAATATTCAGTTTTAAGATTTTCCTCTCGGTATTTTTCTCTAACTTAAAGGAATAACACCCTTTGCATTCTGTGACCTAAAAAAGGTTTAAAGATTTCTCGCTCGCATGTTGCTTTCATCAGCACGCACTTTAATTTAAAAAAAATTAATATAAATAGATGAAAAGATCGATAACATATACTGTTTCATTACATGAACGCGGACGTGACTCTTGCTTCATGCGATGATGTTCAAAAATTGTTTTGTGCTGCAGAAGCCGCAAAAACTGTTCACTTCTTCGGCAATTTCAGGCGCCATTGGCTCGTAAATTCACCAATATCTTTAACTTCTTGAGGAACTTTTTGGATGCAACATTCTGTCGTAGAAATGGTTTAAAATGAAAGATAGTTAAGGCCCAAGTTTGTACCGCGATGCTCGCAGGTTTTCGCCGGCACCTTTCCCGGGGGTACTCCCGCGAATTTTGGATAGGGGTGTGCCGCGAAGGTACGTGAACCCTAACCCTATTTAAGGACTAGGAAAGCGAAAACTGATACCCTTTTTAAGGCCCAAAGCCGAAAAATGACACCCTATTCAAGGAAAGAACAAAATTATTCATAGCATGAAAAGGAAAACTTTATTTCTTCTCTGTAACATTGGATGTATAGCATCAAGCATAAAATACTAAAATACTTAAACGGATACATCAAGTTTTAAAAAAACCGTTCGTTTAGGCAGGCGTTTTCACACTCCACTATTAGATAATAGAATTAAGCTACCCTATCTAAGGACCACACCAGGGACACAGAAACAAAAGGGTAAAAAAAGATACCCTATTTAAGGACCGAGAACCTCAAAAACCATACCCTATTCCGCGGCACGTACCTATATAGCCCATATATGGGAGTACCCCCCCCCCCAGGCACCTTTCTCTTTGCGTACAATGGCTTAAATATTGGTAATTTTAGCTCATATACAGTGTTTGTATGGCGAGATCAATATTACTGTTGAACGGCGCTAGCGTAATTTGCCAATTAACCGAGAGAAAATGAGTAAAGACCTCAAAACTTCGCACAATAACAGGTATATGAAATTCCTTTCCAGTTCAATTTAATTTTTAAGAATTTTTCTCTCGCCATAGAAATCCTTATTAGAGTCAGACATTTTTAAAGGCCATTGGGATCCACAATGCGCATGCTTAAGGGCCATACTGTCCTCAATTTCCGCCCATGCAACTTTTTCATTCTGAGCAATTTCTCTAGTTATCTTCTAGTTCTGATCCAGATATCGGAGCAGCTTTTAGTGCTTAAATTGGCCTTTCTTCTATATTTCACAATGTTTTAGTAGACAATTTATGAATTTCCTGTAAAAAAAAGGAGCCAAAACCTCCCCCTTGAGCAGATCATGGGCGCAAGATAAAAGTAGCTGGGCTGCTAGGCAAGTGGTTGTTAGAGAAAATTCAAAATGGTGGACGAAGATTCACACTCGACGGGACTTGAATGTCTCGGGTGAAGAAGTTCGTTCAACAATTTTTTTTGGTTTAAATTGGAGCCAAAGTTGTTTAGCACCGCTTTTGACGCCTCAAAATTGCACAAAAATGCTTTGTGGAACAACTTTTGAGCAACTTTCGTGACAAAAAGCAACTTTTGATTGTTTTTTAAGCAAGTTTCGAGCACCTTTCTGAGGAATAACGGGGAAACTCTTTGGAAAATCTCGAGCTACCTGTGGAAAGCCCAAGGCTGGATCGCAAGGTACTGCACAAAACTGCGCTGCTTAGTTGCAGTTGGACAGAAAGTTGCGGAAAAGCCATGAAAGCCCGATTTGCACTTTTGTGTACTCTTAAGGTGGCTCAACCCAGTATTTTAATAGGCACACCGGCCTCCATCTTTGAATCTCTTATACTTATACAAATAGATCTTTAAACACATGAAAACGAATGAATCAGGGTAAAACGTAATGCTGAACTCTGTTTGTAATTTTAAGGTTACTTTCACGAAAACAGCGATTAAAACAAAATTCGTGGATAGATTTTTTAAAAAAAGTTTCAGTACATTAGTTGATCAGTGTACTATTAAATCCCCGAATTTCGTGTCGATTGAAAACTGTTAAAGTTTTGTTACACATATTACAACCCTACCTTCCTATAACCAGGGGCACCCAACGACCAATTTGTTGTAAAATGTATTATTATACCCCCATTAATGAAAATAAATGTTATTAAGGCATCTTCACGTGTTTTTCAGTGTTGCTGGGAAAATATTATCTGTTCCTTTTTCCCAGCAAGACACACAAGAAATTTCCCAGCCAGCTAGATAAAATTGGTTGGTTTCCCAGCCAGCTGATCAAATTTATTTCCCAGCCAGGAATTAAATTAATTAATATAAATGAAAGGAATAATAATGATGATAACAATAACAATACTTATATTAATGTGGCTAAATGTAATTTAGGCAAAGTTAACCTCGAAACAATGCTGGTTTGCAGTTTTTCCTGCTATACGGGCGGTGGCCCGATGCCTCTAGCAGGGGCACCTCGTGAAGCAGTTGCTTGCTTGCAGTTCTTTGCAAAGTGTTGTTGCAATAGCCTGCTATTTGCGTGTCATTCTGTTTTTTTTTTTTTGACAAACAGCTGTAATTCTTGTGTTAGTATATGATACTCTAAATGTACTGCTGTCTGAAGCAGTCTAAATTTTAGGAGACTTTTGTGAGCCTGGAAAGTGAGCGCAGAATTCATAACACCTAGCAGCATTGTACACATGGCAATTGTTTAACATACTTGCTAGGATAAACCAAGGTAATCCCCAGTTCCTTGCTATTTCCACAGCCTGAAAAATAATATTAAAAACGAAAAAATAAGAGACAAAAGTTAATTGACTACAGCCAGCAGCAATACTGATTGAGTGTGATGTTTTCAGATCTAGTTATAGCTTACTAATCAAAGCTATTGTTATCACAGGGGCCACACACAAAGTGCATGACCCTTGGTATTATTGAATTCAGAAGCAATGTATGAGAATAGCAAGAAGTTCCATAATTATTACTGTACTATTCTGTGATCAATATTATATTTTCATATAAGATGAGGATAAACCAACCTTTATCTGAAATGAAGTGCTGTTGTTGTTGATGGCTGGAAATGGCAAATTTTAGCGATTTTTTCCTGAGCAATGCAAGTCCTTGAAATTGAAGGTTAGTTTATTCTCATTTGACATGTAAATATTCATTGCAGAATAGTATAATCTTATGGAACTTTTTGCAATTCTCATACATTTCTTCTAAATTCAATAATACCAAGGGTTACCCACTTTATGTGGGCATCCTGTGATTGGTGGTATTTGTAAAAAGTAGACTCCACCCCTTTAAATTTTTAAGTGTAGAAACCTTACGCTTAAGTTGAAACATATTTATTTATCATAAATGTCTGCGCCAAACAACAACAAAAAAAAAGGTTGAGGTAGCAATCTATTTGTTATCATGGTGCTGCAGTCAACCAATTTAGCTATATTGTATATCTTTCCACATCAATTGAAAAATAAAAAAAATTCCTTGATTCGCCTAATATGACAGTCATTATTTATAAATTTCCTCCACACAATACCAGAATACTGAAATGGATGGATAACAAGATCAGTAAAATTTCTGCAGGCCATAATTAGGTCTAGCAGTTGAACTGGTCCAAATGAATGAATTTCTCCACGCTACAAATATTTTTTTATTTTATCAAAATTTAAAATGTTACCATGATTGGACAAACTGTTAAGCATCTTCCTCCCAATGACATGGATGTGCGTCCATTCACATTAAAGGAAAAGGGAAACTTAATAGACAACTGAATAGAGGGCCACAAAGGAAGCAAAGTTCTCAGCGCAAACCATGAAATCCCTAACTCAACCAGATGGAAGAGAGAGGGTCATATAAGAATGAACAAAAAAAGAATACCCAAAGTCACAAGCCTAACCCAACCTGGTGGAAGAGAGAGGGTCGTAAGAATGAACAAACAATGAATGCCCATCGTCACAAGCCTTAATCAACCCGATGGAAGAGAGAGGGTCATAAGAATGAACAAACAGTGAATGCCCATCATCACAAGCCTAACCCAACCTGATGGAAGAGAAAGGGTCGTAAGAATGAACAAACAGTGAATGCCCATCGTCACAAGCCTAAATCAACCTGATGGAGGAGAGAGGGTCGTAAGAATGAACAAACAGTGAATGCCCATCGTCACAAGCCTAACCCAACCTGATGGAAGAGAGAGGGTCGTAAGAATGAACAAACAGTGAATGCCCATCGTCACAAGCCTAACTCAACCTGATGGAAGAGAGAGGGTCGTAAGAATGAACAAACAGTGAATGCCCATCGTCACAAGCCTAACCCAACCTGATGGAAGAGAAAGGGTCGTAAGAATGAACAAACAGTGAATGCCCATCGTCATAAGCCTAACTCAACCTGATGGAAGAGAGAGGGTCGTAAGAATGAACAAACAGTGAATGCCCATCATCACAAGCCTAACCCAATTTGATGGAAGAAAGGGCAGTTTCCTGGTGTACCGGTTCACAAAGTTTCTAAAACAATAGATAACAATAGAATACAATAAGCCACATGAACAAAGAACAATAAAGAACGAACAATAGATCTGTGATATTTCTGTAACACGAAAATACTCTGAAGAAAGAGGGTCGTAAGAATGAACAAACATTGAATCCCCATTGTCACAAGAATAACTCAATCCAATGGAAGAGAGAGGGTCGTAAGAATGAACAAACAGTGAATGCTCATCGTCACAATCCTAACTTAGCTTTGTTTTGTACAGAGACAGAGTATGACTAAAGATTGTTGAAGAGGAGAAGTAAACAATCTGCCAAGTAAAAAAGAATTAGTGCTGTTGAATTGGTCACAATAACAATTAATTTTTACTGTCAATGTATGTGTTGATTGATCAGTAGTTATTACTGACACATACATTGTATGAACAATAGTATTAATGTCTTAATTAAGTACTCAATCCAATACAAAACAACTGAGCATCAGATACATTCTGACAAATAAAACCACAGTCTGGCCAGAACCAACAAAATTTGCTTAGTCAGAGAAAAGAAAAACTATAGTTAACACCATAGTAATTCATATTTTAATCCATTTGCATCCAAGCCGTCTTTTCCCATCCTCACGTGCAAGTGGGTTCCTCACGTGCAAGTTGACAATGACCATTTTTTCAAACTGAAGTCGTTAATTGGGGTTTCCTTATTTTTGGCTGAGAATTTTAGCTTATGAAAAGCAAGCTAAAAGCGTGACACAGCTCTTATTATTTGTCAGTGTATGTTTGTTATCTGCCTTCTGGCTACATATACAAAGGCTGGTTTCTATGTTAACACAAAAACAGAGGCTTTGCTGGAGTTGTCGAGAGAAACAAACCGTTTTTTTAGCGAAATAACTTGCATTAAAATAAGTACGAATTTTTCTTGATTCTTACCTTGTGTGTGAGGAAACACCTACTCGATCCGGTGACTGCCTACACGGCCTAACTGTAAACAAAAATACTGCTGTCAGTTTTTTAAAATTTGTTGGCTAAGTTCGCTTCAACTGTAAAACGCTGAACACACACTACAGGGCACCGAAACTTAAATCTGTGAATGAAAATACAAATTACTGCTGTTAGATTCACTCGATTCGTCTCAATTCAGTGTAGAAGAACATCACGAGAACTTAAGCATACAGATAAAATAACAATGGGAATTAATCTTACATGTAAATGAGGAAAGTTCTTCGATCTGTACATGTGCAGACATCCGCGCGCTTTGAAATCCCTCGCAAAAATAACCGACACAAAACCGGTTTTTTCCGCAAACGCGATCTCTCTGGCCAGCCGTCAAATGTTTGTCACTACTCTCGGGGGAGGGAAGGGATACTTTTTTTCAGTCGTCCTCGGTCTTCAGAGTTTCTCAGCCAGCCCGGCTTGAAATGCTAGAAAAGTCAGTAATTCCCAGCCAAAGCCTCTAACAATAAGAAATTTCCCAGCCAGCTCATTAGAACACCTAATATTTTGCCAGCCAGCAAGATTCCTATGGGGAACAGATAAAGTGAGGAACAGATTCGTTGGGTGCCCCTGTATAACGGCCACTTATCCCGTCCCTAGGGTAGCTCATGTGTCGTAAAGAAGTTTGAAAGTGAGTATGTATTATAGGGCGGAGTTTTTAGAAGCAACCAGGACGTTTGTCAAAAAAATGTCCCGCGATTTTATTAATGACATGCGCGGTTTGGATAGGAACCTGCTACGCAAACTAATAAGCGAGCTAATTGACCACTCCAGAAAATACCATAACATACCATAATGCTCTTTCTTTGTCACCCCAAAATTTTGCTTGAGCATTGTTTTCAGTTTCTCTCGGGGCCATTTTAACTCCCAAGAGAAACTGAAGACAATGCTTACGCAAAATTCAGTGGGGTGACAAACAAAGATCATTATGGTATGTTATGGTATTTTCTGGAGTGGTCAATTCAGTCTTATTGTAGCCTGCGTGGCAGGCGTTTGAAAGGGAAGGGAAAGGGAGTTTTCAGGCCTGGGGAGTTTTAGGTGCGAGAGAAACGCGAGGGGCGCGCGAGGAGGGAGGGAGTGAAACGCCTGCCAGGAGACCATTGTTTTTCTCGTTTTTAACATCCACCAGGCGAATGTTAAAATCCTGATTGGTCTGTCTTCAAAACATGTCAATCACAGCCTTAATACCTTAATCCGATTGGCTGAAATCAACATCACGCTACTGAGTAACTTAACTTTCAGTAATCATTTGAAAATATGTTGTTAGTGAGGCGTGATGAGATCTCTGTATGGAATTCATCGTTTTAGAACGATTAGAAACTGAAGGCATCTATTTCAGCTTGAAAGGAGAATAGAAGAAAGCAGTTAAAAGACTCGTATGAAGGAAAAGACCTGTCAGCTAGATGAGTTGTGCTGACTGGTTTTGAGAAATCTTGTCTCCTAACGGCTTGTTTTACTCACTAGAAGAAAGAAAGAAAGAAAAAATGCTGCCTGTGTGCTTGTTATCTGCTGTTTGACCTCAAACGACTACCACTCAGGCTACGCTTTACCAACGACCGGATTGTTGAGGACGAAGCGATCTATAATCCTTAGCGATTTTCGGTTTGAGGACTTCTTCTTGCTGGTTATAGACGTTATAAAGCCACCAGGAACTTACTTTAATAATAATATTGATTGCAGAATTAGCCTTATTGTAGATCTTTGAAGTTCAGCTCTTCTTTCCCTGCTACCAGCGTTCTTTTGTATGCTCCGCTGGATCCAGTTCGAGAGTCAAAGTGGTTGTAATTTTAAATACAACCACTTTGTTTGTCGGAGAAATTAAAATTTCTCCGACAAACATTGCATGCAAGTTGGGAACCAGGTTGGGAAGTCCAACACGATACCTTCAGCAAAAACGTAATAGATTTATGCCGTATTTTCTATAACAAGCCACGCATGGTTGCGACTTTCTTCCTTCAACGGACGACCGCATTTATGCTTTTTTTAATAGTACCTTTACTTCAGATTTCTTGTTTTAGGAGAACAAAAGAGAAACAGTACGCGAAATACGACTTTAAGCGCATCGCGGCCAGACTTATTTGACAGCTAGTCATTCACAGTTGCGTTATTTTTGCATACATAATTAGTAGGCGGGATGGCGAAAACAATGGTTTCCTGGCAGGCGTTTTCCTCCCTCCCTCCCTCCTCGAGCGCCCCTCGCACTTCTCTCGCACCTAAAACTCCCTTTCCCTTCCCTTTCAAACGCCTGCCACGCAGGCTAGTCTTATTGTGTTTTTATTTTTATTGTTTTTAGGGTGTAAGTAAACCTTTTAATGAAGTTATAAAACATTTTGGAGACCCACACGCGTTTGGACAACCTCCAGTTTCTTCTCTGAGGCAGGTAGGATAATTTTTTAAAGCTAAAGGTCTTTGTTTTCTGTGCATAGATTTGTTTGTTTGTTATAATTTTGCTTACTCGCGTCAGTTTCTTAATCTTTTATGGTGGTAAATAACGTTAATTTAACTGACCCCAGCCAGCAGGGGGCGGATCCGGAGGGGGGGTTTGGGTGGCTAGCCCTAGGCACCCCCCTTTAAAACAGCCCGCAGAAAAAATATATATATAATACATGGAAAAACAAATGGAAATACGTGGGTTGAAAAAACCTTGTGAAGCCAGCCAGTCTTCCTTCCTTCCTAAATCGCCATGTTTTGGGACAAACATTGGACAACTTAAAATAAATTAACGTATAGTTTGATAGCCGATTGGTATCATCCACCCCCATTAAAAGATTCTGGATCCGCCCCTGGCTGGATCCCCAGCTATGAAGCGGATTTCAAAAGGTAATCCGCTGTCCCTTTAGCCACATCAAGAGCCATTGTGGCTCTTGGCCACATCTAAACCTTTAGACCGTTAGTAAACTAAACTAAAAGTCTAAACTTTTGGATGCCAGGAAATTTTGTGTCGCACCGCTTGTGCTGTAAGCTTTAAAATACAATTGCAGCTTCAACATCGCCCGTTTAACCCTCGGGTATTTCAGTGAATTGTTTTTAAAAATGACTGTTCAAATTCCCAACTCCTCGAGTCGAAGTGCTGTTCAAATGACCCATAATTGCTGGTTTTCAGTTTCACGCCATTCAAAATAGATCAAAATAAAAAACAAAAACCATTCTACAGATAAAGTCCAGAATCTGGGAAATGAAAGGAGGTAAATACACAAAGACCCTCGCCAAGATTTGGGTCGAAGTAATAATTCGTATACGAGATATCCGAGGAAATGTTTTACCCAAATTTATGGAGCTTTGTATGGTGACGCTATGCTAGAGCTCATCCGGATGAGCTCCAACACGGCGGACGGAAACGAACAGAAACATCTGTTACCGAGTTTTGCTACAAAAGCCCTGAATTTACTCCTAGAGGAATTCATAAAAATTAAAGTAATACTTTGTCTAATACTTGAACTGTTTTGATAGCAAAATTCCACGAAAAAAGTCACTTTTTTAATCTAAATGACAGCTCTCTCGGCCGTCATGTAAATGCTGCGTCACGCAAAAGCTTAGAAATTCATGTGTACTCTATTACAAAACCAGGAACCCTTTTGAGGCGAAAATTGGTTTGAAAATTAGTTTTCAGCTGCTCTAATACACCATGGAAGTAAAATCTCAGTAGGATCGATAGATTTGTAATTTAAATTTTAGTGACGTCATGTGAAAACCAACAATAGGTCCATTTTAGGTGATCAAATACCTCAACCCCGCGGAAATTTAGAAGGGGTCCTACATTAATGAAGCTCTCTAAGCCTAGTCCAAAGACATAGTAAAGCTTGTGTAATCCTTTGCTTTTTAACAGATAGGCCACTAAGCTGCAATCGTTCCCTTGAGAATCATCCAAACTCGCTATGTCGGCCTCCGCCATGATTTATGACGCCTCTTTAAAGCACCGATACACATCAACAGTAATAGAGGGAAGGTCCAATTTCCCCATGCCACCTCTTTGTCCTGTGGACAGTTTTTCCGTTCGGACGGAGGGGTCTAAACATAGCGAGGAGACGGCGAGGGAAAAAACGGCAGAGGGGAAGTGGGGGAAAGAGGAGGCACCCTCCCTAGCTAGTCCTTAGTCCTCGCTCGCAGATTTTTCTCCCTTTTTCCCCTCTATTGAGCGTGGTCCCAGGCTACACTCCGGCCCTTATGCATACGGCATAGGAATCACATCTCCCCGAAGCCTCTCTTTGCCCGGGGTATGCCCGATGGAGAAGTTGAAGCTTCGATTTGACCCGGCGATCCATAACGTGCATGCGTTTATAGATTTTGAAAGTCAGTTCTTGGGTGATTGTCATGGACATCTTTGCATTTTTCTTCAAGCTTCTGTCATGTCTCATTTGTCCAAGTTTCCTTGAAGAACCAAGCTACCCAAAGGATATAAAGGAAAAAGCTCGAAGGATTCTGGAGGCAACCGAACATTTCTCAATAGGTGCCATTTCTACTTTATTTTTCTGATTAAGTCTGTTGCCATGTGTTCACCAGACTCAGTTTTTGAAAAAATATTCAAGCCACGCCTAGTGCGTTCAACCGAGAAAATAGGCATTTTAAGATCCAACGACGCGGCGGCAACGAAAACGTCACTTAAAAAGTGAATTTGCGATCTTTCAGGCTTTATCTCAATTATTGCTATTCACTTACTTTGTCAAATGTAGGCGAATCCTCCTGGAGTTGAATTCCGAGGGACCATTTCCAAGTTCAGAGAGAGAAATAAAATTTCGTCGTTGCTTGTTTACGTACTCCATAAAACGTGAAATTAGGTATTTTCACGTCGTAGTCGTGCAAAAACGGGCAAAGAAATGTACAAAAAAGCGTTATGTACTTGCAAAGTTGTTGTTTTTCTTATAAAAACTATTGTTTTTTTGACGTTTACGTTCTCGTCGCCGTCGGCGTCGTCGGATCTTAAAGTCCTTATTTAGGGAGTTTAAGCAGAGACGTTTTTGAGCGAAGCAAGTCAACCGGAAGTGAGCCTTTTTCTCTTTTAATAAGCCTTGACGCCACCATATTTGTATTGCCAAGTGTCTTAATTCTTATAGAGATAATTTTCCCAAAAAATTGTTCAAAATCACGGCTCAAGAGTGCAAAAAGTCAACTTCCGGTTGACGTGTGTCGCTGTTACTTAAACACCCTATTAATATGCTGTACATGTTTACATGATGAGGAGGACATGGTGATTTACGGTATTGCGGTATCGAGCTTTTGCTTTTTCAAGTGGATTTCGATAATTTTTCAATTTTTCTTACGGTATTGAGGTATTAGAAACCCCTAATGTCCCCCTCCATGATGGAAGGGCTGATACTAGAATTATTTTTCTCCGTAAATCTTGTGCGGTGGATCTCAGCGAACGTGTATAGGGTGTTGCCCATTTATGCAAAAGTTTCCATACCAGATGTAATTTTCCTCAAAAGTGGGTTGTTTACCATTTAGAATTTGTTCCGGACAACCAGGTTAAAAATCAGAAATGGAACACGACTTTGTGGGAGCAACGGAACGTCTTTAAAAGTAGTCCTGGTTGTCTCTTTACCATTTAAAAAACGTTTCCGGTAAATCGGTTTGGAAAGTATAAATTGAACACGATTTTTTGGGACGTTCATGGGGGAAGGGGAGGGGAAGGAAGATTTCCTTCCTTTCTTCCCCAACCCCCTCCCCACTCTTTTAATTGCGCCATTTTCAGCGTGGTCTTTGACTCTCGTTTCTCGTTCTTTGCTCCTAAACCGCACGGAAACGCTTGCTACGCAGGCTAAATGGAAGACACCCTTAATATATAATGTGCTGACTTAAATCATAGTTAATTGAGTAGAATGGTTATGAAACCCGTCAGACTCCTTTGTTATATGTTTTTGTGGACCTGAAAGTGCATAACGTTCAAAAGAATTCCTATCATTTTGATTGTATTGACCAATAAAAACGTTGCATTAATTTATGCCGTAACAATTTGCCAACAGAAAACAAAGGATTGTGCACTTTCAGGGTGCTTCCAACATAAACTGCAGCACTGTTGTTTTTATCATTGATGTTTGCCGCTTTTCATAACCAGTCTCCTCTAATAACTATGCTTAAATGCCGTGTTAAATGGTTTGCTTAAAACTACGTGTGAACTAAAAATCGGTCAATTTAATACAAAGTTTAATTTATTCCTGAAATGTTTTCAATGTAGGTTCGTATACTGACACTCTTGGATTAAGAATTGTTCGAAAACATGTCGCCCAGTTTATCACTAAAAGAGATGGATATGCCGCTGACCCAGATAGCATCTTCTTGACGAATGGAGGAACAACTGGAATAAGGGTTTGTAATTAACTTTCATGACTAGTCTAGTACTATCGCTCTTTTGCGAGGTAGGCTCTAGTTTTCAAAGAGATCGTATGCATTTGAACGGAACTACAAAGGACGAGCTGAGGATAAAAAGCCGAGAGGAAACTGGGAGAAAGGCGGAAAAAAGGAACCTCTCCCCAGTTCTCTTCTCAGTTTGCTCGCTCTCCAGTCCTGCCGAGCCTCGATTAGCTCGATTGACCGAAAAGGGACTGCTTGTAGCTTCTGGATTGTCTGTAGTCTAATTCTCTGAATTTTCTTCCAATTGCTGCACTTTTTGATGCATACCGAAGTCTTCCGCTGATTTTTCAAGCAATTACATAAGTAACGCTTAAGCTGATGGTGACTTAAACGATATTACGCGCGCGTTCTCGCATTTTGAGCCACTGGCTAGTCTGAGTGGTTTACCTCGCTTGCGACTGACGACTAGTTTGGGTCAATTTTTAACATTCCTAAGTATACCGCTTTAATGACAAGGTTTAGATTTAAGTAAACGTAAATCGTGATTAAGTCATGTGATTTTCTTGCTTCCAGATTGCCTTGGAAGCGTTAGCAACTGGTTGTTTATGCAGCGACAAGGACAGGGCAGGACTTATGATTCCCATTCCAGGTTTTCCTCACTATGTTGCTAGGATCAAACAGTTCAACATGTACAAGATTCCTTACTATTTAAACGAAGATAACAACTGGGCTTTAGATATCTGTGAACTAGAGAGAGCGTTGGATGAGTCGAGGCCGCACTGTAGACCGCGAGGCCTGGTACTCATTAACCCGGGAAACCCCACGGGTAAGAGATATTATGTAACTTTCATTGCAGCTTTAAATATGGCAAGGGATTTTCCAGTCATTTTTGGTGGGGGACGTAGCAGAAGAAGAAGGATTACTTGTCAAAAAGAGGGGGCTTTTTTAAAACTATAGGGGCGACCCGTGGTAAGCCATCTCATTTTCAAAAAAAGGAACCACAGAAACACTAATACATATAAACAACTGATCACTGTAGGCGGGAAATAAATAAAGGTTTTAGAGACTTCTTTTATCATTCAAATATAGTGAACCTAAGCCGGGAGCTTGTGAATATAGAATAAAGAATATCCTTACTTTGACATCTTAAGCCGTAATGTATAATAATAGCCGTAATCATTTAATTGGTTGAAGTAGAATTTAATTCATGTTTACAACTAGTTTAGGGATTTTGAAATTAGCGTAACAGTGAAAGCAATGTGACAGTAGGTGTGAGGGGGGCGAGTTACTATGGATGGGAAGGATAATGGAGAAGAGGGAGGTGATGGCTTATTAGATGGACTACGCGATTATCGTTTCTTAAGCATAGGCTTGTGTAATAGAGTTTTCGAACAACATAAGTTAAAAAAATACAACTAAACAAGCAACAACAAAAGCAAAAAAGAAAACTGACAGCCAGGGAACCCTGTCACTGAGCAATTCAAATAATTGATATATTATTCGCTTGTTCCTGAACGCGATTTGTTCAGTTTTGTTAGCCATTGGCATGGCCTCGTCAAGTTTGTTCAGACAAAACTTTTTCGGGAAAAAAAGGGAACATACAGGAACAGTGAAAATCGAGAATAAAACATACCATGAGGGTCATGATTTAAATTCATGACCAAACTATTCTTGCGGCAGACTATCTATTCTGGTCACGAAACTGCGATCTCAGGCCTTAATTTCTTTTAAAGCTGCCGAGTCAAACTAAAGGCGCGGTCAAATGTCTTTGCTACAATAAAAATAATAGCCTGTTCCAGCCGTTCAGATAGTGAGGAGCGGTGCGAAGTAAAAAGGAGTGCGAAAAAATAAAAGCGAGGGAGGGGGAGAGATGAGAGAGGGAACGCCTGTAAGATTTGTTTTAAATAGACTCTTCCGCCCACTCAAACCGCATCAGCTGTAGGTGATCTTCACTTGTCAATCAAGACTGGTGTCACAGCTCCATACATTTATTATTTTTCTTGCGAATAAATCGAAATTTCTCAGATCAAAAACTAATGATTATGTATACATAATCTTACTAAAAACCCATTGTAAGACTTTCAGACAATAGAGAGCGGGAGAAGTATTCATGTATAATGAATTTATTTACGGCTTTAAAACATGATTTCAGCGTGTATGTGACAAGAAATTACGAATCAAGTGACAAACAAATATCGCTCATTTCGATAGAAAGCCGTTTCAATACAAATCGTTAACTCAAGCAATGAAATTAAAATGCACAACAATTGAAGGGAAAATTTACTATTCGGTGATTGAGTGGACCTCGTCAACAGCGATAGCTGCAACTTGCTTTCCAAGCTTTCCTTTTTGAAGTCCTTTTGTCCATTTCCTAGACAACCACGATTTGGGACTTCAGTAAACAATTTCACAGCTTCCACTTTTAACGGCTTCATCCATATCTTCTCCCATCATTGCCGCCGCTACTCCGATTTTGTTCAAATGTTCCACTTGGTCTTTCATGATGGCAATCAACGGAGTTACCACAACAATCGTAAATGGCATTCTATCCTGCCTTCATTCCAACGCACGCTTTATTCGAGGAAAAAGCTGGAAAATAAGACTTTTTCCAAAGCCAGTCGGTCTGAAATTGCGGAGACACCTATCCTACCGACTACGTGTTTTAAACAGTTTCTTTGCTCTTCGCGTTTAGCCTCTACGCTTGGAAAGTCACTCAGCGCTGTGTTTGTTGCGAGTTCGAATTCTGCGTGACGGGACGTAGAGTCTGTCATCACCACCATATCGCATTTCTCGCTGTGATCGAAGACGCTCCACTGTTGACAAAAACTGTCAAAATCAACCAATCAGAGGGAATACCAGGATCTGGTATACCGGAACGCACTTTTGTTAAAAATTCCTACAAGCGTTCCAGCACCTGTCTCCCCAGTCCCTTTTCATCGCTTTCTTTACTCCGCACCGCTCTCCACTATATGAGCGCTTGGAACAGGCTATAAAAATGATTATCTCACAACGGTATGCATTCTTTCGCAGGTCAGGTCTTAAGTTATGACAATATCAGGGAAGTTATCAAGTTTTGCGCCCGGGAAAAACTGGTGTTATTTGCTGATGAGGTTTACCAAGAGACAGTGTTTACTAACGAGGTCCAGTTTCACTCGTGCAAGAAGGTTCTGAGAGACCTGGGTCCCGAATACAACAAGTTCCAATTGATGTCGATTCATTCTGCCTCGAAAGGGTTTTATGGCGAGTATGTACAAGAAGATTTTGCCATTTCTAAAACCCAACAACGTTCAATGAGACGTGCGCTTAAACAACCGAAAATAAAAAACATTCTAAAACAAAGTAATATTCTAGTAATCATATGGGACTCATGCAAAGTTTTTCTTTTTTTTTTATCAGAGAACATTTTAATTGATTTTGTCTTCATTTTCTGAAATTCTAGCATCGGTAAAGGAAAATACAATACGACTTGGTTAAAAAAGAAAAAAACAAATAAACAGACAACAAGACTCATTCAAAATTAATTTACGTACACACAATGGACTCAGAGTTCTGCCGCACCCAGGTGATAGATGTTTTCTTGAAGATAGCCTGTTTTTAATCTACAACTGTTTTTTTTAGGTGTGGTCTGAGGGGTGGTTACATAGAGGTTGTAGGATTTAGCAAAGAGGTTCTAGCTCAGTTTAAGAGGTATCTCTCTCCACCACACAAGGCTCCATCAACTGCTGGGCAGGTATTTCAGCAAAGTTACTAGAGCAAGAAACGGAGGAGGCAGCCTGGCCGAGTGGTTAGACCGTCGGACTTGCAATAGGCAAGTTTCGTATTCCCCGACGCGGACGGTTCTGGGACGAGCACGATTGCGAGGCTAATGCGGATCAACTTCTTTACAAAAACAAAAACAAACATAGGCAATTTGGCGCCGAGTCGATGGAAAATGATAGAAATCTAAAAAAAAGTAAGATCTCAAAGCCTAAACTTTAGCAGTGAGTCAAAGGGATAGTGTTGCAAACAACAAAATTGTGAGAAAAGCTGATCGTACTTAATTAACACAAGAAAGAAAAAAGCGACGAAGCCAAAACCCAAAAGAAGAAGTAAACTTTTTAAGCTTGAAAAGGATAACTTGTTAAAATGACAATATTTTATTCCCTTTTATTTCTTACTTCTTATAGTATTCTATCTAACTCTTGCGTAATCTGTAAAATGGAGTTTAAACTGCTCAGTATATCTTCTGTATAAAACTCTCTGTTCTAGTTCTTGTCGAGTGAAATCTGCGTACATTTTTCTTTATGTGATTTCAAATATTTTGATAAGTAATGACTAAGCTAAGTGTAAGCTGATGTATAAATAAACTAATAAGGTTTTAATCATCTTCGTTTAAACCGAATTAACTCCCTTACAGTGCAAGGAATTTATGCAAAACCTCTTCGCCGTCGGTTTATTTTTCTTCAAATACACAAGATTTTGTATTCTCTCTGTAAGAAAAAATGTCAATTAAAAAGAAGGTTTCAGTTTAACTTGCAAGCTTTCGATAAGGTACCTACAAGGTATGCCTTAAAGAAGTTTTAACCATCACTAAAAAATGTCTTCAGGATATAACCTTGTTTAGGGATTCTGAAACCACCTTCGCATTCCTATTTTTATACCACTACATGAGAAATTTCTGCAATTTGATTGGCTTAGAGCAGTGGTATTTCAGCTAAATTTGAAATACCAACATGTGAAAATTACAAAACCTTTGCAGGTAGTAGTATAAACAAATAATAGCATGGTTTGTGCGTGATATTTGGCATAAATACCACTCGTGATATTTCAAAATTGTCCCAAATTTCACTCGGCTATCGGCTCGTGAAATTACGTATAACAATTTCGAAATATCACTCGTGGTATTTATGCCAAATATCACTACAAATCATGCTATTACCTATACAAACCCACTCATCGACCACTATTTTGGTTATTTTCTGGTTATGCTCGTTGTGTTTCTTGGTGATGACCAGCTGATTTTCCTTTTGCTGTTTGAAACAATGATTTCTCAATCTTGTAAGGATGTAAGTAAGGTTTGAGACCTGCAAAAACCTTTTAACGTTTCAAATTTTCCTTTTTTCGCCAATTCAGCCGCAGTTTTCATATGTTTGTTTGTCTTCTTGGTGAGAAGTTAGCCTCGCTTTTCACAAAAAAAGGGCTCGTCCAAGGGTCGTCGGGGAATACGAAACTTGCCTATTCGGAGGCCCCAAGTTCAAGTCTCGCGCTGGGCCCATTTGTTCGAACGCCGGTTAAATGTTAACCAGGGCTTCTTTTTCTTTTTATCAAAAGCACCCTCTCGGATGATTTTCTATATATTTCTGGAGTATCTAATCATCAAATTGTAGGCGAAGAGAATTAAACTGAATTTGTTTTTTAAGCCCTCATATCTGAGTTCAAATTTCGCACTAACCCTGGGTTATCTTATTAAACCCACCTTCGAACAACCCGACCCTGACCGCTAGCTGGATTTGTTCTAGGTAGTCCGGCGTTCAAATTCTCGGCCATGCTTGTAAACAGCCAACTGGTTTGTCTCCGGCCAGTTGAGATTCTTAACCCTGTTAAGTTTAATTTGAATTATTTGTTTCAGGCATTTGCTCGGCCCCACTAACATAAGTGCTATAAGTACTGCAGAGGGTAAATAACGGATTCCGAATTATTTTTTTTATTATCTTTAACGGCTTTGATTTCTTTGAGGAGCTAGAATATAACGACAATATATTTTGCTTCTTATTAAGTTATTTTTGACTGTTAATATAAGAAGTATACACAACTTCCCTACCACTGAGATGTGGTGAGATTGTCTTAGTGGCCGGTTTTAAGGAGATACAAATCACAACCTTTTTTTTTTCTCAATAAACCTGCCTCGCTTGATTTTAAGTTTATGTCTGTTCGGTAACGCATCAGGGGCACCCAACGAGAATATAGTTCAAAACCACTTAAACATAGCATTGTTAAACGTATTTTAGTATTTAAACGGTAGATATTGGTTAGCCCCTAAAATTTTTTTCATCTGTTCGGATTTCCTAGCTGAAAGTCTAGTGATCCGAAAATTATAGGGATCAAAACCTACCTTTTCGAAAATTTCAGCCAGAAAAAAGGCTTCCGAAAATTCTGGGTGACCTTTTTAGGGTAAAAATCCGTTAAAAGTGAGCAATTATGCCATTTTTTAGACTTTCGAAAATCCTAGGAGAGGCAGGCAAGCAAGAAATTTTACGACAAATGTTCCGAAAATTCTAGATCACAAATCGTCTTCCGAACAGATATTTTCCGAAAATTGACGTTGAGTGCCCCTGACGCATCTGTTCAAGTCTGCAAATTAATATACCCCGAATAGCAGATGTCGTCCGTCGAGGTGTCTTCTTGCTGTTCTTGCCATGATTTTAGACAATATTTCACCGAGAAACGAGTAAAACGTTTCGCCGACTGTTCAGCCATTTTGCTCTCAGTATCAAAACAACTCACGCCAACCTCTTTCCCCGGGGGGGGGTATTTTTTGGGTGGGTATGTGCCGCCCGGGACTCCAAATTGGCACCCCGTTCTAGAAAAAATTTCCCCTAAAATTGATACCCCGTTCTAGAAATAGGCCAATTTTTTATACCCTGTTCTAGAATTCGCCCTAAAACTAATACCCCGTTCTAGAAATGGGCCAATTTTTTAGACTCCGTTCTAGGGTGCAACAAGAGTACAACGGTTTGATTGTTAACGCATTGACCGTATTTTTAAAAGCAATCTGTCCTTGAACACTTTCAAATGGCTGCTTACAAAAGTGGAGAGCTTTCGTGGGTTCGAAATATTATACCCCGTTCTAGAAAACGCCTCTGAAATGGATACCCCGTTCTAAATCAGGAGCTTCAAAATCACGACCCCTTTGGGCGGCACATACCCGTATAGGTAATGTATGGAAGTACCCCCCCCCCCCCCGGGCCTCTTCCCCAGGTTCAGTCTCGGTTAATCAATAATATGCAACTTGGACGACTGCACTTAAGCCTGCGCAGCTGGCTGGATTCGTGTGCCCGGTGAACGTTTTTGGTGGCGGAGCAGCCATGCGAGGTGAGAGGGAAAATCCTGCTTGCCGCATTTCTTATGAGTTTGAATGCCGCCCACTTTTGTGAACTTGTTTGGAACCATTTGATTACCCAATCATGAAGAGTTATATAATACGAAACTGACCTGCAAACGAGACTGGACAAGCGTAACAATCAAGTCACGAACAAAACAACTATTTGTTGAAAGTTATTTAGGATCCAGGCAGGATATTCTGCAGTTACTCCAAAATTGAGAAACTAAATCCTTTATTAAACGGTCATTAGCCGCAATATAAAGCTTTATGCTTCAAAAGAGGTCAAAGAATTCCCTAAAATGCTTCAGAGGTCAAATTCTGTCAAAGACAAAAACCACAGGAAATCAATGTTGGAATGCACAGGAAACACATCGACTTCATGACCTCTCAATCGGCAATTAAGATAGCATTTGCTCAGTCGAGAGCAAGAATCCTTCACAGCATACTCCACCCGTATTTCCCCGGGGGGGGGGGGTACTCCCTAATATGGGCTATATAGGTATGTGCGGCCCCAAAGGGTAGGGTTTTTCAGCCGTTTTGGTCATAAATTGGGTATCGATTTTGGCTATTTTGCCGCCATTTTGGTCATAAATAGGGTAACGATTTTTGCACTGTAGTCTTGAATGCACTTTTTTAGAAGAAGCTACTTCCTTATCATGTCCCCCTAACCTAATAAAAGCAGATAAACATTGCCTTTAACATTGGTCTGAACTAGGGAAATAATTATAAGGCAGGTCTGAAACAGGGTATTGATTTAAGGGTCAGGTCATAAATAGGGTATCAAATTTTTGGTTAGGTCATAAATAGGGTAGGGAAAATCGCAGGTTTTGGTCATAAATAGGGTAAGGGTTTTGGGAAGCGGGCCGCACACCCCTACCCAATTTTTCTGCGAGTACCCCCGGGCGTATTTCTAAGGTTAAGTTTTAAATGATTAAGCGCTCTTTTGATGTTCAGCTCGGATGGATCAGGGAGTTTGCACTGCGTGACAAAAGGCATTATTGTCTGGTGCGCTTTTGTTATACAGCCTGTTTCAAACGTCGTGCTACTGCCGTGCTAAGCTGGCTCGACTGTAGCTCGACTGCAGCACGACACTAGCACGACTTGGTTTCAGACGTCGAATTTAATTCAGTCGAATAGAACGGCTGTTGCCGAAAACAAAACACAAAAATAAAGAAAGGGTTTAGCAAACTTTTATATGTATGTAATGTATTTATAATTTATGAATTGAGTTCGGCACGGCGGTAGCACGACAGCTGGCACGACTTGTTTCAAACGTCGCGCTACTGCCGACTGCTAAAGTCGAATTCAATTCGAACAATTGAGTTCGGCACGGCAGTAGCACGACGTTTGAAACGGGCCTAACTTTCCCTTGGGAGATAGAAGAGATATTAATGATCATTTGATTGGCGTTTTATCGCTTCATAGCCAATTAGAAACTCCCCTAAGCCTGGCTGCGGACTTTTAAAAATACCCAAGAATTGTGGCAGGCGGGACTTCAAATTGACTTGTACACCCACCCTCCTCACGGCTCCGCCGCCAAAACAATACAGCACTCCAACGCGCCCCCGCCAGCTATGCAGGCTAGCCGCACTTTTGACGTCATTGATTTCAATATGACAAAATTCTTTCCCAATTTGGTCAACAGTAGCTCCAGTTTTGATGAATTACGCGTGTGTTTTTAGCTAATCAGCAATGGCGAAATATTTTGAATGTTATATGATGGCAATATTAGCTAACAGCACGCACCTTGAAAAAGGAAATGAACCTATAAATGCATAGTACCAGCTAATCTCTTTCTTATCATCCGTAGGCTGCTGTCAGTGCAATTTGTAATCCCCCTCAGCCTGGTGACGAGTCGTACGAGACATTTATTAAGGTAAGCGTTATGTCAGACGTGTCTGAACTACAATACATGGGCTCGGGACCTAGCACGTCCTGCACACTCCAAGACTGGGACGACTGGAGTATTTAATTGTCATATTTTTCAACGTGACCAATTCAGTGGTTTCGAGAATGTTATTGAAGTGTATCTGGGCTGTAATGAGTAGAACAGGCGATCGTTATCCTGTGCAATGCGATCGGTATCCTGTGCAATGTGTGTAAAAAACCGCTTATTGGGCTTTCGATCGAGATTAACCAGAATGAAGAGGGCTGAAGAACCTCAGCGCATGCGCGTCATGTGTCAGTTTTTTGCTTGACTTTCAAGTCTTGATCCTTAAACTTTTATCGTGGAGGAGCTTTTGTTTACTTTTCTTCTCACTGATTATTAAGCCCCTTGATTCCCCAAATTTTGACCATTACAATCTACAGGTTGTTATTTCAGCCAATAAACACTGCGCCGATAAAAACAATAAACGATAAACTTGTTTCCAGCTGGATTGTTAGTCAGTGCAATTCCTTTAGTTTTTAATCGTGATCGAAATTAGAAAAAAGCAATATTTTAAAAATTTTTCTGCAGGAGAAAATGTCCATTATGGATTCTTATCAAAGAAAAGCGGGGATAACCACAAAGATGCTGAATTCTCTTAAACACGTGTCGTGTAATCCTGTAACTGGTTCACTGTATGCATTTCCCAAAGTTATTCTTCCACAAAAGGCCGTCGAAGAGGCTAAGGTGAGGCGTAGTTCCTCGAAACCAATAGACCTTTTTTTGTTAACTGATACGGCGGCCATATTGAATTTATTAGATTTAAGGCGTTTAATGGGATGCCCAGGGAGCTCTTGCTCAGTATTTATTCGTGCTTTTCAGGGGCAAAAAGAGAACTTCACTGTATATTTCTCGGGAAAAAGGCGATCATTATTACATCCAAACAAGGCACAGCGATCTTTTTTTCCCATTACAATCTTTTTCTAGGAAACCTTAAAGAAAATTGGTCCGAAAAGCGCGCGTAAATACTGAGCGTAAATACTGGGCATCCCATGCATAATACTCCTTAAATCTTAGAAATACAATATGGCCGCCGTATCGGTAAAAAGGTTTATAGAGAGTTTAGGTAGTGTTCACGCCATACTGGATAGCGTTTCATCTATAGCAAAAACAGCAACTGCCCTGGACCAGAACAACCAGCTCACACACATCGAACATCGTACCTGAGCGGTTGGTCGAGAGCCAGCTTGGTGAACTAAGTCCCAAGTCTCACTCTTGAATATTTATTTCGTCTCAGTGGGTTCCAGTCCTCGCCACTACGTATTCACTTCCTCGACGGTCCGAAAAAGTGTACGGGCCAGAACCTATTCGACATATGACGCTCCAAAGTGTTCGAGATTGGTGCGGCATAGCTTTGCTCCGTCACAGAAATTGCGCCAAAATCGTCAATCTTGTGTATGAACGGAACCCCTATCCGGAACAGTTTTCGCGCCTGCGCAAAAGCTAACTGGTATAATGTGAACAAAGCCTTAAGCAACGACCATGTGACGGCATCGAGAACGGCAAAAAAGCCTCTGCACTATATGAACAACTTCGCACGTGCATCACGCTTTTTTGTACATTTCTTTGCCGTCATTGCACGACTACGACGTGAAGGTGCCTAACTTCACGTTTTGTGGAGAACGTGAACACATTAAGAAAATGACGTTCTTTTTCTTTTCCTGAACTTTGATACAGTCTTTTAGAATTCAACTTCCGAAAAATTAGCCGATGTTTGACGAACTGAACGAGATGAAATAACGCGCTAAAGTTTGAAGCAGCGCGAATTCACTTTTTCAGTGACGAAGCCGTCGCCGTCGTTAAAGCTTAAGCCCTCCCTATAAATATAGATTCCCTTGAGCTTTATTCAAAAGCCCACAACGGAAATGTGCAACCTCATTCCCAGGGTCCTCTCCAACCTGCAGGGACGGGTAGGAGAGGACCTTGGCAACGAGGTAAGGAAATGCTTTCATTTTTTTCAGCTCAAGAATTGCACACCTGACGAATTCTACTGCTGGCAGATGTTAGAAGCGACTGGTATAACCCCTGTACCGGGAACTTTGTTCGGACAAAAAGAAGGAACATATCATTTTAGGTCAGGACCGTTGTCATTCGCCTCTCTTTCTTAGTTGTTTTATATACGTGTTTCTCTTGTTGGGTGATGGGGGAAGTCGCGGCGCTGATGTGGGACGGAGTAATTGGCCTCTGAAGTTGAACGAGAGACTGGCTCACTAGAAGGAGACTGTTTTGGGAGACACCTTTTTGGCACCTATGCCGGGTTGTTCAAACCTGGGTGAAGAAAACCCAAGGCTATTGCGAAATGTGAATTCAAATATGAAAGCGTAAAAAGCCAATTCAGATTGATTCTTTTTGTCCGCAATTTGATGATAAGATACTCTAAAAATGACAGGGAAATTATCCAAGAAAACACTTTTGAACAAAAGAAAAAAAAAGGATTAGAATTATACCCCCGGTTAGAGCTAATCGGCCTTCTATCAATAGACCTTTTTAGCTCTAGGTTTTGTTTTCCCATTGTAGACCACGTGATTTTACACTAGAGAACTGTTTCTTTCAAATGACGTCCTATGAATGTGCAAAATACAAAAGGCAAATTCCCCTGAGAATATCACGATGTCTGAATTGGATTAAAAACTGACAAGCTAAAAAGGTCTATTGGGCCCTGTCCTGGGGTCAATTTAATAAAACTTTTACACTTGTAACTTGTATGTATACCCATTGTTTAAGAGTCTGAAAACAACAGTTACACTTGTAAATTACACTTGTAAAAGATTTAAAAAATTGACCCCTGCGCTTCTTCAAAATAGCCAATAACCGAAGCGATCGAATGTCCTCAAACAGTCCCATATTGCTATTCGGGACAACTTCCGACCCAGCCTCGCTCGTAACCTCCAAAGGTTAATTCTTAAGGTGCCTCGACCCCGTATTTTTTAGGTAAACCGTCCATCTTTGGTCTCTTAGACTTAAACAAATTTATCTTTATTGCAAACCATTATAACTCATGTATTACACATGTTGAAAACGTTTAGTTGTTTTCAATAGCTCCTGCAGTGTCTTTTATTTAAAAAGTGAAATAAACCTGACTTTAATTACTTTTTGGAAGGGCAAAATTATTATAAATCAGGATATATGTTTGAAAGTCTTTATTTTTTCTTTGCCGCAGGTTAACCATCTTGCCATCTGAGGAAAAGGTAGTTTCCATGTTCGACAGAATGAGCAAGTTTCATGAAGAATTCATGCAAAAATACAGAAATGACAAGGATAATCAACACTAATTTAGCAAATATAATTCCGCTTGTTAATTACTGGGCTCCATGCAACTGTTGCAGCTGGCATACCTTCAATCATAGTTAAGAAAGTGGAATGGTTTTGCAACCGTGCACAGCGTTCAATAGCATTCCTATCATTTTGAACTTACTAAGCAATAGAAACTTTTACATCGCATTGATTTATTCAGTCACTATTTGTGAGCCAAAAGCAAAGGATTGTGCAAGTTGTAGAGCTTCCGACATAAACTGCAGCACCGTTTTTTTCATCTTTGATATTTACCGCCTTTCATAACCATTCTCCTCTACTAAATATACTTAAAGGGATATTTTTAGTTATATTTTTATAATTCCAGTTTTTAGCTATTAATAGTAATTTAATTGGCTATTGTTCATGACGAGAAATTGCACTTTGGGTGAGGTTAATCTTTGGTCAAACAAGCAAATCAATGTAGTGAGTTTCCCAATGCCCAATTGCCATAGGACCAATCGCCAAAGTATTAACTTCCATTCAATAAGACTTATTTATATCATTCTTGTTTTTAGTCATTTGCGGGGAAATTCTCGGGTTGGGTTATTACAGTACAGGACGACGAACTGTCCTATTGAATTTTCACCAGCCTTTAGGCAGAGTTTCTAATGAAAAATATATATAAATACAGCTTCAGTTATAATGTAGTTCCAATTTAATCAAACGTTTTAGATATAGGCCATACTAGCAAACGTTATGACTTTTTTGCGGCGTCACACGTAATATTTTCTCTATCTTTTAACCTTTTGACTTGTATTTATTTTTTACTTTATATCGGTGTTCAAATGAATGTAACAGCTCCTGTACTTACCAATAAACTTCATTGTAACGAAAACTGATAAAATAAATAAATATAATACGTGACTGTTCACTGGATAGAGCAGCTAACCAGTAAACTTTCAGGAAAAGTTTTACGAGAATTAGCATCGATGTTCGATTTTTTTGTGTACTTTAGAAGACCTTTTAAGCTCTGTTTGCAAACTTTTTACCTGGTCCCTGAGTATGTGATAATACAGGATTGGTATAAAAATGATTAGAAATTTATCACATCGACAAAAATAATGTAAAAAGTAAAGATATCGAATGCACTGGCCGGGAATCGAACCCGGGCCTCCCGCGTGGCAGGCGAGAATTCTACCACTGAACCACCAGTGCTTCGTATAGAACTGGTTTTATAATGAAAGATTTTTTATTCGGGTTGTTCAAAGTAGGGTTAAGATAAAGATAACCCAGTTAGTGCGAAATTTGAATTCAGATATGAAAGCTTAAAAAGTAAATTCAGTCTAATTCTTTTTCTCAACAAGTTGATGACTGGATGCTCTTAAAAATAACAGAGAAAATTATCCGAGAAAGTGTTTTGAACAAAAGATACAGATTCCTGATTTAACCTTGGTTAAGCGCTTACCGGCCTTCGAACAATCAGGAATCAGGGGCACCCAACGACTGTTTACTGTAAAATATCTGTTCGGAGAATCAAGTATTGCCTAGAATTTTCTATTGCTTGAGGAAAGCTAAAATTTTCTAAATGACCGTTCCATTCACGTACAAATTTCGAACCTAATTTAATAAATTCCCTACGATTTTCTGAAGTTTCATTTTCACATTTTACACCCCAGGTTAGGCTATTTTTCGTAGGAAAAAGGAAACCTAAAATTTTCGGATTCAAAAATGTGATGGAGAGAGGAATTAAAAAAAATTTTCTTTTTCGTAATGCGCTGAATTGCATCTAAAATTTTCGGGAAAATAATACTGAAGCCCTTGTAATAGTTCTCCTAGGATGACCGAACAGATACAAATTTTATAGCGCCGCTTAGAATGCATTTCTAGAAGTCTAAACTTACTCTGGATAGCTTAAAAAGTGTTTTAAGGTGGAAACTGTCGTTGGGTGCCCCTGAGGAATGGATTACTAAACGAGGAGGACAGAAAAATGCTAAAAATACTTTGCCATGGCCATACACACTGACCAAGGACCTGAAAAACGCTGTGGTACGTATTAGACTGGACCGATAGTGCAACTCTTCAATCAATTTTCAATCGAATGTTCAGCTATATTTTTACATGTCGCCGTAGAGACTTGACGCACGCTGGTCGCGCGCGCAGCATGTCACAATGGCTATCCGACGTACACCAGTTAATAAATTTCTAGTTTGAGAATATTGCAAAAGTTGTTTGCCAGTGTTATATTAGTTTACTCAGCGCTCTGCGAGAATGGGTTTCTTGCGGTTTTTCAAGCAGTTAAATTGTTTTGGTTGTAGTCAGAGAAAAGAGAAATCGACGTAAGTAACTAAAAGACAAACTGTCGAGCTTTTTCTTGATCTTTTTCCTTCTGTGGTTTTTGCTCTTCTCATGTTGGTATACTTTATACTTAACCTCAGACGAGAAATGAAAAAAGAAATGGATGCTTTGAGAAAAAAAATTCAAGACCTTCAAGAGGATGTTTTTTCCAAAAGGTACTGACTGATCAATCATTGGTTGTTTCTATTTTTCTAGATTGTTCACAGTCCCCTAATTTTCCATAAGATATTAAGATATATATCGCCAAGATCCAGTGCTTTGCGTTTCGAGCTGCCATCGGTGACACTCGGTACACATGAAACCAAGTTGGCTGCACGTACAGGTAACTCTCGGTCCTGACGGTCTTACGCGAAAAAACAGGGGACTGTGAACAGTCCGAATATACATTACTAGATTCCAGCCATGTACGAACCAGTTGCAAATAAGTGGGAGGCGGGTTGCTGGTAAAGGGGACGTTGCTGTCAACATTGGTATAATAATGATGATGTTGTTACCAACAATTACTTTACCCAGGATGATGGTTGAGGAACTCACCCGACAAAAGGAGGCGGAAGAAAGACACGTTCTGCTTAAAAACGTACGAATGGAACTGATGGCCAAAGTGGAACAGACTGAGCTAAAGTTACAGAGAAAACTACAACACCGTCAAATGGTGTTGACTGAGTTAATGTGAGTATCTTAAAGGGACTGGTTCACGATAATGCGCATGCGCGCCGTTTGTCTCTTCAGAATAAATTTGTCGGGTCAACACTAAATTCGAAATCGCAATTACCGGTACAATCATTGAAAATCCTTCGTTTTATTCGGACATCCGTCGCTTTGGCTGGTCTAGTTATTCTTCGGTAGAGGTGATTAACATGTGGTTGTGTCGTTTGACTGGTTAAATATACGTTTTAAGAAGACGCAAAAAATACTGTTTTGATCATGGAGGTTCAGTCGTGGCCGTCCGGCATCAGGACGTTCTCAAGAGTCTCTGGAGATAGAGAAGCTTAGCCTATCGATCTGGTATGGTTCTAGGAGTAGTGTGTGGCATACGAAAAGAATACACGACACTTGGAAAGTGGTTAAAGGCGTGAGTTCGTTCAACTTTGATTTGACAGGGGCACCCAATGGATCTGTTCCTCAAAATATCTGTTCTTCATGCAAATTTTTGCTGGCTGGGAGATGTGGAAGAAATAATAGTCCTTGGAAGGAAAGTGTTGCTGGGAAAAAGATAATTGAGGGTGTCAGAGGGGATTTGGAAGTCTAGAATAGCTGCTACGGGTTACTTGTATGGGTTGCTTACCACTCAAGATCTGAATTGTGCCCTATGAAACTTCCCAGTAAGTCAGGTTGCAGGTTGTAAGGTTGCTGGCTGGGAACTCTTCCATCAGTCTTGCTGGGAGTGAGGAACAGATAATTTTTTTCCAGCAATCTCCCAAAATGCTTAAAATAGTCTCAGAAAACTTTATTCACGCTTTGTTGTTGTTTTTAGGTCTTTTTCTCAAAATTTCCCGTTGGGTGCCCCTGATTTGATTTTTGACTCCGACCTGTAGTTATACTGCAACAGGCCGCGCGATCTTCACCGATCTGGTACACTTGAAATGTTCCTTGTATCTTTGCTTTACGATCGTATATGTTTAAGAATTGATGTTTTTAAAATAAATTATTGCCTGAATATTCTGTTTATAATCTAGTTTCTTTATGTGTGCTACTCGATAACATTTGTTTTGCGGAACACTGACCCGATGCAACGCGAATGAAGTTGTTCATTTGCTGATAAGCAATTGAAATTTATGCTCAATTAAGGATTATCTTTATACTCATACGTTGTGTGTTTTTGTCACCGGTCAGGCGCTATTTGTAGGTATTTCTGGGTTTATATAAGGCGAACTGAGAGAACAGTAATAAGATGTTTGTTTACAAATTTTGTTTGCCGATCGGTGACTGTTTTAATAGCGTGGGTACGACCTCGTAGAAATACACGCTGGTAAATGTTTGTTTCAAAGCAGGACAGGGCTGTAAATCTTATTCTTATCGGCTGCAACATATATCTGAGGAGTAGCAAAGAATAAAATTGAATTATGGGGATAAATAAAATCAAACCAAATGCCCGGAAATACTCTCGCGTCGCGAACAATTAATTTGAATTTTGTAAATTTACTTGCGTGCACCTAACTCGCTTCCGATTGGCTGAAAAACAATCAGCTATTATACTGTCAGAACTCACACATGCGCATTATCGTGAACCAGTCCCTTTAAAGAATCCTGTTAAGTACAGTACATGAAGGTCATTGTCTCACTCATGGCGTTAAGCGATTTCCCGGCCCTTGAAAGTTTCTTTTACACTGTTTCATGAGATGTGTTAAACTGAGTCAAGTCTTTAATTAGACGACCTACAGTTTTCTATCAAGAACTAGGAGTAAATCACGACGCCCAGCCGAGCGTTTTGATCAGGGCTTGATAAAACCGAATTGATGGATAACTGCAAGTTTTAATTAATTGTTCGGCTTCAGATCAAGAACTTTCCTCGATCGTAGATCTGTTTACGAGTCTTTGATTATTTTCCGGAAAACATAGGAGCGAAAAGCAAGGTCCTTAAGGTCTCGGTAAATGAAAATTTTAGTACATTGCTCGATTTTGTTTTTTTTGGATTTTTGGCATGAGTGGGTCCTAAATTTTAATTTGGCAGAAAAAGAAAATCAGAAAGTGCTTTTTAACCCTTCTAAAATGAGCCTTTTCTGAGCTAACCAGCCAAGCGTGGACTTCGCGCTAAATCTTTAGAGCTGATTTTCTCTCACTCTATTTTAGACGCAAAAATCAAAATTCTCCGACCTCCAGTCGGGACAGGTTTTAAGCTATCGCTTTGAAACTTTCAGATATGATGGATAATGATATAGACTCAAAAAGGGTGTGAGGAATTTTCCGATTTCCCTTTGTAACTCATTTTATGTCAGTTTCTTTGCGTAAATCGCGCTCGAGATTCGACTTTTTAGTTTGAAATGCAATAATTCCGCTAACACGAGACATCTGCAAATTTCCTCACACCCTTTTTTAGGTCTTTTATCTGTCAATCAGATGCAATAAAAAGGAAGTGAATATTTAACAACGCGAAAGGGCTCGAGCTTCAGCAGTAAACTCGATACCTCTGAGTTCGGGAACAAAAAACTTAAGCACCTTTTGAAATTCGATAAAATAAAATCTTTTATAAGGTAATTTAGTCTTTTAGCTTTAATTTGATATGTAACTTGCCTTTGTAGCGAAAATACTCGCGCGACTAGAATTTTTTTCTGTGGGCACCTCGTTTTCCTTTACCGAGACCTTAAGTTGTCTTGGTTTTATCAGATAGAAAAAAAACCACCAACACGCAATTAGTTTTCTCTTTTTTTGTTAGTTCTTTAACGCGAGTAAAGTTCTAGATGGATATTTATGGCAAACCAAAACTACTGTCCTTTCCTTATTGTTATTATTTTTTTTCACAGCAAACTCAGTCTTGGAAGATTGGTGCAACAAAAGAAACTAGAAGCAGTACAAAGAAAAGCGACATCCTTCATGGAGGAACTGTCAAGAAATGAAAAAAGAGCAAGAGCATGGAGGGAAAATCTGCGCCGTGTCGGTTCAGAGAGCAACATACACACTGCCGTATTACAGCCGCGACTGGTGTCTTATGTTGTCTTAACAGTCATAAATTAAAACTAGTTGATTTATTTATTTTAGGGCATCGAAAGCATGCATATGGACCCAGTTCTAACATATTTTGACTAGAGTGGATTTAGTTGCCCGGTGAATTCTGCAGAATCCTCGCAAGTAGGCGTTAAAAATTAACAAAAGCACTACTAGTGAAAGTCATGCAGGCTGTACTTTTCAGCCCCTCCCTCATGCACTCCTGACACCGCCGATGTTGCTGACGGTGCGTCTCCATCGCCCTAAGGAAGGAAGGAAAACAATTCATGCGTCGCGTGAGACAAGGAGCATACATACTTCATACATCGGTCAACGGACAGGACACATGCTGGTGACAATAAAAACTATTAAAATAATTTGACTCTTCGAGCATCACGGCGTGTACTGTTCTCATGTCGGTAACTTGAGCTGCTTTGGATGAGGAAGGAAAATGTACTTCTTCCCTGGGTGTTTCGTCATGTCATGCCCAGCCCTTTCACACGCGTTGGGAAAATGTTAATGCTGTCAGCGTCTTCATGCTTCTTGAGAATAAAGATCATCATAACATACTGTGCATTACTTTGTCTCTGTGATGATGGTATAACCCAAAAGGGCCACTGCTTGTTCCTTAATTACACTTGGATAGTCATTTTCGTCAGTCTAATTTCAGTTATTTAAACTTCTGAATGTGATCGTATGTTCAAATGACCCTTACCAAATCCAACACTGTTTTGAATGTATTTTTAAGCTGTTTTTGAAAACTGTTTTTAACCTGTTTTGTGAAATAGGTTTTAAATAGGGTAAAAAGTGTATTTTTAATGTATTTTTCGACTGCTTTTAAAGGTGTTTTAACCTGTTTAAAACGCTATTAAAAAAGAATTTTTAAAGTATTTAAAATGCTTTTGAAATATACAAAAAATTCCAGGGCTTTTGCAAGGCTCAAAACAGGTCAAAAACAGTTTTTAAATACCTTATAAATCGGAATAAAAACAGGATAAAAACAGTTTCAAAAACATATTTTAATTTACTATACTATTTTAAAACTATTTTTAATGGCAATTTTAAACGTATTTTGAAAAAAACCGGTTTAAAATAGGTACAAAAATATATTTTTGATATATTTTTCGACTGATTTTAAAGGTGTTTTAACCTGTTTAAAACGCTATTAAAATGTTATGCTTCAAAATATATTTTAATAGCTGTTTAATCGGTTTCGAAATTTAGTAAAATACTCGTATTTGCAAATACAATAAAAATACTTTGAAAACAGTATTAAAATACCACAGAAGAAGAAAAGCAATAGCACACATATATTATGAATTAAATACATCAAAAATAGGATGCAAAAATGCAAAAACAGTATAAAATTGTAAGAACATAGCCTTAGAGTTGTCTGAAAACAGTATAAAAATCGGTCGAAAGAGATAAAAATAGTACAAAAACAGGATGGAAATACCATTTAAATTCATGAAATAAAATGAATACAAAACCGTCGAAAATTACCCTGAAAAAGCAAGATTTACCTCGGCGAAATTTCGCCACACAGTCCTAGGCTAGGACTTCAAGAGAATTATCTCTTAGCCGATTACTTTACGTTGATTTCCCTAAGAATTCTGGGGAAATTCTTATGGAATTTTTCAGAAATGCTCAAATCAATCTTTAGCCTGTGTACAGACCCTTCCTCAAAAAAACTCGGAGGGGAGGGGGGGTATGTACACAGGCTATCAACCTTGGCTTCAAAAGGGTATAACGTTACTGACGTTACCGGTAAATATTAATCTACATGCATGTAACTTACATTGTTTATTATATTCACGGCTTTACTCAAATATCATCAGAAGCTTAATGCAGGCTACGCCTGAACATTAATTAGTGGCTGATAAAGAACAGCATACGAATAAATTTACGCGAGAATGAAAGAGGCCGGTGACGTGACATCAAGTGACTGAGATCATTTATACAAAACAGCGAGTCTCTGCAAGGAATCCTGTAAAAGTAAAATTGCCGTACGGGCGCGACTATATAAATGTTTACTACCCTTCATTTGTTTCTCATATGGCGTATATCTAAGCGTCTTAGTAACATTGTATATTTAATACTTACAATTAGACTCTTGGACTCTTCTCCTGAACCAGAACCTTTCAAAGTACATAACAGTCGCTGAGGAGTCATAACCATTTTTGATTCGTGATAAAAGCAACATCTACGTGTTCCGACAATCCGCAGAGTTGGAGTGTACTTTTGTAAGATCGTAACAAACAGTAAAATCAAGCGCATTTAAGCTCACAGCAACCGCCCGGGAGCAACCGCCGGTTCAATAATTTGAAATGAGCAAAGGACAAAGGACGGTTTGCTTATCACGTGCATTTGTCACATCACTGCGGCGCGAAGTCGTGATTTCAGTCGCGCGTGACATCTCAAAAATAATATGCCATGCATGTGCGGAATAGTCTATGAGAGAAAGATAACCATATGTCGGAGTTTATTCAGATCTGAGCGTTGTTTCTTAGTGCAATATATACGAGGTGAGATCTTAGCTTGGATAGTTTGTTTTAATTATTATGAAATTTCAAGGACTTATTTTAGACAAATCTCAATTGACCGCGTGCATCCGGTTCTCGGCCCGCGGCTTCGGCTGTTTGCGAAAAATTTTCTACATGAAAATTAAAATGTGATTTTAAGAATTTTCTTTTAAAAAACTTATGGAATGTCCCGTAGCTGCATTAATTGAATCACGGCTAAAATCTAGGCGGAGATTTTCGCAGAGAGCTTGCAGGTAATGAACATTGAGGAACGGATTGATCCTTTATCGGCACACTGTCACAGTTACGTGTTGTCAGTCAAAGCTAAAATCTATTCCTAATTTTCTTCTCTTTTTTCAATTTCTTTTTGATTTGCTGGGAGATTTAATTTTTTGGCTCCGCCTCGAGCTTTATTGAGAGAAGAATCCGGTCCACAATATGACAGCTTGTTTTGAGTCATTTATGAGTTCGTGACACGATGAAGGCTTAAAAATTAACTTTGCGCAATTGTTACTTTTATAGTCTGAGTATAAGTATCCCAAAATACATTACAATATTGCACCTCAATAATAATAAGTAATAAGTACTCTATTTTAAAGTATTTAAAATAAGGTCAGCATTTGATGTCTTTCAGCAGACTTTAAATATTTTATGTACAATCTGTTTATATACAGGGGCACCCAACGAGAATATAGTTCAAAACCACTTAAACATAGCATTGTTAAACGTATTTCAGTATTTAAAGGGTAGATATAGGCATATTTTTATCCCCTAAAAATTTTTCATCTGTTCGGATTTCCTAGCTGAAAGTCTAGTGATCCGAAAATTACAGGGATCAAAACTTACCTTTTCGAAAATTTCAGCCAGAAAAAAGGCTTCCGAAAATTCTAGGTGACCTTTTTAGGGTAAAAATCCCTTAAAAATGGGCAAATATACCATTTTTGGATGTTCGAAAATCCTAGGAGAGGTAGGCAAGCAATAAATTTTACGACAAATGTTTCGAAAATTCTAGATCTCAAATCGTCTTCCGAACAGATATTCTTCCGAAAATTGTCGTTGGGTGTCCCTGTTTATAGTCAGAGTGTTGTGTGCCCAAAATACAATTCAAATAGACCTCAAAACAGTGTTTAAGTACCCTATTTAAAAGTATTTGAAATGCGGTCAGTAGTTAAGGACTTAAAACATATTTCAAATAGTCTATTTGAACTCTGTTTGTAACTTTGTGAGTGGATGCGTCTCAAAATACATTTTCGATACAACTCAAAACAGTGTTAAAGTACCCTATTTAAAAGTATTTAAGATACGGTCAGCATTTAGGTTGTCAAAACATATTTTAAATACTCTATTTGAATTATGTTTGTAACTTTGTGAGTGGATGCGCCTCAAAATACATTGCAGATGCAACTCAAAACAGTGTTAAAGCACCCTATTTAAAAGTATTTAAAAAACCGTCGCATTTAAGCCCTTAAAACATATTTCAAATAGTCTATTTGAACTCTGTTTGTAACAGTGTTAGTGGTTCTATGCCCAAAATACATTTGAAATACCCTATTTTAATCATATTTATTAAACAAAATACATTGTAAATTGATGAGAGAGGTTTTCCTTTTGATGAAATATAATTTAACTACACTTAAGATATATTCCAAACAGGGGCGAAAATTTAAATTTTTTTGTCAAAGAGGATTAAAATATAGGAAAATAGTATTCAAATACTGAAAATACATTTTAAACACTTTAAAATCAGTTTCAAAATACATATGGTTTGGTAAGGGGAGGTACAATCAAACCTCCATTATTAAACGACCACCTCTCTAGCAACAGCCATTTTTTTTTTGGTGGACAGTCCATGCATTGAAACCTCTCCTCAACGGACAAAATCGGCCACTTTTTCTGTCCCCAAGGCTGCCGTTGTGAAGAGGTTCAACTTTATAAACCATTTTATGATATATACGGAAAAATTGGAAAGCGGAAAGAATGTCTAAATGAAGTGACAAGAACACCGTCAATCTTGAAGTGCAGTGCACCACCTGTACGACATTATCGATATGCGAAGTTTCCGTAAAATACTAACGAGTAATCTGCAAGGTAGCGATACCGTTTTTTAACAGATATAATCTTCAATTGTCATTTAGGAAATTATGCTGGAGTAATCAGAATTTTTTTCTTCACCGATGATCGATTGCAATAAGCGTGAGGATATATCTGTAGACTGAAAACGCTTTGGGCAAAACTGAGATCAAAGCTAGACGACTCCATGATAACAAGCAGTGTGCTGTTGTCGCTTCAGAATCCTTTACAAGCGATCAATACAAAATCGATGACCATATACATTAGTCTTGACAGGATCTGTAATAGGCAACAGAGTTTAACTTAGCCTGACTTAGTAATTAACTGCCCCTCATCATCCACCAAATGTTTTCAGTTTTCATTGCCTCCAATTCAATGTGGGTGTTTACTTAGCCAACTTAATTCTCATGAACAGTTAAACGACCACGAAAGCAGTCGCACAATATTGCTGAGAGTTTTAACTCTTCGTTTGTCAATCATTTATTTCCCCGCCAAGCCCAGTTTTCAAAATGCTCAATGAATTCATTTGAATGCCTGCACACTGACAAGCAAAACGACAGTTGCAGATGGTGTTTAACTGCTTAAATATTGCTGCAGCAGGCCCGGTATTGGTGAACCAGGTTCATGTACTAAATACTATTAGTAATTGTATTTTCAATCAAAATTTTACGTTTTAGTGGAAAATTCATGCGAAATTTACGCCAGTTCTTAAAAACCTGAGGGCTCGAAGAATGATCAGGGACATGGAAAATTATATCGTCCAATATCCGTTCTTCCGCCCGATTCTATCCAAAGCTTTTCAGAGGCTGATCTATGGCTGCAGTTGCACCTTTTCGAAAAATAACCTGCTGAGTGTATCTGGATTGCAATCTGGTTTTCTAAATAATAAGCATTCAATCGATACTGCGCAGGCTCGATTAGCATACCAGTTGCTTTTAATTTTGATATATTGACAACATAATGTGGCAGGTCTTGTTTGCGTCGCGTTATGGTAAAAACGGACCTTTACCCAGGCCATTATTAAAATAATAAATGGCCTTCTTCTTGCTAAACTGAAGGCGTATAGATTATGATGATATCGATTATTGTAGCCTACAACGGCTATCTTGCCGTCGAAAGCAGTATGTCAGCATAAACGGTCGCGAGCAGTTCGACCTTTGCTTAGTATTTTTTGGAATAATCCTCTTCCCCCTACCCCACGTAAAGTTACAGTCATGTGTGTAAATGTATGAATATGTATAAAAAAGGGGAAGAAACGGAGGGCATTTTACACCTCATGCGCTTAGTTGCACATGAGTAATTACAATTTTGCTACGCACTATGAATATCTAATTACCGAGCAGAATTTGAGCAGAATAAGCAATTTATTAAGCACTGCTGGCAGGCAGAATAAATCATTTAATACGAGCAGAATTTATCTAAGCTTATAGCTTCCATTCCCGTGACGGGCCATTCACAGGCGAAATCATTGCAGGCGAAATACAGGAGTTCACAGGCTACTACGACACTCTTTAATTCACAAAGAGAAGCAAATTTTCTTATAGTTGCCTAGCAGACGCAAAGTCGGCCCTCTCTCTTGTTGTTGTTTGACCTACCGAAATGGCAACAGAGGAAATCATTACGGACAAAACCATCGGCCCTACGCTCCAGAAGTACGTCAATGCGCGAGGGTGGATCGATGCACGAGCCATTGAGATTCGACGAGAACTTAAACAGGTAGAAAGGATGTATTCAACACATACCGAGAATTATATCGGTTTGACTATTCTATTATGTCAAACATATACCTGCCAACTTTTTCTGAGTCAAACGCATGAGTTCAGCTCATGACTGGGGATTGCCGGTATTTGAGCACTTCCGAAACTACTCAAAAGACGACCATTTTAGCGAGCTTTGATTTCGTTAGATCACAAAAAAACGACACAAAGTCATCATTTAAGGCCTTTTTAGATTGAATTTTCCTTTTTTATCATGTGTTAAAGATGCGTGAGATCGATGTCTTTTAATAGTCTTAATAGCCACAGGCGTGAGACTCGGCATAATGCGTGAAAGTTGGCAGGTATTAACAAACATAATCTCGGCTAATGACACTGCACTGTAGTAGTTTTCAGCCTGAGGAGAATGATAATGTATAGGCTGGATTAGGGCTTTCCACAAAGTTGCTCCGCAACTTCGGCCACCGCATATTTCGTTTCGAGCAACTTTTTGCATTCTGAGCAATTTCTCTTACTAGTTATCTTCTAGTTCTGAGATATCGGAGCAGCTTTTGGCACTTAAATTGGCCCTTCTTCCATATTTCACTATGTTTTAGTAGAAAATTTATGAATTTCCTGTAACAAAAAAAAGGGGCCAAGACTCTGTTACCTTGTTACCTTGTTACCTTGTTACTCTGTTACCTTGTTACTCTGTTACCTTGTTACTCTGTTACCTTGTTACCTTGTTACTCTGTTACCTTGTTACCTTGTTACTCTGTTACCTTCTTACTCTGTTACCTTGTTACTCTGTTACCTTGTTACCTTGTTACTCTGTTACCTTGTTACCTTGTTATCTTAGTACCTAGTTACTCTGTTACCTTGTTAACTTGTTACTCTGTTACCTTGTTAACTTGTTACTTTGTTACCTTGTTACCTTGTTACTCTGTTACTCTGTTACCTTGTTACCCTGTTACCTTGTTACCTTATCACCTTGTTACTCTGTTACCTTGTTACCCTGTTACCTTGTTACCTTGTTACCTTGTTACTCTGTTACCTTGTTACCCTGTTACCTTGTTACCCTGTTACCTTGTTACTCTGTTACCTTGTTACCCTGTTACCTTGTTTCCCTGTTACCTTGTTACCTTGTTACTCTGTTACCTTGTTACCTTGTTACCTTGTTACTCTGTTACCTTGTTACTCTGTTACCTTGTTACCTTGCTACTCTGTTACCTTGTTACCTTCTTACTCTGTTACCTTATTACCTTGTTACTCTGTTACCTTGTTACCTTGTTACCTTGTTACTCTGTTACCTTGTTACCTAGTTACCTTGTTACCTTGTTACTCTATTACCTTGTTCCTCTGTTACCTTGTTACCTTGTTACTCTGTTATCTTGTTACCTTGTTACCTTGTTACTCTGTTACCTTGTTACCTTGGTACCTTGTTACTCTGTTACCTTTTTACTCTGTTACCTTGTTACCTTGTTACCTAGTTATTCTGTTACCTTGTTACTCTGCTACCTTGTTACCTTGTTACTCTGTTACCTTGTTACCTTGTTACCTTTTTACTCTGTTACCTTGTTACCTTGTTACACTGTTACCTTGTTACCTTGTTACCTTGTTACTCTGTTACCTTGTTACCTTGTTACCTTGTTACTCTGTTACCTTGTTACCTTTTTACTCTGTTACCTTGTTACCTTGTTACCTTGTTACACTGTTACCTTGTTACTCTGTTACACTGTTACCCTGTTACTCTGTTACGTTGTTACGTTGTTACTGTTACATTTTTACCTTGTTACCTTGTTACTCTGAATCTCTCATACTTATACAAATAGATCTTTAAACACATGAAAACGTATGAATCAGGGTAAAACGTAATGCTGAACTCTGTTTGTAATTTCTAAGGCTAATTTCACGCGTGGGGGGGGGGGGCATTAAAACAAAATTCGTCAGTACATTAGTTGATCAGTGTACTATTAAATCCCCGAATTTCGTGTCGATTGACAACTCTTAAAGTTTTCTGACACATATTACAACCCTGCCTCCTCATGACGGCCACTTAATCCCCAACCTCGTAAGCCCTGGGGACGAGGTTGCTTAATTCCGTCCCTAAGGTAGCTCATGTGTCGCAAAGAAGTTTGAAAGTGTATTTATTATAGAGCAGAGTTATTAGAACCAACCCGGCCGTATTTGTATTTTTTATTTTTATTGTTTTTAGGGTGTAAGTAAACCTTTTAATGAAGTTATAACACATCTTGGAGACCCGCACGCGTTTGGACAGCCCCCAGTTTCCTCTCTGAGGCAGGTAGAATCATTTTTCAAAGCTAAAAAAGATCTTGGTTTTCTGTGCATAGATTTGTTTGTTTGTTATAATTTTGCTTACTCGCGTCAGTTTCTCAATCTTTTATGGTGGTGAATAACGTAAATTTAACTGACTCCAGCCAGCAGGGGCGGATCCAGGGGTGGTGGATGGTTTGGGTGGCTAGCCCTCGGCACCCCCCTTTAAAAAAGCCCACAGAAAAAATATAAAATAATACTTGGAAAAACAAACGGAAATACGTGGGTCGAAAAATCCTTGTGTAGCCAACCAGCCTTCGTCCTTCCTAAATCGACATGTTTTGGGACAAACGTATTGTTTGATGGCCGATAAGTAATCATCCACCCTCATTAAAAAATTCTGGATCCGCTCCTGGCTAGTTCCCCAGCTATGAAACAGATTTCAAAAGGTGATCCACTGTCCCTTTAGCCACATCTAAACCTTAAGCCGTTAGTAAACTAAACTAAAAGGCTAAACTTTTAGATGTCAGGAAATCTTGTGTCGCACCGCTTGTGCTGTAAGCTTTAGAACGTGTAATGTCTTGATGTATTGGTCAAATTACAGCTTCAGCATCCCCCGTGCAAAACCCGGGCATTTCAGTAAATTTGTTTGAAAATGACTGTTCAAATTCCCAACTCCTCGAGCCAAAAAGCTGTTCAAATGACCCATAATTATTACAGGTCCATATACCTTAACCCTGGGGAAATTTAGAAGGGGTCATACATTAATGAAGTTTTCTAAGCCCAGCCTAAGACATAGTAAAGCTTGTGTAACCCTTTGCTTCAAGCCGATCCGCCACGAAGCTGCAATCGTTCCCTTGAAAATCATCCAAACTCGCTATCATGTTGGCCTCTGCCATGATTTATGACGCCTCTTTAAAGCACCGAGACACATCAATAGTAATGGAGGGAGGGTCCAATTTCTCCACCTCTTTATCCTGTGAACAGTTTTAAAAATTTCCGTTTGGTCTAACTAGGGTCTAAAAATAGCGAGGAGGAGGCAAGGGAAAAAACGGTAGAGGGGAAGTGGGGAAATGGGGAGGCCCCCTCCCTAACTAGTCCTTAGTCTTCGCTCGCAGATTTTTCTCTCTTTTTCCCTTCTAATACGCCTGGTCCCAGGCTACACTCCGGCCCTTATGCAAAGGAATCAAATCTCCCAAAGCCTCTCTTTGTCAAATGCCCGGGGTATGCCCGATGGAGAAGTTGAAACTTCGATTTGCCCCGGCGATCCATAACGTGCATGCGTTTAGATTTTGATAGTCAGTTCTTGAGTGATTGTCACGGACAGCTTTGTATTTTTCTTCAAGCTTCTGTCATGTCTCCTTTGTCCAAGTCTCCTTGAAGAACCAAGCTACCCAAAGGATATAAAGGAAAAAGCTCAAAGGATTCTTGAGGCAACCGAACATTTCTCAATAGGTGCCATTTGTACTTTATTTTTCTGATTAGTCTGTTGCCTTGTGTACTCGATTAAACGCTCTCTACCAAAGACACACTGCCGGGGTGTTCACCAGTTTTTGAAAAAATATTCAAGCCACGCCTACTGCGTCCAACAAGAAAATAGGGAGCTTAAGCAGTGACGTTTTTGAGCGAGGCACGTCTACCGAAAGTGAGCCTTTTTCTGTTTTACTAAGCCTTAATGCCACCATATTTGTATTGCCAAGTGTCTTAATTCTTATAGAGACAATTTGCCCAAAAGCTTGTTCAAAATCACAGCTCAAGAGTGCAAAAAGTCAACTTCCGGTTGACGTGCGTCGCTGATACTTAAACACCCTATTAATATGGTATACATGCTTTTTTTTTTTTCAAGCGGATGTCGATAATTTTTCAATTTTTCTTACGCTATTGAGGTATTCGGAACCCCTAATGTCCCCCTCCATGATGGAAGGCCTGATACTGGGATTATTTTGTCTCCGTAAATCTTGTGCGGTCGATCTCAGCGAACGTGTATCGGGTGTTGCCCATTTATCCATACCAGGTGTAATTTTCCTGAAAACTGGGTTTTTTACCATTTACAAATTTTTGCGGAAAACCTGGTTAGAAATCAAATGGAACACGACATTTTGGGAGCAACGGAACATCTTTAAAAGCAGTCCTGGTTGCCATTTACCATTTAATAAAAGTTTCCGGTAAATCCGTTTGGAAAGTACAAAATTGAACACGATTTTTTTGGGTCGTTCAGGGGGGAAGAGGAGGAGAAGGAAAGTTTCCTTCCTTTCTTCTCCACCCCATCCCCACTCTTTTAATTGCGCCATTTTTCGCGTAGTCTTTGACTCTTGTTCCTCGTTCTTTGCTCCTAAACCGCACGGAAACGCTTGCTACGCAGGCTAAATGGAAGGCACCGTAATATATAATGTGCTGAATTAAATGCCGTGTTAAATGGTTTGCTTAAAACTACTTGTGAACTAAAAATCGGTCAATTTGATATAAAGTTAAATTTATTCCTGAAATGTTTTCAATGTAGGTTCGTATACTGACTCTCTGGGGTTAAGAATTGTTCGAGAACATGTCGCCCAGTTTATCACTGAAAGGGATGGTTATGCCGCTGACCCAGATAGCATCTTCTTGACGAATGGAGGAGCAACTGGAATAAGGGTTTGTAATTAACTTTCATTACTAGTCTAGTACTATCGCTCTTTTGCGAAGTAGGCCCTAGTTTTCAAAGCGATCACATGCATTTGAAGAGAACTACAAAGGACGAGCTGAGGATAAAAAGCCGAGAGGAAACTGGGGGAGAGGCGGAAAAAAGGAACCTCTCCCCAGTTCTCTTCTCGGGTTGCTCGCTCTCCAGTCCTGTCGAGCCTCGATTAGTTCGATTGACCAAAAAGGGACTGCTTGTAGCGTCTGGACTGTCTGTAAACTAATTCTCTGAATTTGCTTGCAATTGCTACCCTTTTTGATGGATACCGGAGTCTTCGCTGCTTTTTCAAGCAATTACATTGATAACGCTTAAACTGATGGTGACTTAAACGATATTGCACGCGCGTTTTCGCATTTTGAGCCACCGGCTACTTCACTTGTGATTGACGACTAAATTTGGTCAATTTTTAACATTCCTTAGTATACCGCTTTCTTGCTTCCAGATTACCTTAGCGGCGTTAGCAACTGGTTGTTTATGCAGCGACAAGGACAGGGCAGGACTAATGATTCCCATTCCAGGTTTCCCTGACTATGTTGCTAGGATCAAACAGTTCAACATGTACAAGATTCCTTACTATTTAAACGAAGATAACAACTGGGCTTTAGATAATTGTGAACTGGAGAGAGCGTTGGATGAGTCGAGGCCGCACTGTAGACCGAGAGGCCTGGTACTCATTAACCCGGGAAACCCCACAGGTAAGTGATATTATGGACCTTTCATTGCACCTTTAAATATGGCAAGGGATTTTTCCAGTCATTTTTGGTGGGGGACGTGGCAGAAGAAGAGGGATTACCTGTCAAAAAGAGGGGGTTTATTTAAAACTATAGGGGCGACCCGAGGCAAGCCATCTCATTTCAAAAGAGGTATCCCTGAGACACTGATACGTATACAAAAACTGATCACTGTAGGCGGGAAATAAATAAACAAAGGTTTTACAGACTTCTTTTATCATTCAAATATAGTGAACCTAACCGGTGAGCTTGTGAATATAGAATAAAGAATATGCTTTATTCTGACATCTTAAGCCGTAATAGCCGTAATCATTAAATTGGTTGAAGTAGATATTAATTCATGTTTACAACTAATTTAGGGATTTTGAAATTAGCTTAACAGTGAAATCAATCTGACAGCAGGTGTGAGGGGGGCGAGTTACTATAGATGGGAAGGATAATGGAGAAGAGGGAGGGGGTGGCTTATTAGATGGACTACGTGATTATCGTTTCTAAAGCATAGGCTAGTGTAATAGAGTTTTCGAACAACATAAGTTAGAAAAATACAACTAAACAGGGTCTAAACAAGCAACAACAAAAGCAAAAAAGAAAACTTACAGCCAGGATACCTTGATCACTGAGCAATTCAAATAACTGATATATTATTCGCTGGTTCCTGGACGTGATTTGTTCAGTTTTGTTGGCCATTGGCCTTGTCAAGTTTGTTCAGACAAAACTTTTTTGTGAAAAACAGGAAACATGCAGGAACAGTGCAAATCGAGAAAATATATATACCATGAGGATCATGATTTAAATTTATGACTAAACTTTTCTTTCGGCAGACTATCTAGTCTGGGCACGAAACTGCGATCTCAGGCCTTCATTTTTGTAAAACTGCAGAGTCAAACTAAAGGCGCGGTCAAATGTTTTTGCTACAATAAAAATAATTATCCCACAACGGTATGCATTCTTTCGCAGGTCAGGTCTTAAGTTATGACAATATCAGTGAAGTTATCAAGTTTTGCGCCCGGGAAAAACTGGTGTTATTTGCTGATGAGGTATACCAGGAGACAGTGTTTACTAACGAGGTCCAGTTTCACTCGTGCAAGAAGGTTCTGAGAGACCTGGGTCCCGAATACAACAAGTTCCAATTGATGTCGATTCATTCTGCCTCGAAAGGGTTTTATGGCGAGTATGTACAAGTAGATTTTGTCATTTCTAAAACCCAACAACGTTTAATGAGACGTGCGCTTAAACAAGCGAAAATAAAAAAACATTCTAAAACAAAGTAATATTCCAAATTATAGTAATCATATGGGACTCATACAAAGATTTTTTTTTTTTTGTCAGATAATATTTTAATTGGTTTTGTCTTCATTTTCTGAAATCCATAGGTAAAGGAAAATACAATGCGACCTGGTTTAAAAAAGAGAAAAGCAAATAAACAGACAACAAGACTCATTCATAATAAAATTTAGGTACACACAATGGACTCGGAGGATCTATTACATTTGTCCATAGCTCTGCCGCACCTCTTCGGTGATAGGTGTTTTGTCGCAGATAGCCTATTTTTAAACTACAACTGTTTTTTTAGGTGTGGTCTGAGGGGTGCTTATATAGAGGTTGTAGGATTTAGCAAAGACGTTCTAGCTCAGTTTAAGAGGTATCTCTCTCCACCACACAACGCACCGTCAACTGCAGGGCAGGTATTTCCGCGAAGTTACTAGTTGGGGAGCAAGGGATGGCGCAGTGGTGAGAGCGCTCGCCTCCCACCAATGTGGCCCAGGTTCAAATCCCGGCGTCGACGCCATATGTGGGTTGAGTTTGTTGTTGGTTCTCTCCTTTGCTCCGAGAGGTTTTTCTTCGGATACTCCGGTTTTCCCCTCTCCTCAAAAACCAAAATTTCCAAATTCCAATTCGATCAGGAATCGGGTAGAAGAAGAACCACTTTGTGGATGTGCTACCTCCAAATTATTATTATTATTATTATTATTATTATAGCAGAGCTACTTGCGTTAAAGAAAGGAGATGACTACGCTACAACCATATCTTGGATAAGGGCGAAAGTATCCTTTGCCATCTTACGATCAGCCTTGCTGTGTCTCAGAGGAACCAGGAGCAAGAGAAGAGCAGCCAATATATCTGACATTGACATTACATCGGAAAGTGCGCAAGCCAGAATTTAAGTAGTAACTTTTTATCAGTTTGAATTATTATTTTTAAATAGTTTTTTATTTTTTTTATCAACTTTTTTATGCTTTTTATAATTGTTATTAGTAGTCTTTAGATAGTCATTTTACAACAATTCTCTTTCGTAGACAAGAAGAATGTACATAGGGTATATATTTTATTATTAAAAACTGAATCATTGGATAATGCAATTCTAGCATTTTGATTGGTTTAGCCGTTATGTTATATGAGCTAATATACCATGTTCTCCATATATGGTCGGTGTACGCGTCAGTTTAAAATTGGAAGCTAGCTGAGATTTTTTTTCGCGAAGGATAGAACGGCGCCCGAAGCAAATTGCTTTAATTCATTTCTTAGAATACTAGAAATGCAATTTCAACGAAAGAAAAAAGACAAAAACAAACAAAAAAGCCACAAGAGCTTGTTTGAAAGTTTGTCGAAAAACACATGGAACTAAAGTACCTTGACCAGCTACGAAAGAAGACAAGTGTTGTTCTTCATGATCGCGAAGCCATTCGCCGATCGAGTCACTCGCCGATAGATAACTGCAGCTTGTTTATCCAACATCAAGAATATAAATCACAAGTAACCAGCTACAAATACAGACTATGCAGCCATTCACTAGAGCAATCGAGGCGGCAGTATAGCTTCTTTTCTCGTTCAGCAAAACCAGCTTGTGGCTTCAAACAACTTCATAACAAGCGACGAGGTAATACCAGTAGTTTTTCTCCGTTGTTCTTACTTTTATAACTGCACCGAAAATCCAAATTCATAGTAATTTCGACGGCTGTCACTTAAAAATTCCTTTCCTTCACATTATCTGCCAGGTTTTTTAAGCTGTTCTGCTGTGTAAAACCTAGAATCACGATGAGTTTTTAAAAAACTAATGTTCATCGCACAATGTTTTGATTTTTCATTCATGCAGTCTAGGCGAGCCCGTTGGCGCGTTGACAGTTTTGATAGACGTGTGACATGTCAATAGCGGAAGTCCCTTGTCTTTTCCGGTTTGTTCTAGTCGGGGCGATTCAACGAGATTTTGTGGGCGTTTTTAATAAAACAATTATTCCACTCGGGCTTGTTGGATATGAAATGATTATAGCCAACTCGGCGCTATGCGCCTCGTTGGCTATCTATGATCTCATATCCAACGCGCCCTCGTGGAATAATTGTTAAATATTTCATATTCTTGAATCTGTAAATAGTCTATTTTTTTTAAATCTATGAATGAAGTTTTGTTTTATTAATAAAAAAAAATATTATTATTATTATTATTATTATTATTATTATTAAGTTATTATAGAGCAAGAAACGGAGGAGGCAGCGTGGCCGAGTTTAGAGCTCCGGGCTTGCAAAAGGTCGGAGGCTCCATGTTCAAGTCTCGCCCAGCTGACCGCTAGCAGGATTTGTTCTAGGTAATCTCGCGTTCAAATTAGCCAGTTTATCGCGCGATAAATTGCAACATATCACATGAACTTGAGAGAAGCTGGAACGTTGCATGCATGTATGCATGCATTATCTTGATGTTGACCCTTTCTTTATCATACTAAGAAGGAGTTATAGTCTAACTTTTAAGCCAGCTTAATAGAGTTCATTTGAGTTGCCAAGCTAGACTTCCAAGCAAGGACTACAGCATTTTAATCCTGAAGGAAAAGGGGAGTAATTAAGATTTACAGTTCTATATACGTATATGTAATCAAGTATCTCTCGTTTCAAAACTATACAATGAGAATCAAGCCAGGTTACTTCATAGCTTCAAGTTTAACGTATTTCATTGTCCAACAGTGGTCCCTTTTGTTAAGTGAAGTGAATAAAGGTGATGTTCTTGTTATGTATTTACAGAAAAGGACTGAGTTCTCCAGCAGATTCGCATGCGCAATATTAAAGGTTAACATGCGAAAATGCAAGCGGTGACAGGCCGCACATCCATACCGGCGTGAAACCTTGTGTTAACCTTTTATATTTTAGATATAACGAGCATGTCCTTCAGGGATTTTCCTTTCTTGTTGAAAATGATAGGTGGTTGTTTAAAAATTTGGCGAAGTAACGGTTGGTTTTGTATAAGATTCCATTTTTTCATTAAAACTTCTTTTAAAGTAGACACTGAGGGCTGGTACTGTGTCACAAAAGGCAATATTTCTTTTTCCTTTCAGGAGTGCAGACTCCCTCTCTATGAACTTTGTATCTGATAGAAGGTTTTCTATCATAGTTTGTGGGTAGCCTCTGTCAATCAAGCGTTCTTTGAAATTTGAGTTGCTAGCCTTAAAAACATTCTTATGAAACACTGGCAACTGATAGAGAACCAACCTCTTCTTAGACAGATCTACAAAGAACCTCTAATTATATCGTACAAACGAGGAAGGTCTCTCAAAGATATACTTGTAAAAGCTAAATTCTGAGAATTAAAGGCTATGACACGAGGGTGGAAAGCGTGAGTCAGGCTTCTCTTTATCATGTGATGCAAATTTATCGCGCGATAAACTGACTAATTATCGCGCGATATTTTTCTCATTAATCATAACTATAACAAAATTGTCAAATCTGATTGGCTCTCAACTGCCTTGATTTCAGCCTTAATTGGACAGTTTAATAGGACAGTACGCGTCATGCCTAAGTAATTGGACAGTACGCGCCATCACGCGCGCGCTTAAATGGCATTTTTTTTTCACTGCTAGCAAAACAAAATTTCGAATTTCTTGCGTTTTGGTTTAAAAAATAGCCTATTGTATCACAAGTTTTGTTAAAGTTATGATTAATTGGTAACAGAACTTCGTGTCGTCCAATTCAGTCTGTAATCATACTCGTGATTAAACAAATCGGACTCCCGCTACGCGGTCGTCCGATTTTGTTAATCACTCGTATGATTACAGACCGAATTGGACAACACTCAGTCCTGTTACCATTACTTATGGCGCGATAATTTTCTTATTTATCGCGCGATAACTTCAGCAAAAAAAAATTGTAATGTCCCTTACGGGCCACCGTAGCTTTGATTGCTTTGAGGAGCTAGAATAACGTTGATTGAATTTAGTTATTTTTGTCTGTTAATATAACGCAACTGCTTTATCACTGAGATGTGGCAGATTGTCTTAATGGCCGGTTTTAAGGAGATAGTACAAGTCGGAACCTTATGTTATTTTTTTTTTCAAATAAACCTGGACTGTTTAATGCGAATTATAGTCATGCTACCAATTATTGACAAGGGAAAGGAGGAAATGTTTTTCTGATAGTCTTCTGCTCGCCAGCTCTTGTGCCCCAATCGTTTTGAGGGAGTCGGTTTTGCATCCTCCTTAATCCGGTTAAACATGGAGGAAGAAACGCAAGCGTACAAATTAAAACCGACGACTGCTATTTTAGCAACAAATGGCTCCAGTCCTGAAACAATAGGACTTCGTAATTAGGAACTATGTTGGATTTCGAAGACTGCTGTGTGACACTTCCAGCTTTTAAGTCGTTATATTTGTGTTTTTATACTACTACATGAGAAATTTCTGCAATCTGATTGGCTTAGAGCAGTAGTATTTCAGCTTAATTTGAAATACCTACATGTGAAAATTACAAACCTTTTGCAGGTAGTAGGATAAACAAATAATAGCATGATTTGTACGTGATATTTGGCATAAATACCACTCGTGATATTTCAAAATTGTCTCAAATTTCACTGGCCTAACGGCTCGTGAAATTACTTGTAACAATTTCGAAATATCGCTCGTGGTATTTATGCCAAATATCACTGCAAATCATGCTATTACCTATACTAATTGCTGGGATTTCATTTACCGGTAACCATCTCTTCATTTTTCTTCGTTGAAAATGAAATGCTTCATGGCGCTAAAAGAAAAACATGCTGGAAAATGTCGCTGAAAATAACATCGATCAGTCTCGGTTGTCAAACACTTAAAACTTTTTTAGAAAAATTTCCAAAAATTTAGTAGACTAACAGGATATTGGTAATACTTTAAACTTTTCACAAATGAAAGCAGCAACCTTAGCTTCGAAGTGTTTCGCTTAATCTATTGCAAAAATTTCTTTCGTCAGTAAATCACTGACAGCAGGCGCAGTCTTAATCAATGCGAGTACAGCCATTTATCTGAAAATAAGTTCAATTTAAGTGTGCCGAATGATTACTTAGCAATTATTGATTGAGGCTGAGTAAGATATACTTATATATATCCACCTTGGCCTTCAGCCTCGGTGGATAACACCTTCCGAGATCTGCAGAATTCTTCATATCCTACGGAAGCCTATATGATGGTATAAGCTAACAACACACACCTTAAGGGAAATGACCCTATGGCTGGTTTTCAGCGTCACGCCATTCTAAAAATAGATCAAAACCAAAAGCAAAACCGTTCATTAGATAAAGTCCAGAATCTGGGAAATGAAAGGAGGAAACTAAAGAAAGACGCTCGCCAAGATTCAGGTCAGGGCAAAATTTCGTATACGAAATATCCGAAGAAATGTTTTACCCAAATTTATAGAGGTTTGTGTGGAGACGCCATGCTGGTGCCCACGGGATGGGCACCAACATGGCGGACGAAAACCATGAGAAACATCTCTTACCGAGTTTTGCTACAAAAGCGTGAATTTATCCGTCGAGGAACTCATAAATATTACAGTAATACTTTTTCTCATACATTTTAAACTGTTTAGAGATAGTAAAATTCCCCGGAATAAGTCACTTTTTTAACCTACGTTATAGCTCTCTCCGCCGTCATGTAAATGCCGCGTCACGCAAAAGCTTAGATATTCCAGCGTTCTCTATCAAAACACCATGCAAGCACCCTTTTGAAGCGAAATTTGTATGAAATATAGTTTTCAGCGGTTCTAATAATCAGGAAAGTAAAATCTCAGTAGGATCGATAGTTTTGGAGTCTGAATTTTAGTGACGTCATGTGAAAATCAGCAATAAATGCATTGCACCAGCTAGTCTTTTTCTTATCATCCGTAGGCTGCTGTCAGTGCAATTTGTAACCCCCCTCAGCCTGGTGACGAGTCGTACGAGACATTTATTAAGGTAAGTGTAATGTCAGGCGTATCTGAACTACAGTACATAGGGGTCGGGACCTAGATCCTGAACATTCCAAGACTGGCACGACTGGAGTATTTAATTTATTTGTAATATTTTTCAACGTGACGAATTGGTTTCGCGAATGTTGTTGAAGTGTATCTGGGCTGTAATGAGTAAGATAAAAGAATCGATCTGTAGGAGATCGGGGGTCAAGGGCAATGTGTGCAAAAAACCGCTGTCTGGGCTTTCGATGGAGGTTAACCATAATGAAGAAGGCTGAAGACCCTCAGCGCAGGCGCGTCATGTGGCAGTTTTTTGCTTGACTTTCAAGTTTTGATCTTTAAAATTTGATCGTGGAGGGGATTTTGTCTACTTTTCTTCTCACTGATTATTAAGATTCTTGATTCCCCAAATTTTGACTATTACAATCTACAGGTTGTTATTTCGGCCAATAAACACTGCGCCGATAAAAACAATAAACGATAAACTTGTTTCCAACTGTATTGTTAGTCAGTGCAATTCCGTCAGTTTTTTAATGGACATCGAAATTAGAAAAAAGCATTTTTTTAAATTTTTTCTGCAGGAGAAAATGTTTATTATGGATTCTTATCAAAGAAAGGCGCGGATAACCACAAAGATGCTGAATTCTCTTAAGAGCGAATGCAGAGAAAAATCGAGCAAACCGTGGCCACAGCTCAAAACCTAACCTACCCTCATTTTAAGTCTGTAGTAAGGTTTTAATGAGTTTATAACACTGCTGAGGTTTAAATTTCAAAATGCGGCCGAGTTTGGGAATTATTTGAGATTTTCGATTTCAACGGTCTGCGGGCCTAAAATTAGCCGCCGAACACGGCAATATAGCCTAGCGACAGAAATGAGCTGACTTTCATAAACGAGCGAATATATTGGCAATCTTCCGCTTAAATCTCAAAAAACAGATATTGACAATTTCTAAGCAGCACATTTTTTTAGATTTAGAGCATAAAATATCGACGAACGAGCACAATTTTGAAACGTAATTTGCATAATGTTTATAAATACAACAATTTACCGCTAAAACCAAAATCGAATTTTCTATATGGGGGAATTCTCCAAATCACCCCAAATCCCGCTTACTACCTAACGAGATATAATACTTCAACATTATCTGAAAGTTAGTCTGGTGTTCTCTCGAACGCTTGTAAAATAGATTGATTATTTTGAGGTTATTTTGCCCCAAACAACCGCTAATTGACCCCAGGGTCAGTTGACACGTACACGTCACCTTAGTTTTATGCATCGATTTGAGCTCGTCAAAAGGGAGAAACTAACACGATTTTTTTAATATGTACCTGTTTTAATGAAATACACGCAATCTTCAAAAGGAGAGGCAGTTCAATGGGTAATGTCTGTTCTTGAGATCTTGTAGATTGTACCATGGCGTCTGCGAGTGGACCTGAGTCTAGGTCTTTTTTCCCGTGACTGCGAAATCAGAATAACATCATGAAATAATTCTCGCTCGAACCTTCGTAAGTGAATCCGCTTTGCAGTGCCTTACCTGAGATAAAAAGTGGGCCGAATAGGAAAACATTCTAGCGCAATTTGGATCCTTTGCAGCACGTAGTGTATTTGCTAAGCGGCGATGGTATCATTGACTTTTAATTATAGTTACTCACCTCCGATTGCGTGACCAGGCAGTTATCGATTGTCTCCTGCGAAAAATAAGTGCACGGGAAACCAAAGCTTTCGGGATACAGTAAATTCATTTTCCTGTATGACCAGGTGTCCTTTTGTCCTATTTTAAAAGCGGTTAACTAAGATGATTAGCAAACATACTGTCCCACTTTTAAAAATGGTACAGTAACTGAATGTTCTGTTCTTCTGATTTTACCCCGAACCCCCGAGTGTTTAGAAGATATATTTGCACTACGCATGAAAGGCAAATGGATTAAATTTTAAGGTTCAAGGCGGTTTTAAGGCATGGGTTACCAGTGGATTAGTCAGACTTGTCATAAGGTGCATTGAACGGAAAATTACAGGCATGATATCTCTGTTATTGTATATATGTCCATTAAGTGATTTTCCAGCAAACATTTTTTGACTTTTTTTACCCCAGAAGTTTTTTCCGTTCAATTCTTATCTATGAGATCTAAACTTAGTTAAATTTCTGTAATTTGTTGTTAAATGCAATTCTGCAAACAACTAAGTATTTAATTTTGCGTAAAAGCTACATGAAATTGTACTGTTTAGCCGTAAATCATAAAAAAGAGAAAGCATCATGCTTTCTCTTTTCAAGTCTAGTAGGACTTAAGCAATGGCATTGCTTAAGTCCTAGTAGTTGTTTTCCATGTCTGCTAAGGAGGAAATAATTTGCTCTTTTCAAGAAATTGTTCTTGCCCATTGCGGTTTCAAACCAAGGATAGCAGCAAGTCTGTCACATACTGCTACTTCAGTGCAAACGAAGCATAGGCGCACAAGCCAGCGCTTGCGTTTAGTCAGGTGCCGAAAATGAAGTGGAGGGCGTCCATGTTCGCTCCGGCTCGAAAAGGTAGAATCAGTTGTGCAGTAAAACGTAATGCGAAAAACCTGCGTGGGCTGGGGAAAGAAAGGCTTCTTATTTTTCTTTGGCTTGTTCTATTTTCGCGACGTGGTACAGGCTACGAAATACTGACAAGCTCAATATATGTCTTCACCACCGAGAGTCACTTGCCCTTAGCCGGACACGCCCCTCACGTATCATGTTCGTTCCTAAAGTTATTACAAAGCACAGAACCAAACCTAATCAGCGGACGAAGGCAGAAAAGGGGATGAGCAAACGGATGTCACAGCATATTTTGCAAGAAACTGATATCCTTGTGCCTATCGGCTCAGGAACGATTAATTACTACTAGAATTAATATCAGGGTCAGAATTTGAGTGCTACAATGGGAGGGAAGGAAGAAAAGGAAACCGCCGCGCACACCTGTTAAGTCTTTTATAAACTTTCTCGTCCTGACAGTTTCAAGGTATAGACTGTTTTCACATGACGTCACGGCGGCCATATTGGTGTCCCAAAAAAATGAAACGGCGGCCATGTTGGTGTCCCAAACCAGTCCTGTGGGAGTTGAACTCCTTTCTTATGCAAACGCTTTCTTTTGTTCCAATAAATTTGCATAGATGCTGGCCACGTGAGTGAAAACACTCTGTTTAATTTACAGTGTCTGTTGCAGGTGTAGAATTAATCTTACAGCAACTGGAAACGTGGCCACGCCTGCTGAAACTGAGATTGCTTGTACGATGAACGGCTATAGTTTGGTATATTCACGAGCGCGTTTTGTCTAGTGAACTGAGTGCGTAGTTTTTCTTAACGAAGGGATGGGGTGAGTCAAGTGAATAGTTCGGGGAACGTTTGCTCTCTTTAGAGGGGGGGTATATTTGTTGATATCAGGAGTTCTGGGCTGGATAGAGTCGTTGTAAAGCTATTTTTGCTTCGGAGTATCGGTTTACCGGAAGCTGAGCTAGGAAAAGTCAATGGTGCATTTATGGAATAATAATAGAGATTCTCATGGTCTAACAGTGCGAAGATTAGACTTCTGGTAAGGTGGCAACAATCAAGGCCCGCATTATAATTCATAATAATTGAAGGTCATGATGTAAAAAAAGCGACTGAAATGGTGGATGCCATGCAATTCTCTCGGGTGGGGGCGGCGTACCTGGCCTTGTCGGTTGCCCCTGCGACAGAAGACAAGCATGCCCCGATTGTCCACGGTTTGCTAAATGAGAACGTCCCTTTCTTAGTACCCGTTCCCTGTCTTAAAATTAGACCCGGGCAAATTTCTCGAGATTGCACCATCATTTTGGGCTTAAAGCTTCCAAAGTCCAACAATAATAGCGCATGTTCGCGACGGTTTTTTAAGTCAGCCGAGTTCTTAAACCAGGCCTTAAACGGCCAGTTTTAAGTGTCGATAACAGTTAAAAAGGCATACAAGCCTCATGCAAAAGACAGTGGGAAGGAAGTGCACATCGGTGATGGGGAAAAAGGAGTAGCCCACAGTTATTTAGGGGTGGATCTTTCGAAACATTCTTATACTCTTGGACAGATATGTATTGTTTAAAGTTTTAGACAAACCAGGTGTAAATTTATAGTAACAAACTGTTAAATATACACCAGCAAGATTTTTGCGAATCCTATTTTTCGCTGGAGACTATCGTTTACTGGCTGGTCACGCAATCAAAGGTAACGTACTTTCCCACGTTTGTTTACTCACCTTTCGCTCAGCAATACATTGCGTTCCACAAAGGATCCAAATTGCGCTAGAAATGTTTTGCTATTCGGCCCACTTTTTATCTCAGGTAAGGCACTGCAAAGCTGATTCACTTACGAAGATTCGAGAGAGAATTATTTCTTGATGTTATTCTGATTTCGCAGTCACGGGAAAGAAGACCTAGACTCACGTCCACTCGCAGACGCCATGGTACAATCTACAAGATCTCAAGAACAGAAATTACCCATTGAACGGCCTCTCCTTTTGAAGATTGCGTGTATTTCATTAAAACAGGTACATATTAAAAGAATCTTGTTAGTTTCGCCCTTTTAACGAGCTCAAATCGATGCATGAAACTAAGGTGACGTGCACGTGTCAACTGACCCTGGGGTCAATTAGCGGTTGTTTGGGGCAAAATAACCTCAAAATAATCAATCTATTTTACAAGCGTTCGCGAGAACACCAGACTAACTTTCAGATAATGTTGAAGTACTATATCTCATTAGGTAGTAAGCGGGATTTGGGGTGATTTGGAGAATTCCCCCATATAGAAAATTCGATTTTGATTTTAGCGGTAAATTGTTGTATTTAAGCATTATGCAAAAATACGTTTCAAAATTCTGCTGGTTCGTGGATATTTCATGCTCTAAATCTAAAAAATGTGCCGTTCAGAAATTGTTAGATATCTGCTTTTTGAGATTTAAGCGGAAGATTGCCAATATATTCGCTCGTTTATGAAAGTCAGCTCATTTCTGTCGCTAGGCTATATCGCCGTGTTCGGCGGCTAATTTTAGGCCCGCAGACCATTGAAATCGAAAATCTTAAATAATTCCCAAACTCGGCCGCATTTTGAAATTTAAACCTCAGCAGTGTTATAAACTGATTAAAACCTTATTACAGACTGAAAATGAGGTTAAGTTAGGTTTTGAGCTGTGGCCACGATTTGCCGATTTTGCTCGATTTTTCTGTGCATTCGCTCTTAAAGACGTCTCGTGTAGGCTGTAACTGGCTCATTGTATGCATTTCCCAAAGTTATTCTTCCACAAAAAGCTATTGAAGAGGCCAAGGTGAGTTGTTGGCGTAGTTCTTTGAAACTAATAGTGAGCTTAAGCAACGGCGCTGGACGGTGACGTCAACGAGAACGGCAATAAAGCAACGGTTTAGTATGACAAAACAAGAACTTTGCGCCTGCATCATGCTTTCTGTATATTTCCTTGCCTTCACTGCTGGACTAAGACGTGAAAGTGCCTCATTTCACGTTTTGTAGAGGACGTAAACACAAGACAAAGACTTTATTTTTCTTTTCCTGAACTTCGATACAGTCTTTTAGAATTCAAGTCCAGAAAAATTTGCCGATGTTTGACGAAATGAACGAGATGAAATTAGTGCGATTAGGCTTAAAGTAGCGTGAATTCACTTTTTGAGTGACGTTTTCGTAGCCCTTCCTCCCCAAAAATATAGATTCCCTTAGGCTTTATTCAAAAGTCCACACAACAACGGAAATGCGCAACCTCATTCCCAGTGTCTTCCCTTACCCGGCAGAGACGGGTATGACTGGGTAGGACAAGACCCTTGGGAACGAGGTTGGAAAATGCGTTTATTTTTTTTAGCTCAACAACTGCACACCTGACGAATTCTACTGCTGGCAGATGTTAGAAGCGACTGGCATAAGCCCTATACCTGGAAATTCGTTCGGACAAAAGGAAGGAACATATCATTTTAGGTTAGAGCTAACTTGTCGAACGTCTCTTTTTCTTTATTGTTTTATCATACTTGTCTTTTTGCTACGTGATGGGGAAGTCGATCAGCGTTGATGTGGGACGGAGTAATAGGCCTTTTGCATTAGCTGATCACTTGATCTACAGCTGTAAACACGAAAACCGTTCGCTTTCATACAAATCCTTGTAAATTTCGAAGTTTTCAAGCTGCTGTAAAATATTCCCTTAAGCATTACGGGTCTCAAATCTCCTTTTTAATCATAACAGGCAATTTGAGCTATTTAATGCACAAGGAGAAGATTTGACGACATTGAAGTTAAGCAAGAGACTGACTCACTAGGATTCTGTTTTGGGAGACAACTTTTTGGCCCCCTGCCGGGTTGTTCAATCCTGGGGAAGAACCCAAGGCTAATGCGAAATTTGAATTCAAATATGAAAACGTAAAAAAACCAACTCAGATTAGTTCTTTTTGTCTGCAATTTGATGATTAGCTACCCTAAAAAGGATAGGGAAAATTGACCTAGAAAATACTTTTGAACAAAAGAAAACCCGGGTTAGAATTAAATGCCCGGTTACAGCTTGGCAGTCGAACAGTAGAAGACTCTTTGAGCTTTTAGGTTTTGTTTTCCCCATTGCAGACCACGTGATTTTACTCCAGAGAACTGTTTGTTTTAACTGTCGTCCTATGAACTTGCATCCACGTGCATTTGCGTGCAGAGCTAATGAAAAGACAAAAGGCAAATTCCCTTGAGAACATCAGGTGGTCTGAATAGACCCTTTTACCGATACGGCGGCCATATTGAATTAATTCGTTTGTTTATTTGGAGCACTTTTCGGGACATTTTTTCGTAAAGTTTTCTTAGAATAAGATTGTAATGGGAAAAAAGATCCTTGTGCCGTGTTTGGATGTAATAAAGACCATATTTCTAATACTAAACTAGAAGAAGACGATCCTTATTACATCCAAACACGACACAAGGATATTTTTTGCCAGTACAATCTTATTCTAAGAAAACTTTAAGAAAAAATGTCCCGAAAGCGCCCGAAAATACAAACGAAATGTGCTCATGCCCCCTGGGCATCCTATAATACTCCTTAAATCGAATTAATTCAATATGGCCGCCGTATCGGTAAAAAGGTCTATTGGGAAAAAAGAACTTACATGCTAATTGGTCTAGTGGGCCATATCCTGCGCAGCTTCGAAATATTCTAGTTGATTAGCGATATTGCATGTTTTACCACCCACGTTCGAACCTGTCTTCAAAAAAAGGGGGTTCAGGGTTTCTTTTTACGGGGTGGTTAAACGAGCAACACCGCTATTTAACTTGTTTTGCAGAAATTTTGCGAAACAAGTTGCTCGTTTTTTTGGCTTGTTTAACAGTACCTTTGGTTAAAGTTCCGCCCTCACGCAGGCAATAAAAGCAATTGAGCCAACCAATGGATAAATGGATTCATTTGCAACATGAGCGCTGGCCATCGCACCTACCCGCTGATATTTTCATTGTTTTTGAGCATAAAAAAGTTAAAAATCCCTTCGGAAGTAGATGAAGTCGCTGCTATAAATCTTTTATAAGATATGGCTGGCATTTTTATCAAAAAAATTATGTTACAGCTGGGTGTAAGATGGAGGATATCCTTGCTAAAGGTCAGGACTTCTGGTTTGTGTTGTCTTAATCTTCTGTGTAATGAAATATTTTAAAATTCTCATTGTTTTAATAAAAAAGTGAAATAAACCTGACCATACTTGGAAATGCGAAATTATTATAAATCAGGATATATAATCGTTGAGAGTATTTATTTTTTCTTTGCCGCAGGTTAACCATTTTGCCATCTGAGGAAAAGGTAGTTCCCATGTTCGACAAAATTAGCAAGTTTCATGAGGAATTCATGCAAAAATACAGAAGTGACAAGAATAATCAACAATAATTTAGCAAACATAATTATTGTTAATTACTGGGCTCCATGCCACCGTTGCAGCCATACATTAGGGACTTTTTAAAGTCCCTAATGTATGGTCTTAAAAGATCCAACGACGCAACGACGGTGAGAACGTCGCTTAAAAAGTGAATTTGTTTTCTTTCAGTCTATATCGCAATTATTCCTGCCCACTTACATTGTCAAATGTAGCCGAACCCTCCTGGAGTTGAATTCCTAGGCACCATATCCAAGTACAGTACGAGAAAATTTCGTCGTTGCTTGTTTACGTCCTCCGTAAAACGCGAAATTAGGCATTTTCACGTCGTAGTCGAGCAAAAAAGGGCAGAGAAATGTACAAAAAAGCATGGTGCACGTGCAAAGTTTTGTTTGCTAATCAAACCTATTGTCTTTTTGACGTTCTCGTTACCGTCCGCGTCGTTGGAATGGTTATGAAACGCAACAGACTGTCAGCTTTTTACACTTGACCGTGCACAGCGTTCAATAGCATTCCCATAAGTTTGAACTTACCTAGCAATAGAAACATCGCATTAATTTTTTCAGTCACAATTTGTGAGCCAAAAGCAAAGGATTGTGTACCGTTGTTTTCATCTTTGAGGTTTACTGCATGGCTTTCATAACCAGTCTCCTCTGCGGCTAACTATACTTAAATGGATATGAATTTCAGTTTTTAACTAACTTAATTGGCAATTGTTCGTCTCGAGAAATTGCACATTGTGTGAGGTTAATCTTTGGTCAAACAATAGACTGCAAAACAGTCCGTATTTTTGCGTATTCAAGTACGCTCTGTGCACGAACATTTAAACATGTAGAAAAGCTGAAAACGGAGCTCGAGACTGAGGAGAGACGCTTCGTGCGCGTAAGGCTCTTACGCTGCTCTTACTCTCCTCCAATCCAATTTTGAGAAAGAACCAACTGTTTTCCAGTCTAGTTAAACAAGCAAATCATTGCCAAAGCAACCTTCATTGAATAAGACTTATTTATATATATCATTAGATAAATGCTTTTAGTACTTTGCGGAGAAATTCTCGGGTTGGGTTATTATGGTACAGGACGAACTGTCCTTTTGAATATTCACCGACCTTTGTGCAGAGTTTGTAATTAAAAAACATAAATACAGCTTCAGTTACAGTTTAGTTCCAAGTTAAAAAGTTTAGATAAGGCCATAAACACTATAGCTAGGACTTCTTTGCGGCGTCACGTTGTACAAAGTCCAGAAGCGTAATATTTCCCCCCCTTTTTTTTTCCTCGTATTTATGTTTTACTTTATATCGGGGCTCAATTGAATGTAACAGCTCTTGTGCTTACCAATAAAATTCATTGTGACGAAAACTGATCTGATAAACTAAATAAATATAATACGCGACTTTTCACTAGATAAAAGCAGCTGAAAATTAAGCAGTTAACCTTCAGGAAAAATGTTACAGGAAATGCCCCGGTTTTTTATTGTATACATATTTTTTCTGCTTTAGAAGACATTGCAATCTCTGTTTCCAAGCTTTTTACTTGGTCCCTTAGTGCGTGGCAATACAGGATTGGTAGTCAATGATTAGAAAGTTATTACATCAACAAGTACAATGTAAAAAGGAAAGAAAACGAGTGCACTGGCCGGGAATCGAACCCGGGCCTCCCGCGTGGCAGGCGAGAATTCTACCACTGAACCACCAGTGCTTCTCGTATTCATGTGGCTTCTAGGGCTCGTTGCTTGAAAGGCCCGGAAAATCCAAACCTGTTGAATAGGTAACACAGTGGCTAGCCCACAAACCAGTCAATTTTGCTTCGTTAAGTGATAGTTTCATTGTGTTATTTTCAGAATTATTTAAACTTTGATCTCGAATGCAAACACAACAAACACAAAACAGCTTTCCAGCCCCGAAAAGTTACCTGTACTTTCGATCGAGAAACGGACCCCTGGGCCGGGTTGTTCAAAGCTGGGTTAAGATAACCCCAGGTAAGTGCGAAATTTAAATCAGATATGAAAGCTTTAAAACCAAATTCAGTAATATTATTTTCCTCTACAAATTGATGATTGGATGATCTAAAAAACAGAGAAAATTATTTGGTAAAAATGCTTATGAACCAAAGAAAAAAAAAAGAGGATTGAAATTTAGCCTGGGTTAGCGTTAACGAGGAGGACAAAAAATTGACAATACATTGTCTATTATTTTAGTGGTACACTTCTAACATAAAGTGAGTGGATTGGCTGGTGATTTTTGTAGAAGCCTCGCAACAGTGGGCGTATAATACAAAAGTACTGTGAAGGTCAGGCTGTACCCTTCAGCCCCCCCCCCCCCCCCACCTCACTCCTCGCACTGCTGATATATGCTGCTGATTGAGTCGGACAACAACCAGATGCGTCTTGCAAGAAAAGTCGTGTACATGCTACATGCATCAGCCTGTGCATCGATCAACGGACGGTAGATGGCTGATTAAGCTAAACGGTTTCATGAACTGTAATAAACATTAGTATTCCCTATGATTTGAGCCGTCTAATTTTCTTTATTCTATAATTGGACTCAGGATGAGCCAAGACAATGTACTTCTTCTTTGGGTATTCCCTGATCTTGTCATGTCATACCCATCCGGCCCTTTTCACGCACAGAAGGGAAATGTGTGCAGTCAATGTCTTCATGCTCTTTGAGAATAAAGATCACCATAAGAAACGTTTAGTTACATCAATACTGTTCGGTAGCACCCCGGGGGGTTCTCCCTTATATAAGCCATATAGGTATTTGCCGCCCCATTAAAGGGTAGGGTTTTGGGGCCTTTTTGGTCTGAAAACGGATATAGACTTTGCCCATTTTGGTCCGGAATCGGGTATGATTTTCGAGGGAACTACAGGAGCATATGAACGTAGTAGTTATCGTTTCAATTCCAAATGAATAAGAAAGAAACAGAAATATGCGAATTCGAAATGCATTTAAATAAATTTTTTGTTTGCCCTCTAATCTTAGTAATGATGACATAATTTCTGCCTAAAGGCCAGGTCTGAAAACAAGCATAGATTTTAGAGATCTGGTCTGAAAACGGGTGTGGAAAATGACATTTTTGGTCTGAATAAGGGTCAAGATTTGGAGAACCGGGCGACGCACACCTACCAAGAATTCCCAGGAGTATCCCGGGGGTAGTACGTTATATTATCTCTGGTGTGATGATGCATGGTATCCCAAAGGGCCACTAGCTGTTTATTACACTTGGACAGTCTTTTTCGACAGCCCAACTTCTTGTACAAAAAATTGTGACAAATACCGGTAAGGAAAAATCGGCATTTGGAGGGATGTCTGAATTAAAGCGAACTGGAATTGCAATTTTGAATTGCAGTGCATCATATTAAGGGCAACCAAGAGAAAATGAGGGCAACATTAGAAGCAAACATCGACAAATATGCGGGGTTTCCGTAAACAGCGAGGAGTCCGGTCCCCAAGGCTAGCGATACCATTTTTGTTTTCTAAACAGATATAATCTAACACTGTCATTGTAGGAGGTTATGCTGGAGTAATCAGAATTATTCCTTTACCGATCGCGATTAGCGTGTATGTGACCTGGAGGGGGGCGGGGGGGGGGGGGGGCTACTGCTATATATGGGCTTTGTAGGTATGTGCCGCTGTGAAGGGTATGGTTTTCCTGGTTATCTCTGGAAAAGGGTATATAAATCAGAGAGTTTGGTCTAGAATAGGGTATCATTTTCCAGGCTATCATCTTTAACTGGTTGAAGAAACCATACCGGGAACTGCCACTCAAAAATATTAAAAAATCAAATCGTTTTGTTTTGGCTGGACTGTGCTAGTGACCTCAGTAGTTTCTGGACAACAGCTACTCTATCTAGGATAGGAGGGGATTTTGGGGAGTTTAGTCTAGTATAGGGTAGAATAATTCATCTGAACTAGCTCTGGCATAGGCTAAGGGTTCCAGGGTACTAGCGGCACATCCCCACCCAAAAATAAAGTAGCCCCCCACTTCCGGGGCCTGTGATTTTCATGGGCAATAGAGAATTACACCAGATAGTTTTGATTTGGTAACCGCTCCTCACTGGTAACCGCTCCTCACTACCAAGTGTTTTCTCTATTTCTTTCGTTTTTTTTTTTTTAATTTGTTGCCTCCAAATGGAAGCTGAATATATTAATTGTTATAAAATAACTAAGATAGTACGCGCGCTCTGATTGGCCGAGAGGAGTGTTTGCATGAGAGTATGTGAATATGGTTGTGGCGTCAAGATGTTTTGCTTTTCGCGCGCTAATCACGCAAGCACGAATTTGAAAACGTTTTCGAGTTCAAAACTCAACAGGTTTACTTTATTTACTTACTCCTTCGTCGGCTGAAACTTAGGAAATCGTTACAACGAAGGTGTGTCAATTTTTCTTCGCTTAAGGTGACATTTTAAGCGAGAAAAATCCGTATTTAAGAAAGCATCTTTTTGCAAAACAAGAACTGATTACGGGTGCAAGACTTCGTAGACAAGACTTTGCGACTGGTAAGAATTTCTGTTTTAATCATTGCCATACAAAGAGTTTTGCGTTTTTGCTCGGGAAAGTTATTGCGTTCGAGCGCAACCCCTAATTTGTGTTGGGTATTCTGTGCAGTATTGGGTTTCCTGGGCAATTAATAAGGGAGGTTTTTTCGAGATTACATTCGTTGTCGTCGTCGACACACATTTGCATCGCTTTGAGGCGTTTGCTTACGTTTTGCCTCACTTTGACGCGCTAACTCACTTGGTGATTCGTGCTGAATCTTCGTAAAGCGTACATATTTAAAAGTTTGCTGAAGGTCTACTATCTATCTGTGTTTGCTGAATCTTTCAAAACGTTCATCTTTGAAAAGATTCGGCGGCCGTTGTGCCACGAAGTAAACCTACCGAGTTGTGTAGCTCGGCGGCCGTTGTGCCACAAAAAGTAAATCTACCGAGACGTGAAGCTCGGCGGCGTGATTTCATCACGACTTGTGATATTTTCGGCACCGTACAAACGAACATTTTAGGTCTCTGTTATTTATTCGGAAAAAACTTATAAACAGCCCACAGTAGCCCCACTCAACTCACTGAAATCAACACACTCGGCCTTCAAGGCTTTTTCATAATGATACACAATTTAAATAGAGGTTTTGCTGTAAGCAATCCTTACGTTTAAAATATGCCATGATCAGACCATGATCAAATTAAAGCCCGGTTTCCATATGATCGCTACCATCGCCGTGATCGCTGCGAGCGCTCCGAAAAAAAAAACTTCAGTGATCATAGCGATCATATAAAACCACTCTTCAGCGATCGTTGTCGCTGCTATCGCTGGGGAGTGGTTTCCATATGATCGCTGAACTTTTTTTCTCAGCGCGATCGTAGCGATCATATGGAAACCGGGATTAATCTATCGCAATAACCATCCACCGTTCCTCCTCAACTGCTACCTGTACGCCTTACAAACATATCGAACGCACTCTTTTAAGCTCCGATTACTCCTAGACTGATATAAACACTCGAGGCGTTGGGAGAATTCTCGACAGTTGTGCAAACCCTCGACTTCGTCTCGGGTTTGCATATTTACTGTCCCGAATTCTCCCAACCCCTCTCGTGTTTATATCAGGGTATGCAAACACGGAAAACGTTTTCTATTGCTTAATCACTCACTAAATCATCGATGACGAGTCAAAGTACTTCGCGAGGTCCTCCTGGTTGATCATTGGACTGTCTGAAGAAAACCTCAGAAAGTATCACCTAGTTTCGTCCCTCTATCAAGTTTCGAGGGCAAATTCGTCATGGTCCAACAAGCTTTTCAGAGAAAAAAATCCATGCGCACGTCATGTATTTTAACCAATGATATAGTCACGAACCTTAACACATAAATGCTTTTCTAAGCACTTTCATTTTGTACTTCCGCCCTAAGTTCCGTCATAATCGCTAAGTTATTTCGCTTTCGATTCAACGATGGAACCAGAAGAAAATACAGCGCCTGAACATGAACTCCAGTTTGGAGGGCACGATTTTGTGTTCGTTGATGAGCCGTCTTCCGAACAATTTTGCTCTGTATGTCTTCTTGTTATGAAAAATGCTGTTCAGACAGTATGCGGTCATCGCTTCTGCAGACACTGCCTCGTTGGGACATTCAGGTACCAAGATTTTGTTAATTTAACATAGACATGCTAAACTTCACTCACTAATAGGCCGATGGTCATGAAGTAATAATCGTTGCGTTCTCTGATGCATACACTCGACTGATTCGATAGAATTTCAAGCTGTCACAGTTTTTTGTCCGCGACGAAACACGCTATCAACAAATCTTTAATCAGACTGTCCCGCTGTATCATAAATCACTTCTGAGGTATCCGAAAAAGGAACATTGAAATTCATGGTTTGAGGTCTTTCAAGGCCCATCGTCATACAGCGATTCAGTCGAAGCTTTTACAAAAAAATACGGTTTGTGGGATGAAGGTCTTCTTGCACGCCATTGGCAAATAATCAGTCAAGCACGGCACCGCGATGTAATGAATTATTTGCGAAGAATACATCTGCGCAAAGGAAGTAGAAAAGAAATAGGAGACGTCTCTGCACGCTGGCTAAGGATGCAAAAAAGTAAATAAGGTTTATTTCTATGTCTGTATTTTATTTCCTGTAATAAAGTTTACTTTTTTGAGCCCGAGATTCTTCCATTTTCAGGGAAGGTCAACATGCCTGTCCACAGGATAGAAACCCTATTCCCGAGGAGGGAGGGGTGAGTACATTATTTGCTGCAAGATATATGAAACACACCAAGAGTCATCCTCTCTTGATACCACAGAACAGTCGATAAATAAAATTGGTATTAGTCAACTTGTCAACTGTTTTGCCTCATCAGTCGAACAAAACTTCTGATTAGAGTGATTTTTACTTAACCTGTGAAATAGAGTAGTAGAATACATTGTACTACGCACTATTATGCACTACTTCCATTGTCTTCTCTCGTTTACCAGTAGCTATTTTGCACTAGTTGTTATTCTCTGTTTCACGGGTCAAGTAAAATCACTCTGTTTGAGTATGGGTGAATGTTTTGAACCAGCAAGCGAGTTTGCCGTTGAATAAAATTTTAACTGAGGCGTCCAGACCTGTTTCCCGCTAGAGTGCACATCTACTGTCGGTTCACGCCGTTCTTCTGTTTTTTTTTTCTCTCCTCGAGTCTCTGTAAGACGCGCAAACAACAACAGGATCCGTCTCTGAGATAGTTGACTGCCTTTGCCGAGATTCATATTTGTCAGTTAACTTTGAATTCTATAATATTTTATAATTTGCATGATATGCTGTACCAACTGAATAACCAATTGAGCAGTGAAACACATGCAGTGCACTTTTCAGACTTTTGAAAACAAAGTCGATTAAAGTGCATGCTATATAGTCTGCTACACAGCCGTTTTTAGTGTCGTCACGCAACGCGTTGCGTGACGACACTAAAAACGGCTGTGTAGCAGACTACATGCTATACGAAATGAAACACATTGAAGAAGTTGTTCCTTTGTATTCCCTCTTTTGCAGTTCTTTCCCGATGTGGCCTGGGAGAGGAATATACTGTCGCTTCGGGTAAAATGTAAAATGAGTAAAAGAGGCTGTGATTGGACAGGACAATTACGTCATTTTCAGGTAATGTGAAAGGAGCATTATGCAGTCTTCCCCTGATGCATTGCGCTGTAATATGTTATCCAGTTGGTTTGTGACGTCATCACTTTTTAAGGTGGATGCATCTAGTAAACAACTCCATCAAGCTCCTGTCTTCGGGAAAGATTCAGACGTGATTTATTAGAATTGCGATTTGAATACCAAGATAGACCTTACATTACCTTCGCTGCAATTTTTACGGCTGAATGTGGTCTTCGGCCGATTCATTTTCGTCAGCTCTTTGGTGGAGAGGCGTTAGTATATGCAGTGGTATATGTTACCGGCTAACAGGCGAATTTTGGATAAACTCAACGGCGTGAGATTTCTATTTATTGTACAGGTTATTGAGAAAGCTCAAAAGAAGCTCAATTTTTTTTTGTGGGCAAGAAAGCTTTTCATTATGAAATTGTTCTTCGATTAATTCAACCTAGCTTATTTTCTTCACGGCGGAGCGCTTGGCCTGTTTTCTGCTGTTTTGAAATGCAGCCAAGGCAGCAACGTTTTGGAGAATTTTGAGGTACAGATTTACTCTATGATCAAGGAAATTACGTTTTTAAAAGGAAATTTATGTATTTATAAATGTTTCATAGACAATTAATTCATTTTGGTATCGGTGTTTATAGAAAAATTACAAAAATTAAATGTACCACGATTGGAGATGACGTGATTAATTGTGTTGAATTTTGCCGTGTGGTCAGCCGATTTTTACTTGCGTAAACGGATCCAAGTCCTAGTTAGCGTTCGGCAAATTGCTTTTAAGGATTAACTAATGGAATTTTTTTTTCAAAAAAATTTGTCAAGAAATAATTTCTCTGTCTATTGTTTTGTGTTTGTTCATTCATGACGTAAAACATTGGCTCAAAACACGATCGTCGGACTATGCTACTCACATATATACACGCATCACTTCTGCGAGAGATTTCGGTGAATTTTTGGGCACTGTGCGATACGCCGCTACTGAATTTTATTTAATGATTATTCTGGTTATATAAAGAGATAATTCTTTAAGCCTAATTTTTATGGATATTTTCACTCTAAGTTTGCCGCGCAGGTGGGTCAGCGCCGAAGTATCTTGTTTTTTGTTAAAATGACAACTCGCTTCGCGCGGTCGTCAGCCAATTGAACTGTCATGTTCAATTTCGATTTGTCGACGTCTGAGTTGAGGTACAACGAGGTACATTGTCATTCCTTGAAATTATATCCCTTCTTCTCTTCAAAAATTATTGGTTTAATTCACAGAACCTTGACTATTGTAGTCGGAAACTAACACATTTCTTGAAGTACCCGAGCGTGAGAGTGAAGATAATACCTTCATCATTAAAATTCACCTCTCTTCGTCGTGAAAATAAGGCATTTAATTTTTCATTTAATAGCTTGGAAAATTCGCTCAGTATATCAATTTAATGCCAATCAAAAGGAATGAAACAAAAGACACTCACTTCAAGCCGTCAAACAAGCTTCTTTTGAAAGGTCGAAAAATCATCTCCGACGCTCATGATGCATCCACTTGATAATGGTCACGCTGCACGCGAAAACCGCGAAAAATTGCCGCATGGAATTATGGGAAGACTGCATAATCCTCCTTTGGTGACGTGTTTCTGTATTGCCTAGCATGTAGAGTCTACATTGTAGGCTCGAAACGGGGAGGTCGGACATGACGAAGGGAGGCCAAATTCGTAGGAAAAAAGTGAGGACATAGACAGCGCGCAGCATTTATATCAATTTTGCATTGATGTATAGTGATTTAGAATGGTTAGCTTTTACTTTAGTGTTTTGGAAACTCCACAGAATGTGCTATAAATTTAAGAAAATTCAGTACCTGGATAAGAAGTGAGAAAATAAAGCGGCTACGATTATGTTTTGTACGTACTGATTTAGAAATAGTTGGCTTCCATTACTGTTTTGGAAACTCCATAGAAATACTATGAAATTAGGTACTGCTTGGTACTGTTTTCCCCGTTGGTGTACGTGCATTCCATTAAGAAATAATTGTAGTGAACCGTGTTTAAGGCTCCCTGCCGACTCTCTTTTACTTTGGTCTCTCTTCTATTTCTTCAAAAACCGGTTTAAAATTTTAGACAGTTAATTAAGGTTTCCTCAGTGTGTAGGGTGGGTTCATGAGGTTTTCAAACTAGGGTTGCCTAGAAGGAAGACTGAAGGCAGTTCCTCTGGATGGTAGCGTGAGCAAGGCGGCATTTCAGTGAAATCAACCAAGAGAGCTCCTCGCGATTATAACTGTTTACTTACCAAGCACATAGTTTTTTAGCAGTATCTAATCATCTAGTCAAGAAAGTAAAGCAGCAAACAAGAAAAGGAAGCAATAAAATAGTTGGGTGTAGCTACAAATTCGGGAAGTACTTGAGGTGAGAAGTGATTTTTTGGAGGTAGCAAAGAGCGATATGAGTGGGGAAAAGAGTGGTTCGTGCCCCGACCATAGCAACAAGCACACACGTACATTTAATAAATTGAATCTGTTTGTTAGCGTTTTACACATTCAAATTATTTTAATTATTCCTTAGCACATTTCTATGGGCTGATACATTGTAAATGTTTCACCACCATGTTACAAAGCCACCTGTACCAGTGCGAACAGCCCACATTGACTACAATTGACTTCCTAATTAGGTTAATATTGAAGAGAGCTGTGTCTGGCTATTGCAAAAATCAAAATTCGTTACTTCATCCTGAATGTTTTATTGATTTATTTGTTCAGTTGTTTGTTTGTTTTTATATAATGTCAAGTTAAAATTGTCATCGCGCATTATGAATTATCTATTACGTTTGCTGTTTTGTTCACTGTAATAAACACTTTCAACGTTTCGATTGTTTTGTAGAGTCATTCCGACGAATGTCAATATGAAGATGTAACTTGCGATGATTGCGATGAGGAGATGCAAAGGAGGTTTTTGGATACACACTTAACATCAGAGTGTAGCGAAAGGGTTGTGCAGTGTGTTTACTGTAAAGATGAATTTGCTTTCTGGCGCTTGGAGGTAAGCCTACCAAGGTACATTAAGGGCCTCGGTTAGATCCGAGATATTACATACGTATCCATTATTTTTAAGTGTGACTGTTTATACCCGGAGGGGTACTCCCTATAATGGCCTATAATGGGAGCTGAGGCTCCGCCCGGAGGGGTACCTGGTACCTTTTTCTAGCATCAGGTATATGAAAGGGTAGGTATTTCACAAGCTGAAGTATATGAAAGGGTAGGGAAATCTGTCATTTCGGTTGGTAACGGGCTCAAAAGGGATAACATGCATTTTATGGCTTTGAAAAGTCGAGAAAACGTTTCGGTTTTGTGATTTCTTCATGTTATTTTTTATTTAAGACAGTGTATTTACAGCCGTAAAAAGAGATGCAAAGTTCTTAACTAGGTATGTAAAAGGGGTACAATTTTTCAATAGAAGGTATACGACTATATAAAAGGGGTACCTTTTCTGTCAAAAAAAGGTATATGAAAGAGAGTAAGGGGTTGGACCTCAGGGCGGAGTCCTTCTAGGAGTATATAACAGGGTAAGTCTCGCGTGCAGTTCAATGTACAGGATCCTATAGGGTTAAGACTTGTAACGCTCTTTGTAGGCAAGATTAATCTGTCTGGCTTAAGCTTGTTTCGTTTATTATCAGGAATCATGACTGTATACTATTACAATATGCTAATGGCGACCCGTGGGCAAAAAATAAGGCGATTGCTGCGTCGCTCTTAGGGTTTGTGAGTCCAAGGATGCTCTGCGCACATGTACATAAAATTCAGACAAAGAATTCTCACTAAGCTACTTCATTATTTCTTAAAATTCATAGCTTCATCAAAGGGACGACTGCGCTCGTCTTCCCCTTGCATGCCCTCAACAGTGTGGAGTCCAGGACATACCGCGAGAAGAGGTAATTTAAAGAAATTCTGTGTACATGAGCCGTGACTGGTCTGTGTGACTAATCGACCGATAATTATAACAATTATTGTAGAGGCTGAGTAGGATGTAACGAATTATGCAGATCGACGAGGATGTTATCCACCGAAAAACAATTAAATTTTATATTTTAGGCCTTACCTCCTCGAAGACTTTACACAAACATTTGCCTATTCTGTTTCTCGGCACCGTTTTAGGATAAAAGCAGATGTTTTTCGCTGCAGAAATTTTCTTCGGACAGCCGTGAACACCATTAAATTTTTGTTTGGTTCACTCGCTAGGCTAGTCTGCAGAACTGAAGCGGATATTGCCTGGTAACCAGGCAGCTGGGGCTTGCATAATTTTGGGCATAATTGGAGCAAAAAAGCATAATTTTTTAAACGACCACTGCCGCGGCATAATTAGCAAATTTTAGCACTTTTTGGGGCATAAATTCATAAAATTTAGTAAATATGGTATATTTTCTACAGAAATAAATTAAATTTAGGCAGTATGTTCTTGCAATGCGTGTTTTAGCTACGCTAATAGTAGTATTGACTTTGTTCTGACATGCTTAGTTACTAGGCCTCTTTTGGCGAATTCTGCGTGCGCGGTTAACCTTTTGGAGGAGTGTGGTACTCTGGTTTCTCATCCGGCTTCTCCAACATGGCGTCGATTAACCTTGACGTTGCAATAATGTTGCAGTACAATAAGCGCTGATGTTGACTTGTGTATACTATTCTTATCCATGTTTATTCAAGCAATTATTGGTGCTGAAAGAACTCAGAACTGTCAAGACAAGTTGATTTACTTCGTGGCTTAACACTTTGAACGTTATAGTTCGCTATAGTTTGAGTTAGTTTTAAATCAAGAGAGTACTATATTCTTTTGGTTCAGTCAGTATATACAAGTGTGATCGTTAAGTCCTTGAAGACATTTTACAAACGGTTCAGACATGCGAGCAGCTAATTTGGACAGCTGGGGGCCGAGACAAAATGCTATAAAACACAAATAAATTTACAACAACAGTTTATTTGAAAAACGTCATAGTTTGGTGTCGTTATTGTGCGCCTATATGTACAGAATCTACGCCATTTTGTGAGCATAATTTCGGAAACTGAGGAGCATGATTTGGGAATTTTGGCATAATTTGGCAAAATTTCGAGCACTGCTAGTAGTATGCCACTTTTAGGAGCACAATCCGCCAAGGCCTATATGCTGTCATACTTATCAGTATTTACCTAATAAAAACGTAATACCGTGTGGCACGAAATTTTTTACGGGTTCTAATTTTTGGGATTTGTGCGTTTTTTCAGCGATCAGCAAAAATAAAGTTCTCGCAAATCAATATTACCGCAAAAATTTCTCCCGCAAAAATTTACTCCAGAGTAAATATTCCCTAACTTAAATTCACTACACAAAAATACAGTACATGTAGTAAGAAATCGTGTCTGTTTAATTACAACTTGTCTCTTTCGTTCAGAAACAAAGCAGTATACAATGAAGTACTAACGCACACCAAAGAGCATTGTTTGAAAATATGCATTTCTATTGCACGTACTCAATAAAAACGAAAATATTGTCAATGCTGATGAGTACTGGTGCTTTCTGAAAAACGCGAAAATTAATTCCCAGCAAGAAAAACCAATCTGTCCTAATCGCAAAAATTAGTTTCCGCAAAACACAAAAAATCGCCAATCCGCAAAAATAAACTCCCGCAGAAATTTCGTGCCACACGGTAGAAAACCGTCTATTTCCTTGATCTCGAAGGTCTCTGTAGGTGCACACGTGCTGATCATTTTAACACCTATACAGGTGGAGTCCCATGTGAAAGATGACTGTTCAATGACGGTGGTGATCTGTCCTTATGAGGAAGCTGGATGCACCTTCCATGTAAGTTGATTTTCCAAGCAAGCTTTTTGTTGAGACAGAAACGACAGAAATGAACTACAACAGATAGAAAGAATTGAATACAACGACTACCGCGAGTAATGATGTTGTCATGGTGACAGGAGAAACGGTTATGGCAAGAAAAAAGATCAATGAGCAATGATATCATTGACATCAACTATTATGCAACAGAAATCGTTGAACTTTTAATATCATAGGTGACGAATTACTCCTTAATTTTGGCGCTAAATTTCAGCGTTAATATGTAATTTCACATGTGAAATTACAAAATTGCCATGGCAACCCTTCCGTACGTCTCAGTGTCAATATGGCGACGAAGTTTTAAAATGCCGTGAATGAAGATGTCAGGGCACAAAAAGACGCTTTAGAAAACCTGAACACACAAGAGAACATCAAGAAGGATTCTAACAGGTATTTTGCCGAAAAATTCTGAAAAATTCTGAACTAAGCCAAATTGAGGTCTAAACATTTGAGAGAGTGGAGTTCTTGATCGATACGATCCAGGATAAACATGTCAAAAATCCAAGATTGCTAACGTAATTCGTCATCCATGATATTAATAGGTAATCAAATGGTATACTCGTGAAATTGGGAAGGCTCGGGAAATTATTAGGATTTGGACAAAACGCGCGTGAAATTATTCCCAAATTTCACTCGTCACCATTGGATTACACATACTAACACACTTGTCCACCACCACTCCCCATTCAACTACGTCAAGTAAAGTATAAACTAGCCATTACGTTCCGACGGAAACAAAATTCAATTTCTGTAAATTAGTGAATGTAAAGTCGCGTTTGCATTGATTTTGTCTCGGCTTTATTGCAGGACAAACGAGCTTATTTGAAAGCTCACATAGAAAAATCCAGCGAAGACCACTTAGGCAAGACATGGTCGGCATTCCTGAAGACAAAACATGAACTGAGCGAGGTGAAGGGCAATGTGGATGAAATACAGGTTAGTGTTAAAACACTCCAGTCGGAGAAAGAAGCGATGCAAATGAGCCTTCAAAGATGCAACGAGGAGTTTGGCGAGTTGAAACTATCGGAGAGAAAGCTTGAGGTGGAAAACATGTCTCTCAAGAAAGAAATGACTGAAATGGGACGGAAGCTGGAAAAAGTCAAAGAGAGTGCTGCTATTGAGAACAGGTCACTGAAGGAGGTTGTACAGGACATGCAGAGGAAGCTTGAGGCTTTAGAGAGGGAAGGAAAAAATATGCCACCACCGGTAATTCCATGTTTTCTTTATAATTATATATATACAAGATGATGCGTAATCTATGTTTGGATTCGCTACCCGACCGTTAACCCATTTAAGATCAAAATTTGAGTTCTCATTTATTGCCTCTGTTCATTTCCTAAAAGAAGTAGCGGGGGAAGAAGTTGATAAAATATCAAGCAAATTCACCTTGTGTGATGATGTCAGTAATTCTTATGACCTCTCTGCTTTACTAAGCATTGATATTACAAGACGAAATTTGACACTGATCATTCTTAGGGCATAAAAAGTTAACGACTAATACAGTCGAACCTCTGCCACCTCTTTACAACAGCCAGTTCTTTTCGTACAGGCGGACAAAAACTCCATCCATCCACTTTCTTCTGTCCCCAAAGTGTCCGTTGCAGCGAGGTTCAACTCTATAAGTTTTAATTCATTTTGGCTTTCCTCCTTTAATGATCCAGTTCCTCGGCGGTTAAAGCATATTCTTTTTTTGTGTGTAGATGTTCTCTAAACAGCATGTGACAATTTGTATTTTGAGTGGCTTAACAAACATACAGTCGGGCCTCCGCCACTTCTCTTCAACGGCCTCTTTGTTTTTGTCCCGACGGACAAAAAATCCATCCATCCAGTTTCTTCTCACCTCAAGGTGTCTGTTGTAGAGAGGTCGTAGAAGGCACAAGTGTAATAACTGGACCCAAGTGTAATAAAGGTCCCATCTGTAATAACATTTGGACCCAAGCGTAATAAAAGTCCCATCCGTTATAACATTTTGAACCCAAGCGTAGAAAAGGTCTTATCTGTAATAACATTTGGACCCAAGTGTAATTAAGGCCATATTTGTAAAAGTTACCTTTATACTCAAACCGGTTTCTAATAAACCAACAACGAATTATGGTCGATAAGAGGTAAAAAGTGTAAAATCACGTGACCATGGGGAGACCAACCCCTGCCATTAAATTTTATCGTTCATGTCTTTCATGTCACTGTCAAACTGAATTTTACACCTAGTAGTTTGGCCAGAAAAGGATTAGCTCAACGGCACTGACCATTGAAAAATAAAGCCATTGCCATTTAGAATTATTAACCAAAGAAAATTTGTGCTCAGTGCTGCTTTACCGGGCTCTTACGAGAGTGATTTTTGTTGTTATATTGTTAAAATTCTTATGTTATCTTTATTCGTTGGATCATCGATTTCAGGAAATTCTGGCAATTTTATTTAAAGCCATATAATTTCTATTTAGCAACGGCATATGCTTTCTAACTAAGGTATACGAAACCAAGGTCAAATTAAAGGTACTCCTTTTCAATACAAATACTGACAGTCATGAAATCCTATCAATAAAATTCAGCAGTGAGTGAAATACTGAAAATGACAAGAAGACAGAGGGGAATACAGATTCCACTGGGTTCAACACTCTTTAGCCTGAAATTCCATATAAGCGAACGCGAATGACATATTTATTTGTTCTGGAGCGATGAATTCTTTTAAAAGCACGGTCGTTTCATAGCTAGTTGTAAATTTGCGAAAACTTAAAACTGAGAGCCAGTGCTAGATTTTGTGGTATTTTTTTCCGTTTGGTTACATGACCCGTGATGTTCAGTTAATCATGTATAGACTGTTGTGAACATGTCTCATATTATCTCAGCTAGGACCAAAGGTCATAACAGATGAGACTTACACTTACACTTGGGTCCAAATGTTATTACAGATAGGACCTTCATTACGCTTGGGTTCGAAATGTTATTACAGATGGGACCTTTATTACACTTGGGTCCAGTTATTACACTTGTGTCTTCTACAGAGGTTCAACTGTATACGCTTTAATTCATTCTGGTTTTCCTGCTTAAAATGATCCCTGTAGTCGCAAATTAAAATTCCTCAGTTATAACCACCCGTCTCAATTAGTACCAAGCACAGCTGTAAGTATGGTGCCCTTCTGCACGCGTCCATCCCGTTGTTTCGTGCTCATATTATCACCAGCACCTTCCCCTTGGGATGCCTCCCACTCAGGCTACTGTAAGCACAAGCGTTTGACAGTTATAATCATGGCCATAATAAGATATGAATTTACCATACAACATTTCCTCTTTTTCAGTCATCATATTCAGGCAAAAAGGAAATGGCACAAGCAACTAAGAAAGAACTGGTACGAACTTTTACACATTTTGACAACTATCTCTTCATGCTGGAACAACTCAGTTTAAAGATTGAAAGCTTTCCGATGCATTGTGGAAAAATCTTCTTGAACCACATAAATTCTTCCTACCACATGGCTTTCATCATTTGGAGGGGCCCCAGCTACCGCGTTACCCTTCAAACGCCTCCCACACAATCTACTGTAATTATACGCGTTTCAGTGACAGTTCTAATGGAAGGTTTTTGTAAGAAATAAATACTTTTGCTTAGGCACGGACCATTAGAAAACTTATGGGGACCGAGACGCAGTACAATATTCGTGCAAGGGAAATTAAATGAAAAAAAGCCATGCATTCCAAGCAACCCTTAAAAAATATATTCATGGACTGGCCTTGAAATTTTCACACTCTGTGATTAAGGAAAAAAACATTGTATGACTCGAAAATTCCTCACTCCTCCATAACTGTTGTAATGGTTCCTCCCTTATGGATATGCGGTCTACACTATTTCTTGCTCCAGCGTCCCCGTTAAAAATAGACAATTAATGCATGAGGCAAAACGCCTGAACAGTGTGCCTTCTTCAGCCCTCATGAGACTGAGCATAGCACGATGAAGGCGGGATACACAATCGTGGATTCCAAAATATTGTCAAACTTCAAAAATGGCTGCCTTTATTAAAAAATTCTACACGCAGGTAACACAGTTCCTCGGCGGTTAAAGCATAGTCTTTTTTTGTGTGTAGATGTTCTCTAAAAAACATGTGACAATTTGTATTTTGAGTGGCTTAACAAATATACAGTCGGGCCTCCGCCACTTCTCTTCACCCGATCAACGGCCCCTTTTTTTTTGACCGAAGCGTAATAAAGGTCTTATCTGTAATAACATTTGGACCCAAGTGTAATAAAGGCCGTATTTGTAAAAGTTACCTTTATACTCAAACCGGTAATATACCAACAACGAATTATGGTCGATAAGAGG